CGATCTCCTCCTCGTACTTGGCTAGACAAACATTGCGCCGGGCTGAGCCTTTCGCTGTCAGCTCGAGGGGCTTCGCGGGAGTCGCCACAAGAATCATCTAAACAACTTATTGAACTGCCCATTCAGATATACGTATAGGGCTCACGTTCTTGAAAAGGCGCGAGTGCGCGGGTGCATACTCGTTCATGCGGATGACTGACGGCCAGATTGAGTCGCGGAATTCGTTCAGCTTCTCGACGTTGTTGGGGTCAAATGGCATTGAGGGCTGTATAAGAGCACCTGTGTTGAAGCGACCACGTCCGAAGAAGATCGCAATTTGGATGTTAGGGTCTTGCAGAAGAATTCGCTCTGAAAGTTGTAAGCATAAAGGTCTGTATCCGTGAGAGGGTTGATATAACATACCGAGGGGCACAGGGTTCGTTTTCTCGCCGTTGGAGTGCATGATCTGCTCATCTGCACGCCCATGTATCCTATAGAGACCTTTGTGTACCGGATGCTCCTGCACGAGATCACCAGTAGCGTAACCGGGGCGGCCATCGACCGTTGTATTGAAGACATTCGGACTGTAATAATCACCTGCCTACGAACACAGTGAGTGATGGGTTTCCGAAATGGTACAAAGGAGGCTTACCAGTAGCACAGGTTCCACTAGTCCGCCATGTTCTTCGTGGGGAATCATCGCAAAAGTAGCCAAGTCCGCGCTCAGGAACCGGAAGTACTCCCAATCCGCAGGGCGGGAATCGTACGCAATGGCCATGCGGATGATAGGGCCAGCCTCGGTGCTGCCATAGATCAGGAACTGCATCAATGAGATGATGGCGTTTCACGTACAGTCCGTAGAGGTTGTCTAGGAAGACACCTTCCGCGAAGAGTGCATCACCAACCTGCTTGTTCAAAGGACCACCCCCGAAGATGACCCGCTTGAGACTGCTCTTCAAGATCCCGACGCTTTCGGGATCTTGCGACCACTCCTAAAAGGAAGTATGAGTCTACAGGCGACGTGCAGTTCTGCGCAGGCGAACCTCGATATGAGCTGGAACTGACATCGTCCACTCGGACTTCGATAGGACAAGGTCATTCAGGAATGCCGTTGCGTGAGCTACCACAGGCGGACGCGCAGGCTTGAATACGGCGAGTTCCAAACCACAACACACTGCCCATGCCAACGCTATGGAGCTCATCGCGTGAAACATCGGTGAACTCTGAATACCTAAACGAATGCCACAGACGTCAACGTCTCCGTGGTCTTGAGAAGATAGTCAGAAGCCATGTATCTGATAAGACGGGATGCGCACTCACAGAGGGTAGAACCCCAGGCGACGAAGTTGCGACTTGTCATCTTGATGGGTTTCGGGAATGCACTCGTTCCACTCGAGTGCAAGATCACAGCTAGAGCGTCCGACGAAATAGGCGCGATGCGATAGTCATTTGACTCAGAGAGTTCGGCGGGTGTGGACCTCTCATAAAGAACCTCGAAGCGAGGCAAGTCGAGGAGCTCGACGACGTATTGGTCCTTCGCAAGAAGAGCCGCAGCCTCTGCGGCCAGACCTCGCATGATGGTGTCCTCGCTCACGAAGACTTGGCGAACGCCCGTGGCGCGAAGTAAATGGGCGACTGCAATCGCTGAGTTCCTGGTCGAAATAGGGAATGGCACCGCCCCCGCTTGCTGGATGCCAAAGATGACGGTCGCGTACGTTATGGCATCTGTTCGTACTCGATCATTTAGGGGATTGGGGATGAGATGCGTGCAGTATCACTTGCCTGCGTTGGCTAAGATCCCAAAGACAGGCCGTTCGATCTTGTCAACGTAGAAGTGACTACCTGCATCGAAGGTGGATTTGACGTAGGCCGCAGCTACTAGTTGAGCGCGGAAGGTCGCGGCGTAGTCGATAGACTTATTCTCGCCATCCTCGGCGTAGACAAAGAGGCTGTGTGAACCACTATGCGTAGCATGGAAGGCCAGTAACTCGGGGAAGGCGAGGCTGCCGTCCACTGGTGGAGTTGTGAACGTTGAGCTATGAGCGCCTTGTACGACGGGGCGGATATTAGACATGAAGATGAGACGATTAATCGGTGAAGAGATACTGCAATGATACTGAGGATGCGAGAGGATGGGGTCGACGAACGGAGTACGTCGTGCTTATATGTCCTTCAATCATATATCAGTAGTGCCCATACTAGGAAGCAATCACGGAGTACCAAGCACCGAACGAAGGGGTCTCTCAAGAAGGCGGTAGAGCTTTCAACCACCGCAGAACACCAACATCATTCGAAGGGACCTTCACTCACATTGTCGGCCGAGAATTCCGACGTTACTCCAGTCTTCGAGAAACATATGCACCATGTTTGTCGATGGTATAAGTAGGCACGCGGCGCACTGGTCGCTCAAATAGATGCAGGGAGGAAAGCAAACAGTACCGTGTCTGCCGAGCATACAACTCACAGACGGTGTAGGACGGTCATATGTTGAGGCCGAAGACCTAACGCCTCATGCTCAAGATGGCTCAGAACTCAGGCTTCCTTTGGTCAGCGCGCCAGGGAAGAACAGGTCGCCGCGAACCGGCAGACCGGCAATAGTAGCCGAGCAGGATCGGCGAAGGTGATTGGTCGTTGATATCCGTCCATGGGACTTGATGGGATGCGTTTGCACTGTTGTCGTCTCCTATGGATGTATCCTAAGTCCGAACTCCGCTCACGTTGATTGGTAACAGTACCTACGCTCTCACTCAGAGCCAGACAAGTACCTTCGGCCGGGCACACGCGCTCAAAATATAGGAGTTGAGGAAGTACTTCGGCTTTGCAATCACTTGTCAGAGGTGGAGTTCAGCAGCGTTTAAGTGGCGGCTGGTAACGGGAGTGACAAGGCGCATCTCTAACGAAGACAAGACGTCGTATATGCGGCTCTGACAGCGTTCACGGCCTGGGTCGAGGTCATCGTGATGGGATGCGCCGAGTGACATTTTGAAGTCGAAGTTCAGGGGAAACAAAAGTTGGCGCCACCAGCGCGCTCAGCCTTGTGAAGCGCACGTGCCGAAACTTCTCATCACGCATGCTCATAAGCTTGCACACAAAGTCTCGCGATTCTCCCTTGCGGATCGTTCACGTCCGCGACCAAACTTGGACCAAAGCGGCATGGTACTTCGATATCGTGAACAGCGAAAGCGAAAGCGCCGGAAACGGATGCACGCGAACCCTTCTCCCGAGAAATGACTTGGAGCTCTACATATGACATTCTATGAACTCGGAATTTACAAGGCAGTACAGCTACCCCGCTTTCGTCTTCAACTGATGCCAAAGCGTCATGAACATCACGGAACCAATGCCGAGAAGTGCAATTTGTAAGCCCACATACGCACTCATCCCTATACCTGGACCGGCCCCTCCCCAGACAGCACCAGTGACCCTGCCAACCACGCTGGAGTACTCGACCGCCAGGTTGAGATGCCCCACCCATCGATGCGGCATCTGCTTCGATAAGAGGCTGACTGTCACGGTGCTGGCGATGTTGAAGCCCAGGGCCACCAGAATCCAGCAAGCGAGTAGCGCCCAATAGGTCATGCTGCCTGTTGCGAGTACAGTGATGGACACGACGAGACCAATCAGGCCTATACCAGCGCCTGCTGCAAGAATGTGGCGATCCTGGAACTTTCTGGCGAAGATGACGTTCAAGAAAATAAAGGGGAAGGTGCAGAGTCCGCCGAGTGCGATCAAGTTGCCGGCCGCAAACGGAGAGCTGCCAAAAGCTGATGCAGTGTATACCGGGATGTTCGCTTCCCACCCACCGAGCACAAAAACTGACAGGACGGTGCATCAGATTTATCTTCCGTAAAAGCGAGGGCATGGGAACTTACAACAGGTCATAGAAAACCAGCACATCGTCGCGACAACACCCCATTGGCTTGCGCATGGGCGATAAGCGACATTGGGTGGATTGGCGGCGCTACTGTCCAGTTCAGGTAGATCGCGCCCTTCCTCGATCGAGCAGCGTGTGACCACGACGTCCTGGTCGGATGTGCTCGCGGACATAGGTTCCACTGGGATAGCGAGATCAGACTCAGAGCCAGAGTGGACCGCGGGCGCAATAGGCGGAACATCTTCGAACCAAATTGCAGACGCTATCCCGAAGGTAGCCCACAATGCTGCCATTATCCTTAAAAGGCGCGATAAGTACTGTGATACACAAGAGCAAAGGTGCAACGATTCTCACCATCCCGGGCTAGTGTAGCCGTTGAAGATCTCGTTATTGAAGCCAATCTTGTACAGCAGACCGCCTAGAAATGGGCTGAATGAAAGCAAACATGAGCGCCGAAGTAGTTTGGTACTAGGGATATAGTTTACCCGATCACGAATCCGGCGTTCTGTCCAGCGACGAACCAGCCAGCAAGCGTGGTCCGGCGCCGCGTACCTACGATGCGGGCATCGGAGAGGTACCGCTTGATGTACAGGAAACAAACGAAAGCGAGGCCCAAGACCAAGCGCGAGATGAGGATGAGATAGAGGAACTGCGCGCGGTATGCCAGGCCGTAGAGCATGCTGCCAAGCGAGCCTGCCGCGCATGCGAATAGCAACGTGAACCTGTACTGCCCTGGAATGAGGTTAGATTGTGCCGGATCCATGTAGACAGAGGCTTCACCTCTATCGTAGCGCATTAGAGGCAACAGCATGAGCGCAGAGCAGATGGTAGGAATTCCAAGTACTAGGCCTGAGAATGCATCTGTCCCTCCGAGGAATCTGGCATATTCGCTGCCCGAAGACACGATAATGAAGAAACTGGTCTGCTCAAGCTATGAGTATATTCTCTGGTCAAGACAGTGTGAGACATACCTGTCCCAAGACGTTCTCCAATATACAGATTACCAATGAACCCTTCTTTGGCAACTGCATATCCGGCCTCGTCTCTGCGGGAGTCGCCGCATTGCTAACGACCGCTACCACGGTGCGCGGCTGTTCATGGCGCCTGCGCGCGGCGAACAGCGAGGTCAAAGAACGAAGCGTACTCCATCCGGACGCCTTGCTATGGTAGACTGCGGTTGAGAGCAGACCCGACGAAGACATGGTGAACGGCGATAAGAGGCAGCATCGATAAAGATGAGTGAAGATGTGGCACAGAGGGTGATGGTTATGGCGAGAGATCTGCACGCGCCGCGCACGAAGCGATCACGCATGCAGCATTTCGGCATTTGCGCTCACTGATGTTGACATGACGCAGGTATCACCCATGAAACTTATATCATCACCATGGAGTGTGTGAAGGCGACAGAAGAACTACGATTATACAACATGGGAGATCAAAGCCTACAGAGACAGAATGACAAAACCCAACGGGAACCGTAATATTTGAGGCATGTACCGAACACGGCAGAGTAGGGACATATGTGGCAGGATAAAACCATCGAGAACCATAACGAGTATATGGAAGGAGCGTGGGAGTATACCGGTGCCAGAAGGCGAGTCTCAGAACATGCGGAGCTCTGCACCGGCGGCCAGCCGCTGTGTAGATCCGCTACTACCTGTAGAGCCACCCGACGCGCGGTAGGTGGCAGCTACGGGTACATCTGCCGGTGCACGGAAGTGGGGTTGCTTTCCAGCGGATGGAGAACTTCCGCTTGAGCCTGCGCTACCAGTTGAGTCTGTAGACTGGCGTGGCGCAGGTGTATCGCGGAGAGTACGGAGCGAGCCTGCGCTGGGTCCACGAGAATGAGATGGTGAGGTGGCCGAGTTAAAGTGCCGGGCGCGAAGTTCGGATATGCAAAGGACGGAAAGATCTTGAAGCCCGAGGTAATTTGCCTCATCACGCGCTGCTACAAGGGTAGCGGTATCCGCGAGCTTGAGAGTGGCTGGGAGGTGATGCGTGTTGCCCGTCAAAGGAGCGCGAAGGTACGCTAGAATATGTTCGTATCTGCAGGACAGGGTGAGTGTCTATCGAAGAAGTCACGGGAGAGTCAACATACGGTTCACTTGGACGATCCATGAAGATGTGCAATCGGGAGGGTCCGTGAACAGGCGAGGATGGTGCTGGCGGGACGAAAGCAGCGGTATCAGTGACAATACCCGCCGTTTTCAGGGTCGAACGAAATATCTCCTGGAAGCCGAGGCTCTCATCGTATTCGGTGTTCTCATCATCCTCGCCGTCGTCGCGGGAAACGAAGCTGGATGCGTCATCGCGTAAGATCTCATGTTTGCGATCCGTGTCCCTTGAAGAGCTGGCAGAGGAGCTTGCCATGGGCTGAAGGAGTTCGAGGAGGTACATGCTCAGGTTCGACGGGCGAGCGACGAGCGTGGCGAGCGTAGTGCGGTGCGTCGCAGTCGAAGTGTCCATCGTGACAAGTACGCGGGATGGATCCAATGCCGCATGGGCGCTTAAGGACGAGATATCCGAGAGAGGGATACAGTCGAAAGGTGGTTGGCTTGCCGGATTGGAAAGATAGGAGGGGAGGGGAGTCGAGGACTGGCGGGGAAGGTTTGTGCTCGCTCTTCTGGGCGATTGACGTGAACGCAGGGGCTCGATGGGAATGGGTGGAGCCGATCGTGTCGGCGGGGGCGGGGCCTTCGTGGCGGGCGCCGGTGAACTTCCTTCGGTAGCGTCTGTCGCGCGACGAGGAGATCTCGGGGGAGAGTATGCGGGCGGAACCCGGTGAGTGTCCTCGGTCGGAACGGCCAGACTCTCGGCTTCACTTTCCTCATCGTACTCCAGGCCATCTTCAGCATCACCCTGAATCTCGTACTCCGACTCGCTCGTGTCGCGCTCTTCAAGCTCTTGCGGGAAATCCTGATAACCGTCCTCCTCCGCAACTTCGAGCACGGGTTCGACGAGCGTAGGGATCTGATCTAGAGGCGCGATCTCCGGCTCTGGTTCAATATAGTCGACCGAGACACCGGTACCCAGAAGAGCCTCTTGAGGAGTGCGCACGATCTGAACACCCGGCCTCATCGCTCTGGGAAATGCAGATGGTGCAAGCGAGTCGACGAGCTGAGGTTCGGATATGCGCATGACTTTGCCGCCTTTGCCGTTCGCAGATGTCCCGGGTGTACTGCGCACGAGCCAAGAGCTGACGTTGACGCCGACCCGGCTGAAGGACGACTTGCGGCCGTGGGTTGAGCGAGCCTTGGGCATGGCGGATGACGGGGAGATCGAGGGTGTGGTGCTGGTGGCACTGGACGGGGAGGTTGCTGGGGCCGAGTCTTTAGGTGCTGGAGAAGGCGCCGGACGAGGCGCGGTGTCGATAGGTTCGGGCGAGACCTTGTTTGCCTCGAGGGCTACGGGGTAGGAAATGTTGCGGACATGGTGAGGTTTGCGCGCGTCGCGATCGGAGAGCAGTCTGCGTGCGTCAAGCATGCTGGGCGACGACGGACGGGAGAAGGAGCAAAAAATGGGAGCATGTCTGCCTGAGAGAATATATGGCCTAAACAAAAGCGGAACCACAAGGCGAGAACAATAGGACTTCGGAAGTATTCATGCAAATCACACTGATCAAGCTTTCGTCAAGTGTCTCCGTTCACCCGACGAGGCCAGAAGTCGACTCGGAGTCCATTAAGTGAGGGGAGCGGGAAGAGGCTGCGTCGGTTGATCCCAATGGCAAACGACCACGAACGCGATTTCGCTCTGTCCGTTCCCCCAGCCCTCCTGCCCGTATCTCCCGCTCTTGCATCAATACACACAGCGCGCGTACAACGTATATATCCGGGGACCATTTCGCCCGACTTGAGCTTCTGTCAGCAATGCAAGGCGTACTCGTACAACGGCACAGGCGCCCATAGAACAATGCGCGCTAAGGCGGCGCCGCGACAACTGCAGGTGCACTGTACTGCATGTGGCGCACACAACAGCCTTCAACTGCCCGTGGACAGGGAGAGCGCGTCGCAGTTCCCGATGCCGCGCGCGAGGGCACGGGGGAGTGCGCAGTCGAGAGCGCGGGGCTCCCAGACGGCAGGATCATTCTCCAATAGCTCGATGCCTGGGCCGGAAGCGCTATCCCAGCCAACCTCTCGCACCTCTCTATCTGCCTCGCCTGCCTCGCCACCGCCTCACCCGGGTACGCAAGGGAACTCGAAGAGACGTCCAAAAAATAAGGCTGGTCTCCATGAGCTTCTGGCGCGCAAGAAGCAGGCGGAAGGCTTAAAGGAAGCATCTTCAAATGCGTTGTCCGCCTTCCTCGGCGAGCTATAGACGACATTTCTATGTATGCACACATCATCTCATGTCCGTCGTATACCATTGACCTGATACGTGCTATGTTCTCCGCAAACAGGTGTACCATAATCATTGCGTGGTATTGTCCAACAACACTTGAGGGTCATGTCGCGCATGATCCTTCCTTTGCAAACACACTTCCCTCAACTCCTCTCCACCATCCGTCCCGTCCGACTCTTCGTGCACATCTGTGTATCGCACGGCAGGAATCTCCTCTTCGCGTGCCGTCGGTAGGATTGGCCCTGCCCTCGCTGCATTCTTGTCGCGCGGCGCGTAAGGGACGTGCGAGCGACGCGAAGTGAGTGGCGGGTAGTACTGCCTGTACGCGAAGTACGAGACCAATAGTCCAAGAGCACCCCCAACGAGGACGTCATGCCAATGGTGTCGGTAGTCCATCGTGCGGCTGATTGCCACTAGAGCGGCGCCAGCGAGCGGCGCCAACGATAGCCATGCCTTTGGCGCGTGCCCGCGATTGTCAAAGAGATGGACTTTGCCGGCGAGGTAGAAGGCCATAAAGCCGAGACCGGCGAAGGAGACTGTGATGGCTGAATGCTGTATTCACGGACTGTACAAGGTGATGGCTTACATCCGGAATGTCCGCTAGGAAAACTGCGAAAGCCGTCTTTTAGGATATTCTCGTCAGTCTGGCGGCAGATTTGCCATGTCGAAAGACCATAAGGCGGATCCACGGTCCCCTCTGTGACATTACATCTGCTGATGAGGTCTGGTCGTGGGCGACCGACTGTAACCTTGGTGAATTGGACAATGACGCCTGTCATAGCGAGAGATAAAATGACTGGAAAGCGGGGTCAACGGCGGAACCGACAGTCTTGAGAGTGAACTGACGGCCCAGAGCGGAGACATGCGCATCCCACTTCGAGCGCACACTCAACAAGTTAACAGCCCAGTTGAAAAGTAGGGGTGCCAGAAATGATATGAGCACCAGCGCCCAGGTCTGGAACATGGTGTTTGCATGAGATAGATCCAAGAATTCCGGCAAGCTTGTAAGTGAAGCTTACCGGAACGCGTTCGTATACCGCGTAAGGATGTCTGATCCTAAGGAAGATTTCGCCTCATGAAGGCGAGAAGCGCAGGTTCAATGTAAACGCACGATGTATCGGTGACAGAGAAGTCGCGCTTGAAACCGGGCACTTTATCCAGACTGTAGAATACAGCTCTGGACACCGCGTCAATCCGGGTCGAGATCAGTTGGGCGGGTCACTACTCACGCCAGCGCGATAGTCAGGAACCTGGGGTGGAATCAATGAAGAGACACGTCAACGTTAGGTCTGGCATACCAGTCTACGGCATACGATAGTATGACTTGCTGTCGCGTGACCGGTCCGTTGCGTGACCCGGGTAGAAAGGACGAGAGCAGGTTCATGACCCTTCCGAGCTTGATTGAGTTATCAGATCTATATATCAGACCTCAGGCGCGGAGATGTAGCGGAGATAGTTCGCCTAGGTCGCTAGAATGTCAGGTAGGATCGTGGTGGCTTGGGTTGAGTTGTTCCGCCGTTGAACATTGAGCGTCCAACGCCACGTCGCAGTCAACGCCTGCCAAGCTGCCGCCAAGTACGTACAACGCCCCAGACTTGCCGAACCCAACGTTTTCGGGAAGCATAATGCTCATACAAGATTGGCGCTTGATAACGAGCTGCGCACCGCAATTCCCGCCAAGACTGCTTAGCGAACTTGTGGGCTCACATGGGCCCGTGCCGCGACATCTATGCTATATGAAAACGCAAGGTATATGTAGTACTTGAATAGTGGGCGAGTAGGAACATGAATAGTCAAAAGAGAGAAAAGCGGCAGATCCGTGGTGAAGATGAGACAATAGAACAAAACACCAGTAGAACCCGAAACAGCTTGCGACTAACCAAACGTGTAAGTAGCCCGGCACAACATGACGAGGCGACGGAAGCTAGTGTCGATCGGCGCGTCCGATGTTTCAAATGGGTAGACTAAACACTCAGATTATCGCCCTTGACCGAGCTCAGCGGCATCGCGTTCTCTCGCTCCTGATCCTTTCTCGGCCGGATGATTCGACCTGGCCAGAAGGGCACGAAGATAGCGAGGCCAAGAAACAGCACGAGCGAGTCGCAGCAGTAGAAGAGTGTCTCGCTTGTCGCAATTGGGCCTTTGAAACCGTCGTTGATCTCGATGAGACGGTAGATGCAACGTTCCTAGGCAGGCACCGTCAGCTTGGCAGAGTATTGCGAGATAGAAAGCGGACAACTCACGATTATGCACAGGCAGTTGAAGACTAGCGCAAAGGCAAGGGTTCGCCAGTCGCTCCAGACCGAGCCCAGGGAATCGCGGGTCCAGACGCGCCGCTCCTTAGTGTACACACGGTAGATGAACCAAAGGACACTCAAAGCATATAAACCAAACGAAACCAACTGTAATGCAAGACCAGCGATGAAGATCTGAGGTGCGTTTCAGCATGAAGGGTTCACGCTCATCCGGGGTTTGACATACATGGTCACCCTTTTGCTTCTTGTCGTTATCAGTCGGATTGGCGGAGACGGCAATGGCAGCACCGGCGGCCTAAGGACAAATCAGATGTGAGACAAATAAGACACTGAACGGCGCACCTGGATGAGGAAAGTAATGATGTCCGAAGCGACGAAAGTGATTGTGACTCTAGACGGTCGGATAGGAAGGAGTTGGGGAGCTCCTATGTGTGTGGCAATACGACTCAAGATCATGTAGTCGGCCGCGACAAAGGCGTTGGGCTGATCTAAACATGAATCTTCCACTTTGAAAGCTGTACCGTGGTGACTTACCGCGAGGATAATAAGCAAGTACTCTGCCTTGAAGAGATCGGCGTTTTGGGGGTTCTGGTGCAGCCCATATCTACAGGCGAACCCGGCGATGAACACTAACAAGTAATGACAATCCTATAACATTAATCTGTGAAGAAGCCCGACGTACCAGCTTCGCCGACAAAGAGAGTCCATAGCCACCAGCCGCCATATTTGATCGTCTGGGCGATATGCGCCACAAGAACCAACCCGAGAAGGACTAGGCAGATAAGTGAGATCAGTTGGATACACTCCCTCCAGTGTGCCGCAGTAAAGTCGAGCTCACCAATTGCAACCGTGGTCAAAGCGTTGCTAGCGATGTAACCAAGAACATCACAGGGGTCCGAAGATGGGTCCGCGAATGGATCTGACGCGCACACCTTCTTCTGGGCGTTCGCTGGACTGGCAAAAACAAGGAGTACCGATAAAATGATGTTCAGGGGGTTGAAGGTGCTGCCTGCCTTCATGTTCAACCAAGACATCGCGGTAGGGTAGGTATGCACGACGTACAGCAGCAGTCTTCTTTTAACTGGCAATAGGGCCGGGCCGCGGATATTGATGGCCGAGGGAGCACGGAAACGCGGGTGCCGACCATCCGTGGCACCCACCCCCCGGGACACAACCACCAGCAAACACACAGAACACGATACTCGTGCCTTGTTATGCTGGTAAGTACACCTGTCGTGCCACATATTCGAGCTGTATACAGCGCACGTACAAGCGACTGCAGATCTATGCGTCTCACGGCAGACACGTCGTCTCCTATAGTTTTCAAGCTTTCGCGATTGAGCTATGCCCCCGAAGGGTAGCGCGGTACCATAGCGTGGAAGCAACGGTTGATTCCGCTCCGCGGGCGCAAGGCGGAACATGTATAGTATCTGGTCAGAGTACTATGTACGCGGCGCCCACAAGTCATAAAGCTCTCTATCCGAAGGTTCAAAGGAGGTCATCATGCCCGGATCTGACCGAATGAGCCGCTGATCAGTATCGCCGGCACCAATCATGCTGCTGAGCGGCCGTAACGGGATATGGGTAGAGACGGAGTCTGAGAAAGTCGACGTGGTCGTGCTTGCCGGAGACTAAGTACAGAGTTCATGTTAGGTCAAGGGATGGATTCGCTAGCGTAGTTGGGCGCACCGGGCTCGTTTTTGTTGACCCGTTGCCACGACTGCGTAGCTGAGAGAGTGTGAGACTGGGACTCTCACGCGCACCCGGTGAAGTACGAGACCCTTGGAGTCTCTCATGTGAGAATATGATCTGCAGATGACGAGAGACCTCAAGTAATACCTGGGGATGCGAACGGGCTATTCGACATGGTAGCGGTCACGGTCAAAGGTTGCGGCAAGGTCAGGCGCCTGAGAGCGAAATCCCAAAAAGGCGCGTGACGTCACGCGTCGCCACCGATTGAACGTCCATTCTTGAGGTAGTTAGCTTGTCCTCCCAATTGAGTCGTCCTTGGCTTTGACTCTCATCACTTCGCCGCCATGAATATCTTCCGCAGCCGTACGTGCACTCTATGTAGACTTCTGAAGCCCGGATACGTCAACTGATGGGGTGTTTTCAGTTATGGGCCGAGTTTGGCGTAAGTTCTGTCCGCCCAGAACTCGAACTTTGACATCATAATACCCCTGTCGCAGACGATCCCAATGCGGCAGAAGTCGTCAAGATATCCACTGGCCAACTCTACCTCGTCCGACCGGGGAACGTTCGCTCCGAGCGCGAGTGCATGTGCGTCTGTCCTCGCCCCGGCCTACTCCTCTCTGAATATCGTCCAGTTATAACGATGCTATGGCTACCATCCGCCGCGTGCCTGCCGTAGAGCACAACTTCCAGCTCGTGGTCACGCGGGTGTACGAGGATGGTGATCAGGAGCTGCTGGACGATGAAGAAGAGAGTGCGTGAGCTGTCTGCTTATCGAGAGTCCTTCACTGATGGCATCGCAGCCGACGAGGAACGTGTATTTCTCATCAGCGAGGAGCTCGAGTTCCGCACAGGGGAGACGCCTGAAGGCGACCCGCGTCTCATCTGGCGCGATCTCCAGGGCGATGTCGACGAGTTTTACGAGTTCGTTGCCGCGGGGACCAACGGGCCCACCCGCGCCTTCTTCGAGACCTGCATGTATCGTGCCATGTACGAGCGCAAGTACAGGACCAGCGCCGATAGTACTCAGGATTCGGATTTGGAGGAGTTTGTTTGGAAGTACGCGCTCCGATCGCACTCTACCCCGGGCCAAACTGAAGGCCGATCTCATAGACCGTCAACGACACCCAAGCCCAGCGGCAGAAAGAAGAGAGTCATCAGTCACGGAGAAGAGGAGGACTTGACCGCAGCCATGAACTCTATGGGCGTATCCCCCCAGCGCGAGCCTTCCGATGCACCCTCCACCCATGCCGCCGCCGAACCCGTGCCAGACGACGACCCTTCCCTTGAGACCCTCCTTGCGGAGCCAGCCACCTTACTATTCTGGGATAGATCGGTGATGGGTTATGGAGAAGAGGGCATCGTGACCGCGAAGATCGTCGCGCTCAAAGACGAACCGTTTCATTACTTCCTCATTGCTTCGAGCGCCGAAACGGGACAAATGCTCGCGCATAAGATCTCGTCTAGTCTCATTCCTCGGTGGCATGCTCCCATGTGGGCTCTTTCATGGAATCATGTCAGCGATGCTGGAGACCAGAATAGCTGGTGTCTTCACTTTCAGTCACAGGACGGCTTCGACCGTTTCCAAGAGGAGTTCACGAAGAAGGTCTGGGAGACGCTGAACGGGACACCCTGGGAGAAGATCAAGGTTCGTCCTGCACTATCTGTACCTATCTCGTTCCTAATCCACCTGTCTCTTCAGCCGGATGAGCGTCGTTACGTGCTAAGCGCTAACGTGGAAGACGTGGAGATGAAGGAGGCCGAGAACGACTCTGATGACGAAGAAGCTGTCAAAGACGAGCTTGAGGGTATGCGTACGGCTATGTCTGAAACGGGGATTGGATGCTAACATATTAACAGAGGAAGGGAGTGAAAGCGATGACGACAGACCGATTCGAGAAGAGGGGATGTTACCCGCGGATTTCGTGCACGGCAAGAACAAGTTGCTCAACGTCGGCTACAAGGGTGATCGGTCCTACGTCACTCGCGGCAATAATATAGGCGTATTCGGTCACAGCAATGAGGGCCTCAAGTTTGTCGGATCGATAACCAAGCTGAAGGACATGAAGGGCAAGAACTTCGACCCGAAGCATGTAGGCCCACCCACGTCTTAAGTCGAACTAGTGGGGCTGATGCGCGTTCCAGATGATGTTGCACGAGCAGGATAGCAAGTTGGTGCTCCAGAACCCCGATGCACCGAACTCCCTGTTTGAGCTCGACCTTGAGCGTGGCAAGATCGTCGAAGAGTGGAGGGTGCATGACAATGTGGCCGTCAGTCACATCGCGCCGGACAACAAGTTCGCCCAAACTACGCACGAACAAACCCTTGTTGGCGCATCGCACAACGCCCTCTTCCGCATTGACCCTCGCGTGTCTGGAAACAAGATGGTCGACAGTCAATACAAGCAGTACACGGGCAAGAATAAGTTCTCTGGTGTCACTACGACCGCTTCTGGCAAGCTTGCCGTCGCGAGCGAGAAAGGAGACATCCGCCTGTTCGACAGCATCGGAAAGAATGCGAAGACGGCTTTGCCGCCGCTCGGAGACCCGATCATCGGAATCGACGCCACATCTGACGGCCGCTACATCGTGGCAACGACGCAGACATACCTGCTTCTCATTGACACCCTGATCGGGACAGGGCGATACAAAGGCCAGCTCGGCTTCGATAGGAGCTTCCCTGCTGACGCAAAACCGCAACCTAAGCGACTCCAGATCCGCCCTGAGCACGTCGCGTACATGAACCACAACATCTCGCTTTCGCCAGCTCGCTTCAATACCGGTGAAGATACCGAGGAGAATGCGATTGTCACTTCAACTGGTCAGTTCGTTATCGCGTGGGACTTCAAGAAGGTCAAGAAAGGACAGCTGGACAAGTACGAGATTAAGAAGTGAGCACATATTTTATTAACCATGCTCGTGAACTGATATTATGGCTAGGTACGAGGATCTCGTGGTGCAGGATAACTTCCGTTTCGGCGATGACAATGAGATCATCGTTGCCCTGGAGAATAACGTTCTCTCACTGTCCAAGAAGCAGCTGAAGCGACCGACTCGCACTTCGCTCGCTCCGGAGACGGATCGTAGGCGGTCGCGGGGAGGCAGTGGCATTGTGCGCGAATATCGTTGAGTGTAGTTAATGGTGTCAAGGATCGTGCTATGTGTCTGGATTCTGCTTCTGTTGTGGTTCCCGGATGACAATGTACTGTACTGTATGGACGTAGCATTTGGTTGCTACCAAATATATCTGTTGAATGCTCTGCAGCAGTGTGCATGCGTTGACGCATACGGCCGTACGGGGTCATGTTTTCGAGCCTGGCACGTGTGACCTTTGAAGTGACTGGCGCGCGACGCGAAGCCGCTGTCCCGCCCACGTCCACGATCTGCTCTAACCCGGTAACCTATCGCCCCAAGATGATGAATTATATCTTGCTTGTCTCGCGCCAAGGTGCGCTTGACGACTAATGTACACCGTTTATGATACTGAAGGGGGCCGTAGGCAAAGTGCGACTTGCGAAGTGGTTCACGACATTGCCCCCAAAGGCGAAGGCGAAGATCGTGAAGGACGTCACCCAACTAGTACTCGCAAGACGGACTCGGATGTGCAACTTCTTGGAGTATAAAGGTGTGTGATTGATTGCCATAGCCCAGAGCCCGCGAGCTCACATTTTGTTTAGATACTAAGGTGGTGTACAGGAGATACGCAAGCCTCTTCTTCGTCTGCGGCATTTCCTCTGGCGATAACGAGCTCATCACGCTTGAAATCGTCCACCGATATGTCGAAGTGCTGGATCGCTATTTTGGAAATGTGCGTGTATTGACTCTTGCTGTATCTGTTCCCGGCTGACGTATCTGGATAGGTTTGCGAGCTGGACTTGTGAGCGCGCCTGGCGGCTTTTGACGTCTGTACTGAAATTGTGCAACGTAGGATCTTCAACTTCCAAAAGGCATACGCCGTACGCACAGATCTCTATGCACTTGGTCTTGTATTCATGCGCCCACTCCCAGATCTTGGACGAGTTGATTATATCTGGAGAGCTGCAGGAGTCGTCCAAGAAGTCAGTCCTGAGAGTGGTATGTATTCACTCATCGTCTATCGCTCGTAATATACCCACACGCGCACTTTCAAGGTCACGCAAGCAGATACTGTGGAGGAGCAAGAAGTCACAGAAGACTCCATAACACGGCTAGGCTCGCTGTCGCGCTCCTGAGCGTCGTTCAACGGCCACTTACCCGCAAACTGTTCTTGCATATAGGTCTCTGAGCAACGGCCCCGCATGCCGCTCTACCTACGAAGTTGCATCACGGGCCAGAAGCCCACAGGCAAGCCGAGAGGATCGGCCGTTGTTCAGGAAGACGAAGGGAGATTGCGGGATACCCATTTCTTTTCACTATTTACGTTGCATTAGATAAGTGTCAACTATGATATCGCCTGACTACTCGTGCTTCGACCGCTTCCACCCTGCCTCCTTCAGCGCCTTTCTCTGCCTCCTGTCCTCCTGGAAGAGCTTCTTGTGCTTTGCTTCAAGATCCAGGGTTTCTCCAGGAGCAAGATCAGGCCCGTGAAGAGGCAACTCCGGATAAGAACGCCATTCGCCATCTGCAAGTGCGTTGCGCATGAGAAGTGTATGTTCACGGACCAGCGTCATCGCAAAGGCGACCTCCGTCTTCGTGACCTCTCTGCGAGCAAGGCGGCTCATGAACTTCTCCATGGCGTGTAAGTCTTCCTCGGCCTGGTAAAGCTGCTCAGGGCGACTTCCGAACGAGCTTCGAGAGACCAAGGCGTGGAGATCTGAGTCTCGAAGAACGCTAGCGCGACGTCGTTCAGTCCATAGCCGGGTGTTAAGCGGTAATCAGTGTCGCAAATTTCGATCCTCTAAGATGCCAGGGACCGTCCAGCCGCCCGCGCGAGCCTCAGGGCCAAGCGCGTGTGGTACGTAAGTATACCCGTGTCCGCCGTCGTGACCCGGTGCGTTGACGCGCACCATCCAGTTCATCTCGAACGTGGACATATTGCAGTCAATTTTGAGCTCCTCTCCAAGTACAGTACGGAAGTAGAACCAGTAGTGGTCATCAGGGTCCTGCCCGTGAGTGACGCGCCGGTTCGGAGTGTCAACCTCGACATAGTTGAGTTTGTCCACGCCCGTGACAGTGGCAACACCAGCCGCAATGCCGAAGTCCGCGAGTGGGCCAGATTCATAACGCAGACGAGGTATCACATCACTTGTGTGCAGCGGCTCAGCGTACATCTCTGCGAGGAGTCCCGTCGCTATAGCGGTCAGTATGGGGAAGACAGATCCTTCGCGCTTGATACGCCACATAAGCCTACGGCGCGCGTCTGCGTCCGTCTCCAAGGGCCACCAGTGAGGATCCAGCATCGGCAGGGCTAGTGTGATGGGCTGCTTCTCGGCGAGGAAGACTTGTCGTGCAGTCCGACCGTCAGGCGATTGAATGACGGGCTCAGTTGGACCAGGCCTGTTTAGGATCGTTTTGCGCAGCGCGACGTGGGTTGGCTTAACAGAATGGATGTGCGACCATTCGACAAGCAGCGCGAGTAGCGGCCAGAAGGACTGAAGATCAAGGTACTGCCTCGTGTTGCAGACTTGCTTATGGACCGGCCGATCCTTCTGTTGACATTCCGCAGAGCAATACATGACCTTCACAGCTTGAGTCCGAGCCATCCACGACCTTGACCGGAAGGGAACATACCTCCTTACAAGCGCCGCAAAGTTTCTTGGGTTTGATGGCGCCGCAACCTCCACATAGTTCACCGTTCTCGCGAGGTATTTGTAACAAGCGTATCCGAGACAGACGTTCCGCTTCATCGGCAGCCACCTGCTTCCAGAGTTCTTATGCCTTTAGGACGAAGCACAATTGGGTTGTCGCACAAACTCACTACATTCAGTCTTGTGGCCACTCTTCCAATCCTGCATTTGACAGTAGGGCGAGCAGTACTTGATCTGTTGGATTGATTGTTAATCATGCCGAGTGAAGCCTGAGGCCTGAAGAGCGAACGTGGTAGATAATCCGGCACTTACCCGTCGGCAAGCAGTACAGAAGGTGATGTACTCCTTTGTGCCGCAAGTGGCGCATCGCTCACGCGGATTGATGCGGTCTTGACTATCGAATGTAAGTCGACGAAGCTGCTGAAGAAAATCGAAGATATTCTCTTTCGGTGACGTGGATTCGCTGAAGGGTTCTGCAGCAGACGTAGTCATTTCGACCGACAGAGTGTTGACACATGTACCTACCACAGCATCGTTTGTGTGCCTTCCAATGTGTGCGTTGACACTCCGCATTGCAGTATCTCGCCTAGATGGGTATTAATACGTATAGAAAGTCGTCATGCGGGACTGTCCCTCATAGACGGGGGGGAGGGGGGGGTTGGTACGTACCATCTTGCATCTTGAACACGACAGAAAGGGCTTCTGGGTCTGCGACTCATGCGCATAACAGTTTTCACAATAAGGTACAGACGGAGGGCGCTGGGGTGGCCACTCTCCAGCAGCGTCAAGAGCGTTCTGCCAGTCGATCATGTCTTCGACGACTCTGCCCTTCCCCTGAGCGTACAAGTCGTCGAGAAGCCCTGGTGCCTTCAGACACTTGACACAGGAACATGAGGCAAAGCGCGGGTTATGGCGATTGAGAGCGATTGCCACATCCTCATCCGAGTTCATCCATGACTCAATAGGAGAGGACATTCGTCTGCAGCTGGGCAAGTGGCAGGAGGTGGTGGCGGCGGTCAAGAAAGGGAATCACAATGCCCGACGGCTGCTGTTCCTCACGTGACACACACACAGAAAACCTATCACCCACTGGTTGTACTTTGAAACCAATTACAAGACGCCGTTTACGTTCCTCATGAAGCATCTGTATCGTTGTGCGGGAGAATACTACCAAGACGGTAACATGCATACACAAGACTAGGTTCTGGTAAAATATGTTTATGTATTAGGGTTAGGGTTAGCGCAATGCGCCGACCGAAAAATGGCCCGCCCAGCCCGAAGGCCGGAGCGGGACAGGAAAATATTGAGACGGTGCATGAGCCGAAGCCCATACAAACCGCGGGTTCCCCCTGAGGACAGGGTCGCCGTGCTATGGGAGGCCCCCGCGGCCCACAGCACACGGACATGAAGGGCGCTGTGCCATCAAGGTAAGTATGAGGATTTCAGGACGTGAGCCCCGCCCTCGTCGTACTTGCGGACGGCGCACGGACCATCACCAGGTCAAGTGATCGAATTGATTTCCGCGCCGCGACACGTCCGCGACCTGCTCTGGACAATGACGATCAGTCCCCCGAGATCCGACTAACATCTACGAGAGAGCTAAGTACCAATGCTATATGTCAGGCAGAAGCTTCAGACGGCTCTCAGTCAATGTACAAATTCACGGCTTATCGCATTTGAACCCCACTGATAGCTCGGAGTCTAGGTGAAGCGCGATTCAAGTCGGCTTCCTTCTTGTGGAGGCGCACCGCCGTCTCCAAGAATACAACTATTTCGTTACTAGACAAGCATTCGCTACCAGGTTTTCGCCTGATTGCTTTATGACTAAGCAGCACAACCCAACATTTCTCGTACATGGGGGCGCTACAGTTCGTGTCTTGAGCTCAGTGTTGGGAGAGCGTTCGCACGAAGGTCATCGTGCGATGCGAAGACATGCGGCTGTGCCATTTCGTCCAGTGACTCGAATATATTGGCCCTTTAATTGCCTTTGATACTGTCGCAGCAGCGTCCGACGAGTGTGAATCATGGGTGTTTTCAGTCATCTAAGCAACCATGATATGAGGTCTCTCTGTGTGAAATACTTGCATTCAAGTACTTATGCCATCGTTGACTCTGTCCAGCGGTCCGGCGCAGTCGATGGAGAGAGCATATACAAACATCAGAGTGACAGAACCCATAATAAGATCGCATGTGACCGCGTTTCGGGATTGCGTCACCACGCGGCTTGTCCGAACCCTCCGAGCGCGCTGACTACAACGACTCTCACTCTCACCACGATGTCCCTGTACGAAAAGGTGCGTCTGTACAACGGACTAGCCGGCACTGGACTAACTTCCCAATAGGTTACTTCGTTCATTCCTTGGGGCTCAGCGCCAGCACCCATTGCGACCACTACGAAGTACGACCCTACGGATCCCAAACAAAATCCCTTGAATCCCAAGGGCCTCAAACCGCAAGTGTCTCCTTCACTTGGCGACTGCTAACGCTGACAAAATATCTTACATTTACTACCTCCTCCCCACTCGACCGACTGACTCCACACGATAACCCGCTTTCGTCTCAAAACACAACACCAGATGCTGCGCGTGCCCGGAGACAAAGTCCAAACGCGACGCCTGTTTTCTGCAACATGATGGGGACAACGCATCCCAAGCATGTCAGGAGGTTGTGCAAGCGCATCTGGCATGCATGCGAAACCTTGGATTCAATTTTTGACTGGTATTAGCACGGCACATATCAGTATCGTGATGCGACGTTAATATTCAATCTTCATTCCACCGGGAAACATATTTCCTCCAGAACGCGTGATGGTGAAAGTGCGATGATGGCTGCATACTGTATGAGGGAGATTCATGTAGTAGTATAATGGAAATATGAGCACATACAGTTGATCACACAGAGAACTTCCGTATGAGACTCTCAGCCTGAGAACAGTCCGTACCACCCCGCGTGCAGAGCACCGTCCCCTCGCCAGTTTCTTTATCTTCGATCACGCACTTCACATCCTCCACCGATGGACAGGGACAATCCGCGGGCGCGGCGACACACTTCAGAGTGTCTGGGCACAAGTAGTTGGAGCATGGCGCTATACAATTGTGAGGAAGAACGTGATCAATAGAATCAAGGCACGTACTCCCATCCGCGAAAGCCAGCCACTGCGATCCAGAAGGTTGCTGTTGCTGTTGCTGCTGGTGATGCCCAAACATGTTACCAAAGAACGGGAATTGAGCAGACACGAACTGCAGGGAGCACAGTGCCAGAATTGTAACGTGGAACCAGAACATGGTGAGACGACAGGCGGTGGTGGAGGTTCAGCTCAACGCAGGTCAGAAGTCGCCACTTGTCATTATGCGGACGTGGCCTTCCACGTGTCAAACCTGCCCTGCAAATCCGACGATTGTTAGATCATATCATTAGCTATCACCTGCTACCGCGCTTCCCTTCAAGACGGAGCCTGCGTATCAGATGCGCTCGTCGCGATGAACATCGTCTCGAAACTTGCACGGCCACTAGCTACCGAATCGGCGGCTGATCGAGAGCGACGAATAGTAGCTGGCATCAAATATCAAATCGGGGGCTGGATGTCTTGCCGACGATATCCATCAGTGGGTGGGCCATCTTCTCGTGAATCTCACGCAAACAAGGTAGTACGTGCGTCCTCAAATGCAAGTGAACCTGCGTCGAAGTGGAGGAAACTAGTTCACTGGACAGGCGAGTCGCTGACAACGCCATCATTGTTGCGGAAAAGTTCTGCTGATATTTGATGCTCCGGACACAACACCGGAGTAGCGCGCAGGGTATATGGGTGGCGCGCCTATCTAGGACACTGCACATCAGCTGCGCGCTCCCTGGCCAACGACCCACCAGATCTTGGCAGCATCGCGACCTGTATGCTGTCTACTGTGCAGAGATGAGCGGGAGATAATCCTGTGCAGGCACAGCCGCCATGTACAGGCAGTCACGGACCAATAGCGAGAACAGTTCTAGCAAATGACCAGACACTATAAAGACCCGCGACCCTGGACTTGATCTAAACAGTCTGTCCGGTTACGACTCCTTCACGACCATTTCATTATTCTTCGAGGTGCAGGCCGCCTACGCTTTCCATCTCTTAACGATCCTTTTTCCTTCGTCTGTTCAGCCATCACGACACCGTCCATCTTTACTCCTGACCGTCCAAATTCATAATCATGCGCTTCTTCGCTACCGTATCTGTTGTTGCACTCGTACTCCCGGCACTGGCCGCACCTGCCGCGTACGTTTCAGAGCACTCTCACAACGAAGTACGATCTCTGATATATCATTCAGTGATGTTTCATCTGCTCGTCGCGACGTGAAGGCACGCAGATCAACCTCAGTCTACACGCGTGACGTAGACTTCGCGTCGGCCTTGCGCCGTACCTACGGCATACCGCCAGGCATTGCCGTCGCCAACGCCCAGTCCGCTCAAACGTTCGCCTCTGAGGAAGCAACACTGGCCAACGAGGAACAGGTTCTACAACAAGAGATCAGTGAAGTCGAACAGATCATTGAGGAGGAGGGCGGTGCCGCGGAGGCTGGCGGCGAGGGCGCTGAACCCGCTGCAGGAGCCGAACCAGCAGGCGAAGAACCCGCCGGTGAAGAGCCCACAGGTGAAGAACCCGCCGGTGAGGAGCCTGCCGGCGATTCCGGAGAAGCAGAGGCGGAGCCTGCGGCTGAAGGTGTCGAGGGCGCTGAGTCTGCACCAGAGGAAGGGGCTCCAAGTGATGAGACCGAGCCCGCAGCAGAGGGCGAGACTGTAGAGGCGGAGCCTGCGGCAGAAGCATCTGAAGATGCTGAGCCCACAGGTGAAGGCGAGACGGAGCCAGCAGGTATGTGTCCCCGTATGTCACGAGTGAAAGTTCGACTGACGGACGAAGCTTAACGACATAGCCTCGACCATAGCCGCCGCTCAGCCGGCATCCTACACCGCGACGTCAGTTTGTTCCACCGCTTCGAACTCTTCGACCAGCTAACTGTTGTCTAGAATCGTCGAGGTGTTCCTGTGAGCGTCTTCGGGCCTTATCACATCAGCTCGTTCATAGCGTTATCTGACCTATTGTAAACACAACATGAAACTGTTGTAGAGCATGTATGAATGTATTGTCTGAGTGACATTGGAAGAACAATATTAAAGACAGGGCCCGTGCTTCACCACGATGCACGATATTCATGATTAAGTCAGAGAGATTGGACAGAAGCCTGTGAGTCTGGCCCTGGCGTGTCAGGTTCTTCCGACCAACCGAACACTGTCCCAACACGTTCAGAGAAAGCTCTTCGCCCTACAGCACTCGCCTCGACCCAGCTCCAGAACACGACATCCTCGGTTTTCGCACCAATCTTCGAAAGCGTAAGATGTTTGCTACTAGCACGCTCGTCGTTCTGTGGTGTATCGCCTATCAAGTATAAGCCTCAGGAATCGTAAGCGATAGATGAGGATTTATACCTCGTTCAAAGAGCGCAACCCATTCAAAGTACTGCCCGACATGATCAAGGGCAAAATGACGAGCATAAGCACGCCCTCCGTCGCCGGGTCCTTCAACAAGGGGCAGCTTTAGTTCGTGGAGGCCGCTGTCGATGACAACAAGCGCCGTAATTGTTCTGTGCTTGGTCAGGAATCGTCGGTGTCCATCAATAGTTTCTTACATACGTTCCAAAAGATGAGATTGTCTCGAGCGCCGACGCGACAAGTCCCAGGTATGAAGACAACGTCGCGTTTGGGTCATCGGCGAAGTAATTCGAGAGCTGGCTCAATACTATCATGGCCGGTGGCGCTGCGACGGGAGCTTTACTTGTGAATGTCGGCTCGTCCGTATGCTCAACAACTTTGAGCATTGAAAGCACTGTGCACATGTGCATTGGTGTCGGTGGGTAACTGCGGTGCTTATTCGATAGGGCCACAGCTAAGCTCCTCAGGGTACGTACAGCGACGTGACGTTTGAGAGCAAAGACGACACAGCGCCGAATCCGCCGCATTCGTTCAGCCAGTCGTCGTTTAGATCAATCAATGCATTAAGATAAGTTTGGCGCGAAGGTGAGAGCAGTAGGGCAGTGCTATCAGGCCTGGTTGCAAGATGAGATAAGCATAGATGTATGGGCGCTGAGGCATGCAAGGGGCCAGCAACTAGTAGTGTTGTGAACTCTGGTAAAGTAGGGCAGGGTAGCGGGAAGAGGGTGGTCATGAAAACGACGACTTGAGCCGCATTACGGGGTGAGAACGTAGGGAAGATGGCGGCGAGAGTCAAGTCGCGTCTCCGTCTAGCTTGACCACAAACCACACGCTTGATGGGCATCCGCTTTCGGAGGTGACGATGCACCCGTTCGCGACGTATGTGCTACGGAGCTATTACAAGGCGACGGGATGGAACGAGGATAATCTGTACTCGAACCTGACCCGGTCCTCAAGCGCCCTGCTCGACTTTGCTGTCCCGCGTGGCCTCCACTTCTCGATCTCGAAGTCGCCCAATGCGCTCTTTCGGACGACATATTCCATGAACGCTCTGCCTTCCCTCAACGGCTCTGTCGGATACATATTTACTTCATGCCCGCTGAACCTGGCTTCGTCACGCGACGTCCGCTTCAAGGAACTTGTCGACCGCTTTCGGATATTCGACCAGCCGCGCCGACCTCAACCCAAGGAGGAAGTTTGGTTAGGCGGAGAGCGCGTCGATAGTCGGGGTACGTGCGTATACACGCTTTTCGTGGGAGGACGCCCTGCTGACGTTCATATTGACAGACTATCTGCTGTATGGCAGACTGTACATACCAACCGGTCGCCTTGACGCGGTGTACACGACGCGCATGTCTACAAACCTTCAGACCGTTATTGCCGCTATTTCCGATCCTCGAGCGGACGCTGCCCAGCTGACCGGTCGTGCGGGCGCATCCCCGAGCAACGTCATGTTTTCGCTGCAGCATGATACCGGCCGGACATGTACCGAATACACATATAGTGCCGAGGACATGATGCTCGGCGCTAGAGTATTGCATAACTTTGGAAGGATAGGCGGGATTGCGCCTGTGCCCGAGAATGGCGAAGCGCGCGAGCGAACGAAGCGTATCGATGAGGAGGACGCGATGGAGGGCGGCTTAAAGGGTCGCATAAGCGCTGGCGCAGAGCTATACTTCAGCGCAAAGGAGAAGAGTGCGGGCGTGAGCACCGGTATACGCTTCACCACACTGCCCGATGCTACCCCACCGTCGTTCCATATGCCACCTGAACCCTCGGCCTTCCCTCCCTTTGCCGTATCTGCGGGAACATCGGAGCCAACCCCATCAACCCTCTCTCAGCCGCCCACGACTATCACCGCGCTCTTCAATCCAATGATGGGACACATATCCGGTGCATATGCAGCTCGTGTCTCGCGCGAACTTGCACTCGGCTCGCGTTTTGACTTCAACGTCTACAGCTACGAGAGCGAATGGACTATGGGCGCAGAATGGTGGTTACACCGCGGACACGGCCAGGCTCAGACGGACGCAGCCGCGGCGGACGGCCTACCTTATTCGCCTTACGACGTGACTGGCGTGGTAAAAGCTCGTGCTTCGACATCGAACGAACTTGCTCTGATGTGGGAGGGAAGGATACGAAACATGCTTGTCGGGATCGGCGTAGCGGCTAATCTATCGAATCGCGCAAAACCGATTCGTTCACTCGGCCTTGAGTTGTCATACTTTAGCTCTGGATGAATGTGCACTATCTGGGTTTGAATGATACCCACCCAGATCCGTGAACGAGCTTCAAGATGGAGGAACAGCCGCCTCGACATCGGCGAGTTACGCAGAAGCTGATCACGGAACCCCAGTTTGCTATTCATCGGAGACTCACCGGCCCCCGACCGTCACTGCTACTACGAGAAATGTCAGCCGCGGAACGGCAATAACAGATAATATACGTATGCGTCGGCAGGGCGAGCGGCAGGCGACGAACCTGGTGAATGGGGCGCCATGAGCGGTAACATATCCGCCGCTCATGTGACTGTGGGCGCGTATGCCTTCTTCAATGAAGAGGTTGAGACGGCGAGCAACGCCTGTATTCTTTTAAGCTCTATCCTCTTCGCGCTTCGGAACGGTAGTATGTCCGCATATAACAACATCTATCTATAAATGCCCCCGCCCTCAGCTACGTTGGGAAAGTATCGCGTTCTGAGCCCGCATGCTGGGGCTCGCGTCTCTCCTCTTTCCCTTGGCGCAATGTCTATCGGCGGTAAATGGGCCAACGTCGGATTGGTGCTACGGACAAGAAGAACAGCTTCGAGCTTCTCGATGCGTGCTACTACAAAGCAGGCGGTAACTTTATCGACACGGGCAACAACTAGTGCGCTCTATCCAGTTCCTGTGTTATCGTGTGACTGAAGCACATGTTCCAGCCAAGACACGACTTCCGAACAGTTCATTGGCGAGCGGATGGAATCCCGCTGCAACTGCGATAAAATGGTCGTCGCGACGCAAGTGCGCCTCGCCCTCACGTAAGAAGCACGCCGCAGAACTGGAGAGCAAGGTCTCAATATTCTTGGTCAAGGCTGGGAGCGTAACGAACAGGAGAATCAGATGGCGGCAGCTCTTGAGAAGATTGCTCCTGAGGTTGGCACGAAGAGCATATAGTCTGGTTCGTCTCGCAGTGCACTTCACTGGTGTTTTGTCCGCACACTCACTTTCGTCCCTAGTGAATATTGCGTATGTCTTTCAGAAGACCCCTCATGTCTTCCCAGTCAGCGGTGGGCGTAAGGTCGTACACCTGCACTTGAACATCGGCGCGCTCAACGTAACCCTCTCAGAAGATTATGTCAAGCAGATCGAGAGCCTATTGCCATTCGAGCACGGGTTCCCTTACAACTTGTTTGTACGTGCTGCACACAGGTCTTGGTCGCATATGTCATTCATCGCGTCATGATAGGCTCAAGAGGAGGATGAGGGGGCCAACCCGATTATGTTCATGGGTGGCCACTTCGACCGTTGGCCTCTTCGTTATCCCGAGGAAGTGACTCAGTGCTAATCGCATCGCGATTGTCTTCGATAGGTCTCATTCTCGCGCTTTCAAATCCTCCGGGTCTCCAGACGCAAGCTTCATAGAATGGGTAGCATCATGTGCCCATATCTATAACAGGCCCATGTTTATCTCGGACTGACCCGTATATCAAGTTTGCCAGAAGCATGAAACAGTGCCCGATATCTGAATGATTGGACTCCGACCGCACGATACTTATCCACTAGAGCAGTCGCCGAGAAGAAGGCAATGCATCCCACACATAATATACAACCGAGAATAGATATAGAGCATAGGCGGTGCATCCGAGAAGACGACGGGTAGGAGCGATGGGGCAAAAGGCTGATTACATCCGGGAGAGGTCGTGATGTGTCGAAAGGGCCACGTAAAATACATGATAATAGACAGCGAGCGAGCAATCAGGCAAGAGGGGGAGGGTATTGACACTTATGAGGTGGCACCAACGGTGATCAGGCGGCTGAAAAGACCAGATATCGAAGCGTAAATACGGGAGCCGAGCCAGGAAATTCGTAGAACAGGCCGTGTACGTGTGTAATGGGCATGGGTGTACGCATATATTGCAGACCTCGCGGCGAACTTGTCAAGGTGGAGTGGCGGTCGCGGCTTCGCGCTTCAGTGCAGAGCCCCCACCTCCAAGCGTCCTAGCGATCTGAGCAAGTGCCGTGCCTGCTATGACAGGACGACTGCCCTGTCGAGAATGGCGCGCAGGACCGCCTGCGCTCGGTGGTGTACTCTGGGTCCTTCCGTGACGGGCTTGTGGCCCGTGACTTGGTGTAGTAGAACCCGAATGGAACTGGCGATGTGGTACACCATTCATACCCATATTTCCAGGACGGCCAAGTGTTCGGGATCGAGCGTGAGTTGCATTGAAGGCGGGAGCACTGTGCGGGGCGGCAGGAATGGATGAGTCGGAATGGCTGGTGTTCAGGGTGGAGACATCTGTCACGACGGGGTTGTGTGCTGGCCTCGCGGTGGTTGCGAGTGAGGATGGCGCGGATGGCGAGGTGGCAAGCGAAGGCGTAATGTCGATAGCTGGTGGGGGTGCCTTTGTGTGTTGCTCCGGTGATTTTTCGGTCTTGAGCTCGTCCTTGAGAGAGCCAATAGACGGCGAGAGCCCGGAGGCAGTCAACAGCGGGGTCTTGATCTGCGTGGGCAGCTGCTTGAGGCTGTCGTCCAGAATTGGCGACATGAGCTTGTCGAGGCCGCCCGTACTCGTCGTAGAGGCCGACGGAACACCCCAGTCGTCGAGATCCGGCAGCGTATCGTCCTCATCGTCGCCAGCCCAGTCGATATGGCTAGCGCTACCTGGGGTGATGGGACGCTCCATGGCCATATGCCTGACGTGATCGACGAGCGAGTCGATGCCAGAGGTCTTGATAGTCATATTCGGCTTGTCTGGCGCAGGGGCTGCCAGGTGCGGAGGCGCATCCTTGGTCACCTCGATGACAGGAGCGATAGTGACATGTGGAGGCCCGTCCTTCGATACTTCGACAGCAGGTGTGACGGGCTCAGACGCTGCAGGGCCTTTGCCGCTCACGGACTTTGGGGTAGCGGCGCTGCCATTTACGGCTTTGGCTGACCCGGAAGGCTTGTTCCGGGGTCTTCGCTCATTGCGTGGTCTCTTAGGCGTGGTAGCCGCCTTGTCCACGTTAGGCGAGGCGGGCATTACGTTGACCGCCGGAGCCTTCGGCTGAGGCAGATTGCCGTTCTTGCGGCCAGGACGGGCGGAAGCGGGTGACGGTTTCGCGACGGACGGAGTCTGCGCATTCTTCGCGTTCGTAGCAGCCGGTGCAGGCGTGGTCGTGACTTTGGGTTCTGGTTTCGGCGTAGGAGCAGGAGCGATGACGCTTGAAGTCGTGCCCTGTCCGCCGACACTCCCGGCAGCGCCGCCTCCACTCCCAGCCCCGCGCCTGCGCGACGGCCCATTTCGTACGCCTCCACGACCTCTATTCACAGCACGGGTTGGGTTGCCGCGGTCTCCTGATCGAACATTATCCGAGCCGCGAGGAGGAGGTGCAGAAACCGAGGCCATTCGCCAGCACAGATAGGGCAGCTTCCGCTAGAGCCCCGTTTAGAGAGTGTGAGAGCGACAGCGGGAGGCAAACGACAGCTCGTTGACAGTCGGGGAGGTATGGAAGGCGTGAACGTGGACAGAAGCAGGAGCCTGAGACGGCGCGCCAGCTTGGCGCACGGCCCGTGCGCGTCTTAGGCCAGAACCACCACCCAAGCCCCAGTCCAAGTCTCCAAGACTCGCGCCATGTCCAAAGCGTCTCAGCCTGAACTCAAAAAGGTACGTGGGACGCCTCGAGAGATATTGACGTGCAATTTACGATCTCTGCAGTTCATGGACAAGAAGTTGTTCATCCACCTTCAGGGCGGCCGCAAAGTCAGCGGCACATTACGCGGATACGACCTCTTCCTCAATCTCGTCGTCGAGGACGCGATCGAGGAGACTACTCCCACCCAGAAGCATCCCATAGGCACTGCCGTGCGTCTTTCTTTCTCGACCTTGGGATGGTGTACTCACCTCGTGAATGCAGGTTATTCGTGGTAACAGCGTAACATCCATGGAGTCCCTAGAGGCTATGCGGTAGCTTTGTATGGTATTTTGTACGCGTTTCCCAAAGTCTCACAATGCTCTCTGTACGAAACACTGCGGACTTCCGGTGCGCGATTCATTCGTTGTGGTACATAACTGGCCAATGACTCTTTCGAAAGAATTCCGCGCCTCCCATATTCGCATCGAAGCCAACCAAGGGCCGGGCACTCGTAAGGCGTTCATGAGTGATTGCTGGGTGCCAGGTAGGTTTCTGTATGTCTCAACAACGGCGGGATCGATTAATGTAACTATATCCGTAAGTACGCGAGATGATAAGATCGCCATGCATGTCATAACATATTTTGCAAGTGTGCGAAACGATCCAGTCAATGGAACCGCGTGCGTTCGAAGGTAGCCTTTGAGGTTCTCTGGAGATGTGCAAACGCGAAGGTGCCGATCAAAGAGCGTCATTTCATCGGACGATTATCTTGTTCAAAAGATAGTATGCACCGCGCAAATTTCCAGCCCTAGAAGGCAGGGTCCCAACAGTGTAGTGTGGCGTTTTCACCATTCTGAGCTTGTCGCCTCGAACCTAGCTGTGGGTGACATGTTGCGTGATTTGATGCACTTGTTTCTATCAGGCCTCTCTTGCCTGTACTTGCTAACTAGATGCCGACCGGGTATTGTCACGGCACATTGCGATACACGTTTAGCCTTGAAAGATCAGGTGGAAGGGTCAGCTCGTGGGTCCTGATCGAAATCCGTAAGCACTGCGTCCAACTTGTCGCTTAATTTCCAATTCTTCTGCTTACGGACGGCGTCGGCGGCGCTCGCTCCTGCTTGGTCAACTTGTCTTCTGTCCAAAAATATTAGAGACCCACTCAGTGAGCTCTCCTCTTCGCTCATTTTTGTGATGCGCTTACATGGTCTTGTACGAACCGGGTTCAAGAACAGGTACAACGGTACCTTTCCCGTTGGAAGAACGTCAGCATCGCATGCTGACTACGAGATGTCGCGGTCTTCCGCTTGAGTATAAAGGGACGACAGGACACACCTACCGACTTTCAACTCGACGGTCTATACTCTCTTCTTGATCTCCTCCTCTCACAATCATGTCTTGCGAACACTGCGTTACTGGCCAGTCTCCCTGCGCCGCCAGGCTCTATTCCACATGAGCACACACTGACATTCTCATCAGGCGTGCGCCACGAAGGTACACCTGAGGGTAAGGTTCGTATGCATGAGTGAGGATGCAGTCTCTGACAATGCGCGTCCAGGCTCCTTCGTCGAGATCGCTGGCATCCAATGTTACGTCGCTACTCCCGCCGACGAGTATGACAAGGCCAAGGTCATTCTCTACATCACGGACGTCTTTGGCATTGAGCTTGTCAATCACCTCGTAAGCCAGCTACTATGCCACAGTGACCTACCTAACTCTTGGCGTCTTCAGCTTCTTGCGGACGATTTCGCTCGCGCTGGTTTCAAGATCGTCGTTCCCGACCTCTGCGAAGGCGATCCTCTCCCGTCGGACTTTTTCACCGACGTGCGTCTCATGCCTATTACCCTGCTCTGCCCATGATCTAATGGTTTCATATCACAGCCGAAGTACAAGGAAAAGCTGATGGACGACCTTCAGGCGTGGCTTGCCCGCCACACTTTTGCGCACAACACTAAGCGCGTGCAAAAGGTCATTCATGCGCTCAAGGCCGACGGCGTTCAGCGCTTCGGGTCGACGGGATACTGCTACGGAGGGCGAATCATTTTCGACCTCGTGTACGTCAATGAGCTTGACGTTGCGGCCATGTCCCATCCCTCCTTCCTCGAGATCGCCGACTTGGAGGTAACGTTATCATCAGCCTGACACTTGCATAAGTACGGTGCATTGAGAGACTGCGGCAGAGATATGCCACGAACCACAAGATACCGCTTCTGATCAACAGCTGCGAGGTCGACACACAATTCACCGAAGAGAAGCGTAACAAGGCGCTCGAGGTCTTCAAGAATTGTTCGGTCCCTTTCAATCAGCCATACTTCCCCGGGTGCACGCATGGCTTCGCTGTTCGTGGTGACATGGTATGTATCTTGTAACTCTCGTGACCAGTCAAAGACTGAGAGGTGCCGCAGAACAACGCTTTGATCAAAGCTGGCAAGGAGGGCGCTTTCAAGAGCATCGTGGACTGGCACAAGAAATATCTGTAGACAGACGCAGCTGATGTACTCTGCAAACTGCCTAATACAGCTTTGCTGTGCCTCGATCAACGTTGGAGTGGCTCGTATGATCGGCTGACTATCTCCATTGTATGGATGCAAGTCGGCGATAACATATGAGTAGACGTATACATAGAAATCCTGTAACACTGAACAGCGCAAACCCAGAGAAACAAAGGCAACGGTAAGGACAGTTTGTGATGATAAGGAAAGCTAACCGATAATCATTAATCAACGTCTGTTCGAGCATCCAAGTTCCAGTCCGGATTTCGGCGCATCCACAACGAAGAAGTAAGCGATGGGCAGGACACACTCGCGCTCACATTACAAGCACGATCGCACCGATGAGAATTGTGCCAATCATCGCATAAAGGGTCGTCCGCGATACGAACTCCAAGGTAACTGCATTGCTGCTGTTGCCACTACTGGAGTCGCTACTGTTGCTGCTGCTAGTCGAAGGAGCACCGGTACTGCTGCCACCCGACGCGCTGACAGAAGCGCTAGAGAATGTCGAATTGGCTACTGGTGCAGGCGCGCCAGTGAAGGTCTTAACGTAGTTGATCTCCCAGTACGCGTTGTCGTAGTTCGATGCGCTTCGAACGAGATCTTGGCAGTGGGTTACACTTGGGCATGTCTGGTGGAAGATACTGTCCAGACCGGCATAGTTAGCGCCGCAGACCTCGATGTCGAAGATGATCGCCTGGGGCGAAAAGAACGTAGTCGGATCGCAGGTGGAAGCAGGGTAGGACGCGCCGGGAGTCGGCCAGGTGGAAGGGTCTGGGGTGTTGGACGCGAGATCGCTGGGAACGGAAGACTTCTGCATGTAGCGTGAACAAGAGCAGACTAAAGAACTCACAGAAGAAGATACTCACAGGAAAGAACCACATCTGAACTCCGTTATTCGACCAATACATGGCGTATACACCACCAGCAAAGCTCGCGCCGACGCTGTTCTGCGCGGGCTCTTGTACGATGCAACCTGCGTTACCATTGGCAGCGGAGTCGCAATTATCGGTCTGCGTTTGAACGCCGGTACGTGGGAAGGAGGAAGAGTTGGATAGCGTGCATCTAGAAGTATGTAGGTGAACCCAGGTGAGCGGGCACAGTCTGCAACGCATCCAGACAAGTGACGTACCCGGTGCGGGTATGCAAGCTATATTGATTTTGCGTCTGCAAATTGATGGACTCGATCTATGGGCAATTCAGAGATCAATGGTGAGGCTATGCTTCCGCACTAAGCTCACGATGTCGATCTCGCCACCATGGTCTGTCCGTGTGGCATCATCAAGCGTCCAAAAGGCCGGCCATACACTGCAGCCAAACGGTATATGAGCGATCGATGCCACTAGGAGCGTGTTGACGTTTATAGGATCCTTGGAGACAATCTGAACTGTATTCCGCCCGAACTCGCTGTAAGGACCGGGGTTGGGGTCGTTTGTCGTGTTGTCTACACGCAGGATGACGTTGCCGGCGCCATTGACGAAAGCGAGCTTTACGGGGCCGTTCATCGCCGTGCTGCTGTTGACATAGCTAAGGGGCGGCTGATTGAGCGTGTACAAAGAAGTTGGGACGAGGCGGCCACTCACTTGATATTACCCGCGTTGGGATCGAGGACGCCGTTCGCCGGATCGGTAATGTTGAAATTGAACCCTAGGCTTGCTATCAGCCGCAGGTCCGCATTCTAGGAATCAGCGCATACCGTCGAAGAAGCCTTGACCGGCGAAGTTGTTCGTCAGTTTCAGCGTAGTTGCCGCGAGTGTCCCTACGCTGGCGAAGGCGAGCAGGATGAATGCCCGGGAAGACATGGGGAAGATGGACCACCGGGGACAAAGCTTGTCCGCGTCGCCAGGGTATATGTAGTGGTTATGGGAGATGTATAAGCAAATCACAATCAACCAGGTCGGCAATGCAACATCTTCATGTGGGTCTGAAGTTCTTCGCTATTCAGTACCTGGGCGCTTTCGGTAAGATTTAGCCGTTTCGCTTGTAGAGCGGGGGAGACGGCGTCCTTACCAGGTACCGGACGTTGTGAAGGATCTGTAAGGGCGACTCTGCAGCGTCCATGATCTCAGTGCGGGTCTGCGACGTGAAGAGTCACGCGCATGGAGATGCTCAAGAAAGAGTCTGTTTGGGCCAGGTTCGGGCCAAGCTTATGTCCTGAGTATCCCATACGCTAGTTCCCTGTCTGGCGGCTCCGCCGGCCCACACCACACGTTCGGGCCGGACTGCCATGTTCTATCACGGAGAGTGCATTCCGAGCGGCGCTGTTGAAACAGCACGCCGGCTCAGTGAGTGTCGGCAATTGCAGGTAGAATCAAAGGAGTTCTGGGGCATGGACCCGGCATAAGCTCACGGTGGGTCGGAATCCGTGTTCGCCTCTTACAGACGAAGAGGGGGGATCGCAGGGTACTGCTCCAAGAGGGAGCACAGATGAAGCTCACACCTGCCAATGTACCTACTCAGTGGGTGCAGTCAAGGGCGCGCAATTCGGATTGAGTAGTGATTCTCGACTCGCTTCTCGTATGAGCTCCGAGGATGTGCTTAGGCTTGAAGGCTTCACAATACAATGCGACATGGAACCCAGAACTTGGAAAGTTGGGCAAAAACTTGGCGTGCGAGTCAGTAACAGCCTGGGAGAGGATGATGATAGACGAACAGATGGCATGCTATCAATCACAGAGGGTCGGTGACCTGATCCGTGCGCCGCGGCGGACGCGTCTAGTGACATCGTTCAGCATGCGGTCATGAACTTGAAGAAGAGGTACCCACGAATACGCACCAAGTGAAGTTCCCAAGTGCGTCGGGATCTGCGTTCGTAAATACTGTCGAGGCGTCGCCAGCATCATGACCCTCAATGGTAGGCCCCAAGGCACATGTCATACGCAAAGCGGCAACGACAAGCCGGGCCAGAGGTGGAAAGGCAATACCGATGCAGCACGTCAAGCGGGCCTCTGGCCTCCCAGAGACGCAGCAGTAGTCGGGCGGTATGGCGGCAGACGTGTCCTTATATTATATGTATATGCAGCCTCGCTGTTTCCTCAGCTGCGTACTTGCGCAGCCGATTATACACATCGACGCGGAAGCGGTACACTGTTCGTGCGCCCAGGTAACAGCATTTACCTGCTCAAGGTCGCCCCAAGAGGACAGTCGGCGTAGTGCGCTCTCGTCTAATGATGGTGGGGTGCAAGCCCGAGTGTGGGCGAGTGGAATTGGCAAGAGCAACTTGCGGGGATAGAAACCGACTGTGGCGGTTGGAGACAAAGCACGAGATGACACCGGGTCGCCCTCGGAGACCCTCCTCCGATGGAAATCGGCTTACTATCAGATACTGACTGCCGAGCGCGATTGGACGCGTTCTGTCGGCCGCACACGAGCCGATTGGCCAGTGCCGGGCCTCCGCGCGTCATGACGATGAGCGAACCGACGCTGAAGAAACGACCTCGAGAATGTGACAGGAGCAAGAAAGGCGTGGCATGCAGCGACGATGAACGCACTCGAATGAAGAAAGGGACATGCAGCCTCGACAGGAATATCTGGGAATGTCTTGGGATGACGAGTGTGCCGCGGGCGAGCACAGGGGCGCCGGACGACGATTGGCTGAGGGAATTGGCAATTGGGTCCGGGCGGAGTGCTGAAAGATGTGAGCGGGAGTGGGTTGCGCACATCGAACCTTTCCTCCCACCGTCACTCACCGTCTCATCTCAAGAAATAAGAATGCTCCGCGCCGCCGCCGCCTCTGCTCTCCGTGCCGCCGCTCGCCCCGCACCGGGCGCTGCACGGCCCATCGCTGCACGGACGCAGCGCTTCTACCACGCAAACGTCCTCTCGCACTATGAGAACCCTCGGAACGTAAGCCGCCAGCCAATCGTGGCCCGCGATTCGCCTTGTCTGATAAGTACTCCCAGGTCGGCTCGCTGCCCAAGAACGACAAGGACGTCGGCACCGGCCTCGTCGGCGCACCAGCGTACGTCTGCTTTCTGTGCCTGACCCTGTCGCCGTCGGCGCTGACGGCGAGTGTTCAGATGCGGCGACGTGATGAAGCTGCAGATCCGGGTGGACGAGAACGGAATCATCTCCGACGTCAAGTTCAAGACCTTTGGCTGCGGCTCTGCCATTGCCAGCAGCAGCTACATGACCGAGCGCGTAAAGGGCCTCTCCCTCGAGGAGGCCGGAAAAATAAAGAACACGGAAATCGCAAAGGAACTCGCGCTCCCGCCCGTCAAGCTGCACTGCTCCAGTTCGTATCTCCCCTCTTTGTCATCGCTTTCGCTGCGGTCTGACCGATGTCTCCCAGTGCTCGCTGAGGACGCCATTCGCTCCGCCATCCGTGACTACCACAGCAAGCGCTCAAAGATGTCCGACCCCAAGAAGGCCGCCGGCTTCATCGACGTCTCCCAGTCCGCAGCAACCGGCGAGACAGTTGCCACCGCACATCCAGGACAGGCGTAATGCCCTCGCCTGCCCATCCGCCCTTTACTCTTGCAGTCTCGCAGTGTTGTCGTTGTCGTTGCTCCAAGTGTCCTGCTAGTCGCCGCCGCCGGACGTGTACTATAGTATCTTAACTCTTCTCCTCTCTGTCTTCTCACACGTAGTCTATCGCACACCAGCATATGCATTAACATGTCCTTATACGATCATAGCGAGGGAACGTATGGTAGTGCCACGGTGGCATCGCCGCCTTCACTTTGCGGCCCCTTTTTGTCCGACGAAAGAAAAGGTGCCACCAGCGAACCACTTGTCGTTCGCCTCCTTGACGCGTGCGGCAGCGGCAGCGCGATTTGTCAGCTCGAACCCCTGTACGGGCGTGACGATCAAACTGGAGGCCGTGCCCTCCGCCTGCGAGCCTTGTGCGGCGCGCGTCAGCGCCTGTGTTCGCAGACGGTTCGCCTTGCTCATCTTGGCGCGGCTCTTCGCCTCGCCCTGGTTCGCGCGGACCCGTCCGCCGACGCCGATCATACCCAGCCCCCGCGTCTCGTCGAACGCACCCACTTCCTGCTCCGCCTCACCGAACGCCATTCGGTTCGAAAGCTTGCGGAGCTCAGTCTGCGCGTAGGCCTCTTTGGCCTTGCGCGCCCGCTTCCCGCCCCGCCGTTTCTTGGGGCCGTCGTTCGGGACGGGCAGGGCCTTGGTCACCTTGGAGGGTGGAGGGGCGGTGAGGCGGTCGAGGTGCTTCTCGATCTTGTCGCGCAATTCTTCGCCATAGCTGCCTGTAAAGTCATGTCAGCAAGCGCATAGAGATGTCGGCATCGTGGGCATACCGTCTCGTCTCGTACGCTCGAGGTCCATCCGGGCGGCGAGAACGCACTTGGCGCCGACGGTGCGCTGCATCTTGAGTTGATGCTCGCTGGGCGTCTGTTGGATGAGTTCGGACTGGTAGACGAAACCCGTGTGCCGACGTGTGGTTGCAGAGGAGAACCCGGCCGCGATCTTCTTTTGTGCGCCTAGTAACTATACGACGTAGTCGTTATGAGATGTCGATCTAGTCGAGGGGAATCTGAGCTTACATGGACATTACACGAGGGCATTCTGGCGAGACCGCCGAGACCGCCTGCAACGCCGAGGAGCTTCGCTGCTGTGGTGGTGCCGACGATGGCAGATAGGTTGGGAGCGAGAACATTCATTCTTGAAGAGACGTACATGAATATCTGAGTGTGCCGTTCAGGAAAGTAAGTAGAGAGCTGAACGCATGGACACAAACCTTTCTCCGGGCTTCCTCGAGCTGGTCAGCGAGATCGCATGCGCGTTGAACGGCTGCCCACTCGGCGTCGCTGAGCGGGACGCCCGAAGTCGTGGTCGAGGTCATGAGCACGCTCATGACGACGGGCCCGGGTAGCACACTGCCGAGATCGGCCTTTGTGGGGTCTTCGTCGTTGGCCAGTGCACGGACGGCTTTGATGTACATATTCGGGTCCTCGACCAGTTGCTCCAGCTCTGGGAACTTGGTGGCGTAGTGATCACGGATGAACTTGTGCACGACCAGGATCTCGTTGTCAATGTCGACGGCAAGGTTATTGGCGAGCACGATCAGATTATATTCCGGATTGGAGTGTACGGGCTGGGACATCGCCTCGTCGGTGCTCGGCTGGGACTGGTAGCGCTCGACGTCGGCCATGATTTCCTGCATCCGCTTCGAGCCGACGAGCTTGGCGACTTGTCGGACGTCATCCACGCCGCCCAGCGCCATCTGCTGCACGTCCTCCACGTCCAGCTCGTCCGCGGGCCGGACTCCGCCCTCGAGCACGAGTCCCCCCTTTGCCTCGGCCTCTTCCTCCATCTCGTCCCCCGAGTCCGACGCTTTGCGCTTCAGGCCGTTCACCGCCCCAGGCGCGCTCGATGATTCCGCCGCCGCCTCCTCTTCGTAGTCTTCTTCCCCGTCCGACAGACCGTCGAGGTCGTTCATGAGCTCATCCGCGAGTCCACCCATCGTCACAGAGCGGATGGTGGTCGTATTCAGCCAACGTGACCCAAGAGCCGGCGAGTGGCGCGCGTCTTGCTTCCTTCACCCATGGCGGCTCGAATTGGCCGCGTTGAATACGATACTTTCGGATCCTCAGCGCTCCTTATGGTTGCTCCCGCCTTCGACATAAGGTATGGTGCACACGGTCGACATTCCGCACCTCTTCATTTCGCGTGTTGTGCCCTCGACCTGCGCTTCTCGAAGTACTACAGCGCTGTCCTCCCAGACATCGTGCAGCTCATCTTGCAGGAACGGCGACTCGAATTGCTCGATTCGACTCGCTACAATTTGATGACCACAGCAGACGTCCAACATTCAGGGCCGAGCCGTGGAAACGCCCTGGTTGCAACACGCTGAAAACACGAGGCCCTTGATATCAGCAGGCTAGCCCAATTACCCAGCAACTGAATGGGACGGAACCCCTGCGGACTCTGATAGACCAGCGCCGACGAGCATCTTCGGAACGCGCTCACAATGAACACGCTGCGCTTCTCACCTGCCTCGTGGGCTGACTGTTTCGACCGATATATACCGGGAGCTACTTATGACAGCTATCGACTGAATACCCCTCCTTCTTGACCATGGACCACCAGTTCGTCATGGACCCGGTAAGAGGTGTGGCCTCTTCCAGAGAAAATTCAACACCGTACGCGATTATATACTCCTATCCGCATTCCAAGCGCTGACCTGTATCGCGTACCACAGGCTGTGGTGCGACCCACGCCTTGTGCCCGCCTATGTCTCTGTCTTGTCAATTATCGTCGCTGCCTTCTCTGTGGTCAAAGCTACTCTGCAGAAGGTCACTCCTGATACCAGCAAAGACGCACATGGCCTCGACGCACCGCAGAAAGGCCTGCATGGCCACATATCCTCACATGGCGGGACCACCATATACGCCTTCAAGATTGTGCGGACCCTCTGCGTCCTCATCCTGCTCGCGCTCTACGCACACGATCTCGCGCACGACGCCCCCTCGAACTTTACATCAAGGGACAAGGCCTTGAAACTCATACTCTTCCTGACCTCAGTACGAAGATATATGTCCGTGAGAGATTGGCAACTCACCCGTGCTCTAGCTTTACGCGTCCTTTCTTGCCCTCTTGGACGTCGCTGCTCGATCTGAGGTAACACGCCCAGGCGCGCGACACTTGATCGTGATTCTGCTCGCCAGTTGCGCTGTGTACGGCTTCCGCGACATATGGCCCTTCATGACCTATACGCTTGAACCGCAGGATAAGCTAGGAGCTCTTCTGTGGATCAAGCTCGCACTCTTCGCACTGGCCGGTGTTATCATCCCCTTAACCATTCCTCGGCGATATATCCCTCTGGACTCTGAGGTGACTATTGTCACAGCACTCCTGCACTACGCATTCTGAGAATGATTACAGAATCCCGCCGAAGAACCGAGCGCAGAGCAAACGTGTTCTCTATTATCCTTGCTCACGTATAGCTTCTTAGACAGGATCATCTACGCGACGTATAGTAACCCGCAACAGGCGTCGAAGGCTGTGCCCTCCCTCGCGGACTACGACCGCACAGCACATCTTGTTGATCGTAGCTTCAAACACCTAGATGTCTTCTCGGGCGCTCGGCAGCAGCACGTCTTCTTCGCTCTTTTGCGCGTCTTCAGTAAGTGGAGAGTATGACCCATGATCATCGTCGCGATATTGAGGTCTTCTAGGACGTGAGTCTCTGCTCATAGCAGGCATGATGGTCATTAGAGCATGCACCACTCTGTTTGCGCCGCTCGGCATCAACCGCCTGCTCGCGTATGTCAGGTTTCTCCCCCCCTGCACTGCCTCACTCACGCCCGTGCAGGTACCTAGAATCGGGCGGAGAAGGCGCTACGGTACGACCTTGGGTCTGGTGTCTCCTGATGTTTCTGGGTCCGACTCTGAGCGCTGTCGCTCAGCAATACTGCACCTTCATTACTGTATGCCTCCCTCGTTTTATATCAGGCATCCTCTGAGAGCGACCAACAGACCGCCACCATTGTTCGCGTTGAGGGTATACTGACCCAACTCATATTCGAGCATGCACTGCGTCTCCGCGTCAAGACCTCGACAGGTAGCATAGGGGACGAGGACGGCGATCGAAAGGAGGATCATATGAAGGACGACAACTTTGCCGGGAGAATCAATAACCTCGTTACAACAGACTTGCAGAATTTGGCAGGCGGCCGCGACTCGGGCTTGCTCGTCATCTACATCCCCGCAACTATCGCCGCCTCCCTATACTTCTTGTATGGTCTCGTCGGTTGGAGGTATGCCTCACTACGCTGCTCTCAGAGCTGGAGAGCTGACGGTGTATCAGTATCTTCGTTGGATTGGCGGTCATGATCATCTCTCTCCCCGTCCCAGGCTATCTGGCCAAGCTGTTACACAGTGCTCAGCAAAACGCGATGAAGAGCACAGACGCGCGTGTCCAGACGGTCACGGAAATGATGGCTGTGCTCAGGATGATCAAGCTGTTCGGCTGGGAAGGCAAGATCGCGGAACGTCTCGAGAAAAAACGGGCAGATGAACTCCATTATATCCGACTTCTGGAGATGATACAGCTGTGCACGAACGGAATAACTCTGTGAGATATAGAGTGTTACCTTCAAAGTCCTCGCTGATGGCAAACGTAGATTCGTGCCCGTCTTTCAGATGGTGTCCACGCTTTGGATATACACCATCGTTATGGGAGGCAGACTCACGCGTACGTCGCCTTACTTGATATACTGGGCACATCACGCTCACTCGTCTTGCAGCGTCGATTGTGTTCCCCGCAATGTCTGTCTTTATACTTCTCCGCATGCAGATTGACTGGGCGGTCTATCTGACCGAGCCGGCCATCAAAGGTGGGTTTACCTTCGTCATATCATAGCATCTTGATGACCGCTCATGTGTGATATAGGCAAAGTGTCTCTGGACCGCATTACGGATTTTCTGCGCGAAACCGAGGTGTTGGACCAGTACGAGTACGACCTTGATAAGCGCGTTTCAGAGAATCCATTCAAGCGACTTTCGGACGAATCGATCATCGGCATGCGGAACGCTTCTTTCACTTGGTCGAAGCCGGCGGTAGTTAGTGGCAATCAATCTCCCGCGAGGCGCCTCTTCGCTCTGCACGTCCCAGGGGAGCTTACCTTCCAACGCGGCCGGATCAACCTCATCGCTGGCCCAACGGGCAGTGGCAAGACAAGCTTGCTTATGGCGTTACTCGGCGAGATGCACTTCGAACCGCTTGGCATGGACGCATGGGTCAATCTACCGCGCGCAGGTGGTGTCGCCTACGCTGCACAGGAGAGCTGGGTTCAGAACGAGACGATACGTGATAACATCGTCTTCGGTGCTCCATTCGACGAGGCCCGTTACAGGAAAGGTACGGTGATGAATTCATACAGAGAAGCCTATCTGATTCGTCACAGTCATCTACCAATGCGGTCTAAAGCGCGATCTGTTGCTCTTCAAAGCCGGGGATCAAACTGCTGTAGGCGAGAAGGGTCTGACCCTAAGCGGAGGTCAGAAGGCCCGTGTGACGCTAGCTCGCGCGATCTACTCCTCTGCGGACATTCTGCTGCTCGACGACGTTCTCGCTGCACTGGATGTGCACACGGCGAAGTGGGTCGTTGACACGTGCTTGAAAGGCGATCTTGTCCACGGACGTACTGTACTGCTGGTGGTATGTGAACTCTTCATACTTTCGGATAGTATTGTTCAGGTGCATCTAGACGCATAACATCGCGCTCGCCGGGCCCATCTCGGATTGCGTGGTCGCTCTCAACGGCGATGGCTCAATTGCAGCCCGTGGATCGTATGCCGAGGTTTTGGGGGAAGATGAGGATCTCGCCCGCGAAGTCGCGCAGGAGAAAGAGAATCTTATGAAGGTCGGAGAGGTCGAGGAACCCGAAGTGCTGGGAGAAGCCGAGATTGTCACAACCGGCGGCGAGTTCCTTGTGACAGAAGTTGTCGCCGAAGGATACGTCTCTCTGCGCGCCCGTGGGTCATCAGCGCGCACCCGAAATCTCTCGTTCTGACCTCGAGTACACAGTGAAGCTCTTCTGGATGGCCCTCGCCGGGAAGCACCCAGTGTTGTTTTGGACAATGTTCCTTGGCGGTGTCCTGGCACATCACGCCCTGGCAAACTTCCAGGTAGGTTTATCGCAGCCATTCGTACTAGGCAAGCTCCAACGTCTTATAGTCATACTGGTTGGGTATCTGGTCCGATGCGTATACGCGGCCAGGTCCTGTCGATGCGACTTAGTACGTTCGCATATGGATCGGCCGATCTTCTTGTCACTAAACGCACCCCAGCTACCTAGGATCCTTCATCCTCATCGTTTTCCTCACCGCTGCTGTCTGGGTGATGGCCATAGGGGTCTATGTATTTGGCGTCATTCGTGCGGCAAAGAAAATACATGCTCTCCTCGTCGACTCGATACTTGGCACAACTTTGCGCTGGCTCGACCACACACCAGTTTCGAGGGTGATCACCCGATGCACGAAAGACGTAAAGTCGGTAGACGGACAGCTCGCGCGAGCGTTCCGTGGTTTCAGTAAGTCGATTACTGTATACCATGTACAATGTCGCTAAATCATCCTCTTCAAATAGTAAACGTCAATTCAGCGCTTATCATTCAGTTGACATCCATTTCACTCGTCACACCTGCTGTCATTTTGCCCGGCATCGCGATTTTCCTCGTCGGTATCTGGTTCGGGCATATGTACATGCAGGCACAACTACCAGTGAAAAGAGAGATGAGCAATAGGAAGGCCCCAGTGCTGGGCCACTTCGGCGCATCCATCGCTGGTCTAGGTAGGTACCTTCTCGTAAGGGCGCGGCCGAACACGAATGACGATGGCTCTCACAGTATCCATACGAGCGTACAGTGCGCAGCATGCATTCCGCCGTGAATCATACAAGCGCATCGAAGGCTACACGCGGTATAGCCGTATGTTCTGGAACCTCGAACTGTGGATCGGTACACGCAATGATGCATTAGGAGCCCTCTTTTCATCTGGTCTTGGACTCTACATGGTATATGGACCTAGCGGTGCTATGATCGGCGCTTCTAAGATCGGATTCTCCCTTACCATAGCCAGTACGTACAAAGGTGATTGGTTATTTCCACTCGTGCTGATCTCTTCATAGGTTTTTTCAGCTCTCAAATCTTGTGAGTCGCGTCAGAGATCGTGGGAAGACGACTGCGATATTCACGGCCAGTTCAGATGGTGGGTTAGGCTATTCAACTTGTTCGTGATCGAAGGCAACAGTGTAGAGCGCATCCAAGCGTACTTGGAGATCGAACAAGAGCCGAAACCCTCACATGAGAAGATTCCCCCAGCATCCTGGCCAACTAGCGGCGCCCTACGAGTTCAGGACCTCTCCGCGCGCTACTCTCCTGATGGCCAAAAGGTGCTTCACGAACTCACATTCGCCATCGGTTCGGGTGAACGCGTCGGTATCGTCGGTCGCACTGGCAGCGGGAAGAGTTCCTTGACTCTCGCTCTTCTGCGTTGCATCCTCACCGAAGGCGATGTCTATTACGACGGCATCAACACGGCTGACGTCAACCTCGACGCGCTTCGAACTGCTATTACGATCATCCCACAGGTACCGGAGCTGCTGAGCGGAACACTGCGCGAGAACTTGGACCCCTTCGGAGAGTGCGACGACGTGGTGCTGAATTCGGCTCTACGCGCTTCGGGTCTCTACTCGTTACACGACGAGATGGATAAGGGTCGTATCACCCTTGACTCGCAAATTGCCAGTGGAGGCAGCAACCTCTCCGTGGGACAACGCCAGATCCTCGCTCTAGCGCGGGCGCTAGTGCGCGGCAGCAAGATACTGATTCTTGACGAAGCAACGTCGTCAATTGACTACGCGACTGACGCAGTAATACAGTCCTCCCTTCGAAATGAACTTGGCAGCGATGTGACTTTGCTGACTGTCGCACATCGTCTACAGACTATCATGGACTACGATAAAGTTGTGCGTGGATCTGGCTGAATTCATGACATGGTCTCTGATTGGGTTGTAGATGGTACTCGATGCTGGCCGCATCGTCGAGTTCAATCGCCCCGCAAGTTTACTTGCTGCAGAGCGGGGCTTCTTCAAGTCACTCGTCGATGAGAGCAGCGACAGAGATGTGCTATACACCATGGTGGGCGCTTCGCTGTGACGACGGAGAAGCTTAAGCAGACATAGCGCACAGTTGATGTGGTAGTCTAGCTTCGGATCCCAGTACTAGCTAGTGGTCGCGCGCATGTGCCGAAGGGCGCGGACACGCTGCTTTCTCATCAGTGTCTGCTGTAAAGGAACTTTTGCTATTCAGTTTCGTGCATGTACATATGGTATCCGGGGTGCATCAGTCTACATGAGTGTGCGCAGGTGTTCTGTCAGGGCGAGCAATGCTAGGCTCTGCCCGTAAGGCATTGACGTCAAAGGGATGTCCTTGTAGCCCTGTAGATCATTGAATACGGGCGTCCCGAAGCTGACCTGCTGCAGCTCTCCTTTCTCCGTTACATTCCTTAAGATGCCCTCGATCGCCTTCTTCGCGCACGTCACGTAACACTCCTCCTTCGGGATTAGACGAAGGCGCAACGCCTTTAAGATGCCATACGCAAAACCGGCCGTCGCGCTCGCCTCAAGATACGACGTTGCGTCATCGAGGATAGTGTGCCAAAGACCAGTTTCCGCATCCTGCGTGCGAACAAGCGCGTCAATCTGAGCGCGTAGAGTTGCCACGAGGAAGAGTCGGAGGCCGTCGTCGGGAGGGAGACGCAGAAGCTCGATGAAATCCGGGATAGACACGGTGACCCAGGAATTGCCGCGCGCCCAGCGTGCGTCGGCGAAGTGGTGTCGGCCATCGAACGTCCAACCTGATGGTCGCTCAGATCAATGGCGCCAGAGCAAATCGAACCTGACACACCATGGAACCACAAACCGGTCTGAACGTCCGCGAGGTACTTGATATGAACCATGAACTGCCGCTTAGCCTCCTCAACATACTCCTTCCTGTCCAGTACGAGTCCGATCTTGGCGAGCGGAAGCACGGTCATCATGAGCGTATCGTCCCATAGCTGCTGGTAGTTCTCGTCGACGTATGTGATGTGCTGGAAGCCACCCTCCTCCGTCCGCGGCAGCTCGTACATTGCCCATTCAGCCCATGCGTCTAGGTGAACGCCGTAGTCCGCCCGCCCGAGTTCGTGCGCGTAGGCCGCCGTCAACAATGGCGACATTGTGTTGATGTTCTTCGTCGTACCCGCCGCAAACCGATCTGTGAACCACTGGACTGCAATGTCCATAGCTTGCTTGTCTCCTGTGATCTTGTGCAACTGCAATAGGCCATACAGCCCGACACCATGCGTCCACTGCGCATCAGTACACGATCAGCCCTCGCGACGCATACAGAGCAAGCGATGCGCGCACCTCCCAGTCATTCCATCCCTTGGTATCGATGACCCGGCCGTCTTCCAGAGTCAACAGGAACTCGCTGTTCTCATCCTTGATGTTGACTAGACAGTCGATGAGGCTGCTGATCGTGTTGAGGAGAGCGGCTTTAGCGGGGTTGGAGTTCTGCGCGGACATGTTTTCCGGTCTCGACTCTCGCACTTGACGCATCCCTGCGCCTTCAAGTATGGTTCTGGGTATCTGTGGCACGCTGGTACGCCAAGAACGACTTGAAGCGCACCGGTCCCGCCAGCCCGCCCGGCCCGCCAACTTCTTTGGGCGGATACGTCACATGTACAGTCCGAGGCACATTTGGGGCGGAAAATCCTATCGTGCCTACCCCGCATTCGGTTGAGCGCAGTGCCAAGAACGGCAGGACCGGCGCTTCTCCATCACACGGGCTACGTCGCATTGATGGTTAGAACCAACCCCCGTGGGGTGAGTCCGGAGAGGTTTAGAGCAGCCCCTGGCATGAGACCCATTCGCCCGGTGTTTAAGAACCTAGTGCGTTCCCGAACGAGAAGTCTTCTCGAGTACGACCTTTGACCGAAGTCGACCCGCCATCTCCTGTTCGCCCCTCGTATCGTCTGCCAGTCATGTCGGACATCAAGAAGGATACGGTCGAGAGCCCAGTTATGATTGAGAACACGGGCAAGCAGGACCTCTACTCGATCTCGAGCGGCGTCGGCTCTGGGGTTAGTGAAGGTGCGAGCTAACATCCCAGCACGTTGATAGTGATCTCATCCAGTGTGTGCGTTCAGCCCCGGCGCGTGGTATTGATGCAGAGGTCGCAAACTTCTTCGCCGAACAGACCGCGACGACGCGTGTGGTCATCGATGAGAAGGAGAACAAGCGTCTCCGGTGGATGGTGCACAAGCGTGTGCTGGTCGTCATGGTACGTTGTCTTGTGCACTGTCGTTTCAAGCGAACCGAACCAAGCGCCGTAGGTGGTGACCTATTTTGCGCAAACACTCGATAAGGGTACCATCAACTTTGCCTCGATTATGGGTATTGTCGAAGATACACACCTAGTCGGTCAGCAATACTCGTGGCTTACTACTTGTGGTACGTGTCCATAACTTCTGTGGTTATCAGCTCGAGATATCTCACAAGCGTTTGAGTAGTCTACCTCGCCATTCTGGCATGGGAGTTCCCGGCGAATCGTCTGCTGCAAACCTTGCCTCTTGCCAAATTCCTATCGTTCAAGTGTGTATATTCAGACATATACTACAGATCAAGACTGAACTCTACGGCTCTATAGCATTACTGCGTGGGGTATCGTCCTTGCATGCACCGCTGCCTGCAAGAATTTTACCGGTCTCGTCATCGTTCGCACTCTACTTGGCATATTTGAATGCGTGTGTCAGCCCGCCTTCGTCTTTCTCTCTACGATGTGGTACAAGCGCGACGAGCAGGCTCTCATCATTGGAGCCTTCTACTCAATGAATGGATTCCAGCAGTGCGTCGGCGGCCTCATCGCCTACGGTATTGCACAGATCCAGCATGCTGCGATCAAGAACTGGCAGATCCTTTTCACCCTGCTCGGTTGCATCACCGCCATGTGGGGCATCTTCGTGGGCTTCTGGCTTCCGGACAGTCCAATGCGCGCCACGTGTTGGTCTGTTGAAGACAGGCATCTTATTGCGGAACGCGTGCGCGAGAATGAGACGGGTTTGCAGAACAAGAAGTTCAAGTGGTATCAAGCTCGTGTGTACTCCAATTCTTGCAGTTCCTTCCTTTCTAACGATCATTACAGGCGAGGCGCTCACTGATCCTACTGTCTGGATAGTGACGTTGATCTCCTTTACGAACGGTATGCCTCCGGGTGGCTTAGGTGCCTTCTCGAACCTCATCATCAAGGCTTTCGTAGGTATTCAAGAGGCGATATATGGAGAGGTCGAGCTAATACCCGCGAATAGGGCTACACAACCTTGCAAACGTATCTGCTGGCCATCGCGCAAGGCTCCATCATCATGGCGTGGCTCTTCAGTGCCGCGTACCTCGACCGCCGGTACAAGCAGAAGCTTCTTATTGAGGCCATCTACACGATACCCGCTATTGTGGGCACGATCGTCTTCCTGACTGTCAAGACCAGCGAATCTACTAAAGTCGGGCTGCTGATTGCATTCTAGTACGCCATAACCTTCTCTCCGATCGATAGCTATATTGATCGCAGTGAAGCTTGATGCAAGGCTTCGGCGCCGTTGCTGCCCTCAACCTCTCCTGCATGTCTAACAATGTAGCGGGCCGCACGAAGCAAGTGGTCGCTTCTTCTATGGTCTTTATGTCAGTTCATGCTGTTCAGCCTGAATGAACCTGATGTTAATGATTTGTGCAGCGCCTGGGCTACGGGTAACGCAATCGGACCGCAGGTTTTTCAAGCGAACGACGCTCCCCACTATATCAAGGCGTTCATCGCACATCTCGTCGTCTACTGCGTCCAGGTCGTCGCAATCATCATCCTTCGCCTGCGCCTCATGCGCCTTAACCAGCTGAAGCGCCGCGCACAGAACCAAGCCAAGACCGCTGATGTCGGCGGCACTGTTGTAGAAGAGCACATCGAGCACAAGCACGCGTTCGATGATCTCACGGACAAGGAGAACCCTGATTGTGAGTTGACCCTCTCGTTATCTGGGATTCAGGTCTGGGTATTAATGAGTCTCTCCAGTCCGATACACTTATTGAGCGCCAACGTTGCGTACTACTCCCATTCTACGATATCCTCACGTTACGCACGTTGTACATCACTGCACCTATGTCGTTCACACACCGTCCTCTGTATATTAAATTTAGTCCTGGGCCACAACGAGTCATTGAGAACTGTCTGTCATTGCACACGTCTCATGAGTTCCTTTGGTCGCCATGGCATATAGAGGGTCAAGCTCTGAATTTCGGGACTGACAGAACAGGCTTGTCAGTTGCAATCGAGGTGCAATCATGCCGCGCCGCGGCCCGTGGTCGTTGAGGCTACGCCTTCCCGTGGCCGAATAGGGGCTCGTTGATGCTGGCTTCAGGGTTTGCGGTCGCACGGTAGTCTTGCTAGCCTGGACGGCAGGCAGCTATCGCATGAATGGGAAAGAGGACTCTGCGAGCTACTGTATGGCAGGAACGCCTCCCCGCCAAGCCCGTGCGATCACTAGGGTACCGCCTTCCTTCCCATTTCCTTCGACGCCCCAAAGTGTCATGACGGTCGGTCAGATCGTTGAACCTCAAGGTCTTCCAGATGTACATCGAGCTCTCTTGTACCGAGACCCAGTCCCGGTGATGCCCCGGAAGAGCCGTGCCATTCTTCTGCTTGCCAAGAAGAAAGGTGGTTCGGACCGGCTATCCCTGTGGCACCGCATCTTTCGGCATCTTTAAACTCCGTATGTCTAAGCAGATCCCACAAATACTCACGCCTACTCGCAAATGCCACAAAATCTGCACTCACTCTGATTCTGACTGACGTACCGTATGATACCGAGATGCGCGAGATCCCCGCTGATCATTAGCAGGGTGAGAATGAGGGTTGTGAAATAGACGCGAAGCGATGATACATGCGACAGGAATCCCACAATCTACAGGAGCGCATGGCGAGGACGACAAAGATTACACAGCGTGTCCGTGGTTGTAATACACAGAGACTCAATAAAGACACTATCTATTCCTTGTCAACGCGAAGCTTATGCATGACGTTGCGCATGAACTCCCTGGGATGGAACGACCGCGAAGCGTTCTTCATCGGCTGATCGGGTATGCTGCTCGGACCAATGCGGGTCGCAAAGTCCGTAGGTCTGCCTTTCGGTGAGATCGGCACAAAGGCTGCATCAGGAAGCATGAGATCGTCAATGAGGACGGACGATCCACGCATATCGGCAGGTCGGACTTGAGGCGTGACAAGGATGGCGTCGTTCGACGAATCCGAGTCCGAGTTCGCAAACAGCGATGGAGGTTGCATATCCGACGACGAGCCGGAGCCAGAACCAGAGGCAAAGCCGGAAGCGGGTGATACGCCAAGATCTTCCCTTGGTACGCGAGTGGACGCCGCGCGGCGTGATGGAGGTATGTAGACGAGCGGCGAGTCCGAGTCCGGTTCCGGGCTTTCACAGTGGTAGTCGCTAGAGTCGTGATTGCCCAAGAAATTGGGAGAGCCGGTGGGCCCCGGTGTCGGGGGCCTGATGAATTTCGGTGTTGGTAGCCGCGTAGCCACGGGCGTCGGCGAGCGCGGGGGAGCACGTATATGTCCAAAAGACGCGTCGCTCGTCACGCAAACAGGGGAGCACAGAACGCCTGGAGTTGGGGGACGCGGATGTGCATAAGTGTGCACCGCAGGTGGCTGTATAGCATTGACGGGCGGTTCGGCTGTGGGTTGATGGTTGGGACTAGCGATAGGATGGTCGTTGAACTTGGCCTTTGGTAGCGTGCGTGCAACGATTTCCCGGACGTGAGCGCTAGCGCGCTGGACCTCTTCTGCGCACATGAAGTACGTCTCGATATTCATGAACTCGTCCTTAATGTCCTTGATGGCGAGGCGCGACAGAGGGTTGAGTTTGAGAATGCGCCCTATCAGGAAAACGGTGGGACGAGAGAGCGGCAACATCGCGCGCAAGTAGAGAGGATCGCGTAAGAATCCGGTGTAGCATGCCTCAGAGGAGACAGCAGCGCGCCAGGGCGACCGGCCGGTGAGCATGTTCATGAGGATGACGCCCAGAGCCCAAATATCGCTGTGCTTCGGAGAGTACTGCTTGAGTTTGATGTCGACACGTAACACCTCTACAAGACGTGGAATCAGTCACGCGGCGTATCATCACGATAGGCGCACGCATACCTGGAGCCATATAGAACGTACTGCCGACGCCGAACGTCTCACTCAAGGGGCTCGCTGTAGCCAGTCCGAAGTCTGCAAGGAGAAGTGTATGTCCGTCGGCTGATAGAAGAAAGTTCTCCGGCTTCAAGTCGCGGTGCGCTATGCCCACACTATGACAATAGCTGACAGCGTCTAAGATTTGAGAGAAGGCATTTCTTGCGCGCTCATCATTGTAGAAGTAAAGGTGCCGTTCGGTGATTGCGGTGAAGAGATCGCCCCCGAGACAGGCGTCGAACACAAAGAAGAAGAACCCGGACTCGGCGAACCAGCGGTGTAAAGTGACAATGTTGGGGTGATCGCCGACTTTGGAGTGGTATTCGAGCTCGCGGAGCTGGGCGGCCCGTTTGCCGCCGCGCGAGCGTTGGGCGACGACCTTGACGGCTAGATCGTCCTTCGAGTCCGCCGCACGAGTACGGTAAACCACCCCGAATCCTCCAGAGCCTAGAACATCGAGGAAGCGATAGTAGCCTCTGTCGGCAGTCTTGCCAAGCAGGATGTTTTGATCGATGTCGGTCTTGGGTAGGAAAGGCATGAAGGGCGAATGTAATGAAGTGTAGAAGTTCGAAGTAAAGCTGCAGATGCACCGGGCGTTGCAGGAAGGTTGGCGAAGATGAAGAGCAGTGCGAACTGCTCCCACAAAGCGCGAGGGAGTTTAAGTACCAGCCAATGTTTCGGGCTGGTTGTGTTTCGGACCACATCATTAGGAGAGGGTCTCGTGGGAGTCGGGTCTGGTCGGTCCAGACCTCCTGGAAACGCTAGGCGATGCATCCTGTCGCGGATACTAGCTAACGATGAACGACTCCTGGATGATGTCAAGAAGAAAGAAGGCGCCTGGTCCGGGTCGCGTTGCGGGCGACCTCGCGATCACATGAGTTTGAGTGGCAACGTCTCACGCGGCGTACAGCTTTGGGTCGATAGGCATCGCAAGCGTGTATTACTTCTACTGTACAGTGTGTGAGCGTGCTAGCATCACATCGATACCAACCAGATCCTGCTGCAGGTTCGACGGGGAAGACAGTAACACACAGAATAACCGAAGGGTATGACTACACAACGTCCAGATACAAGATCCCAGAGAGGGTATGTACACAACTTTGACACAGGCATGATGTAAAAGTACAAGTCAAGAATGATACGAGACGCTTCATATTTCTTCGTCGTACTGCGTAATTCGAGGAATCCATTCCAGATCTACGCGCACCCAGTTCGCGTCTTCACTCCGTCGCTCCAGGTACACATCATCCCCCGGCTGCAGCACACGCACATCGTTGCTTGGCCGCAGTAAAGGCGCTGGCGCGGTATTGCTCAACTTGCGCATCCGCATAATGCCCTTGGACAGAACCCGGGTCAGACGCGGTTTCGGCGGGCTGTAGCTCGACGGCGAGGTTGCCCGCGCCTCACGACCGCCATGATTATAAGTGTCACGCGCGAGTACAACGTCAGGCCGAGCAATAGGCAGCGATGAATGCGAGCGAAGGGCAATGTGAGAGCGGGTTTTGAAGAGCTTATTCGTCTTGCGAGGGGTAGTAGGCGGGGGCGAGCTGTTCCAGTGATGCGGCAGATGAGGGCGTGGTTTCACGAAAGACAGAAAGTCGAGCCCGTCTTCATCCTCGTCATCCTCGAAGGGAGAGTACCTGTCGCTATCAGGTGTACGAGGTTGAGGCGCGGGCGGTCGGAAGGTTATGCTGTGTGGAGTAGCAGGCGGCTCGGGCGTCGCTGGCGACTCAATGGGAACGTAGCGCGAAGTAGAAGTCGTGGTGACGGAGAAATGGGAGCGCTGATCCGGAGTCAATAAGGGAAAGTCTTACGACCAGGGTCGGGCACGCACCTCGTTATCAGACTTGAAAGGATACTCGTCATTCAAGACGAAGAACGAGTCGACTTGCGGCCGGTCGAAATTCTCACGGACGTCAGAGTTCTCATCGCCGGCGCTAGCGTAACCGCTATCTTCAAAGCGCTCATCATAAGAACCGTCCTCATGGCCCATGTAGCAACCCGACTCGCGAAGATCTCCATCACATACAGCGCTATGGGATGTACGCTTGTGATACCCCATGAGGGTCGAGGAGGCGCGCGGGACCTCCTTATCGAATCCCCGTGGGATGAGCTCATCGCCGTGCGCTCCCCAGTGGGTGCCACCCTCATGGTATGCGTCGAGGAAGGCTTGCATGTCGCGGAGTGTAGAGGCTGAGTCCATGGACAGCGCAGGTGTGCTCTGAGACGGCGTACTTGTGCCGGGAGTGAGCGTCTGGGAGTCTGCGTCGTCATGAGGAAAACCAGGCGTCTGTGGCAACGAAGGTAATGTCTTGAAGGGCACTGGCGTCCGAGGCAAGTCTTTGAGGTCGAGAGGGAGCAGAGAGCTACCAGAAAAGCCGATCATGCCCTCCTCGGGATCGAAGATCGCGACAAAGGTGAGGGCCCGCGAGTGTGGGGGTACAACTGCAGACCAGCGTCGGTCGTCATCGCATGTCTTGATCGGGGCAAGAGTAGGGCGCGGCGTCGCCTGCAGCGACTGATGAACAAACAGGCCAACTGTGGTGCGCTGGAGAACACACCCTTTGAGGTTCCGCGCCCCACGCGGGCGATGACCGAGAGCGGGTATGGATAGAAGCCATTGATTGGTATTGTATGCAAAGTAAGGGCGCGGAATCAACACGCGTAAAGGGCTTGAAGCAAGTGGACGGAAGGTTCGCAAAGAGGGACAGGAAGGAATGAAGAAGTGAAGGGGGGCGGTCAGCCCAGCCGAACGAAAGATATGTGAATGGGTGCACAAAGGAAAGCGCGACGGGGAGCTGCTGTCGAGACCGTAGGTTTTATAAGGACCGAAGAATGCACCAATGAGAACAGAGCCCGGCTCGCCTGATGGAAGATCAGAATAAATGGGCATGGGCGGCGGTGAGGCGAAAGCCTCGTTGCAGCCCTCTGGTTCTTTCATGAGGGAAAGAGTGTATGTATTTGGCAGGTCTGTGCATGCTAACCCAGATACGTTGAATGTGAGAAGCCGGGACCGAAAGGCAGATACGGTACCCTTGACGTCTGAAGACATAGCAACCGCGGGCTCGGATAGCTCGGATAAGTTGCGGTGAGGGTTGGAGGGCAAGATGAGATCTGCAGCAAGGCGCGAACGGCCACACGCCAACTTGTCGGTGTGAACTTGGGCGGCAGCGCTCATGCAGCTGGCGGCGTCCGCAGTTCCGCATCTCACTCACTCTCCGCGACGATGAGCTCCTCGGGTCTCCAGCGCCGAAGGGTCGGGGGCCACGACTCTGGGGCGGAATCGAACGGCCGGACAACTCCGACGGCAGGCGTGCAGCACGCCGGGTCTGCGTTCGCGGGCGGCAGCAAGATAGCCTACGATCCTAGGGATCTCGAGGCCGAGGACCAAGACACGCGCGCGGGCGGAAAGCCGCCACGGTTGACGTTAATGGAGGAGGTCCTCCTGCTCGGACTCAAGGACCAGCAGGTATGTGTATCCCTCTCACGCCCGCGGCTGTGAGAGCGATCCGATAAACTTATAATACACAGGGCTACCTCTCTTTCTGGAATGACAATATTTCTTATGCGCTGCGAGGTTGCATCCTCATCGAGCTCGCCCTTCGCCGGCGAATTATCGTACACAAGGATCCAAACCGCCGCCGCATCCCCGCCGCCGAGCGTCTGGTAGAGGTCGCGGACACACGCCAGACCGGCGAGACCATCCTCGATGAGACTCTGAAGATGATGAAGGCCCAGGAAGCGGAGCGCATGTCCATCAACGCCTGGATAGACCTTCTGAGCGGTGCGCGTGTCTCCCCCTCTTTCTCGAGATTAAAGTACCCATACGCCTCATTGTACAGGCGAGACTTGGAACGTGCTCAAGATAGGCTATCAGCTCAAGCAAGTCCGAGAACGGCTCGCCAAGGGCTTGGTAGACAAGGGCGTCCTCAGAACAGAGAAGCGCAACTTCCTTCTCTTCGACATGGCCACACACCCCGTCGCCGACGTTCGCGTCAAGGACACCATCGTCCAACGCGTCGTTTCCCTCCTCACCTCTACCACTAGCACATTGCCGTCTTCCGCGCTTCTCCCAGAGGGAACTCAAATGCGGGCGCTCCGGGGCGCGTGTCTCGTATGCTCCGCTTACGCCGCAAGTGTATTGGACAACGCCTTCTACCGGCTAGGGTACGAAGAGCGTGAGGCTGCCTTCGCGCGATGCGATGACATCCTCTCCGAGTTCTCGACCTGGCCACTCGGTAGCGCTTCTGCCGGTTCCAGCCGTAGGGCGAAAGGTTCGAGGATAGGCATGGGCAGTGCGAACGACGGACGAGAGGCGGTCGTCGGCTTAGTCCAGCAAGTCCGCGGAGAGTTGGTCGGTGGGGACGAGGACGGCTCGTGCGAGCTTGTCGCGGGTGTTCTCGAAGTGATGAGCAAGCTTGATTCCCTGCTCTGAGCGTCGCGCGGTCGTACGCCGGTCCCGGTCCTTTGTGTTCTCCCAGTAACGTGTCCAGCTGTCGATTTTGAACTTCGCTTCTTCGTTCTTCAGAGTACCTATTTATGGATGGATCGCCTTCGCGTCTTGTTTATATCGACCTTTTTCAGATATGTCCCTCGCAACTGTCTCAAAAGCACCATACAATACTCGGGGTCCCATAGTAGAGGACGGTTTATTACACGGTTACATCTGTATGAAGATCTGGGGCGATACTCTACATGTGCAACCCGAATAGCGAAGGTTCAATCAGAAATACCAACGACGAGATTCTCGTGGCGAATGACGTCCTTGAGCCGCTGCATGAACATGAAGAAGTCCTCGTCATCATATGCAGAGCCCATCTGAGCGATCGTGCTCAAACTCTCAAGAGCCCTTCTCCAGTCGGCTGCGGACCAGTGAGTGCCGGTCTTGCCCTTCGTGATTCCCTTGTACTCCACGCCCTGGGTAGTAGGAAGGAGGAACGCGGTAAGATGGTCACCGTCCTTCCGTTTCAGCCAGCTGTGAGACTTGAGCAGACCCGAAGCACTATCCTCCGTGAGGTACTGTATGCAATCATATGGCGTCCACTCGGAGAAGGGCGTGCGCTTCCACAGCGGATGATGTCGTGGGTCGTTCTTGTAACCAATGTCTCCCATACGAGGCTTGTCATCGTCGGGGCAAGCACCCTCGACGATAGCCTTCAGATATCCGGGCACACGATCGATAACATCAGCGTGCAGAGCGTCCAAGGGTTGAATGTATAGTTGATGATCGACATCCATGAGGTTGTTCATGGTACTGATCTGTGTCTCTCCCGGCGCTAGGGCGACGGAATAGCTGCTCGTCATTACAGGGCGAGTAGTCTTTGCGAAAGACGCAGCGAGATGTGTAGGGATATTGAGAGCCTGAGCTACCGCGTGGCTGGTCCAAGTATGCCTCGACGTCTTCTTTGGGCGAGAGATCGTGAGGTCTTCTTCTCGGACTATGACACATTCGTTAGTGTATACGGCGTACAGCACGAGAAGCTATACATGCTTTCTCCGTCAACCTGAATCGGCCGCTTGAGAACGTGGCGGCCTCGCCATCTCAGCAAGTTATCTTCCGTCCACATCCTGACTTCGTACCCGCGGGACTGGAAGTACTGGCAGCAATCCAAGATGTAGTCGTCGTTGACCTTAAGGCGGAACCACGTTGAGACCTCGGGCTGTACGGAATCAAGCGTACACTCGCACCTCGCCAGCTTTGGATAGTACAAAACCCGAAGAGCTACCAGCAGGCATCAGAGTTTCGTTAACAGCCTGTTCACGGAGGAGCCAGGACGGCTTAGTGCTACTAGCCAGCCATCTAGTCGCGCAAGAGGCCGCACGAGACAACGAGTCTTTTTCCTTGCGATGTGTCTGCCTGTCCAGATATGTGCATGCGTGGGGAGAACTGCATGACGCGATTGTGGAACGTACCAGTCGAGCTCCTGACGGACGATCTTGGGTATGATGACGGTTATCGGCAGTCTATGTTTCTCGACATCGTCGACGAATATAGCAAGCACGTCAAGGTAGTGATCAAGGATGTTGGTGTCGATCACAATGAAGTTCGTAATTTCAGAGGCATCGTGGTTGTACGGTGGCTGCACGATGTACTGATCAGCTTCGCGCGCCTATGCAACGGCACTCGCGGGGATGTGGCACGTACGATGAGCTGCTCCGCAGCGTCGCTAGTGCGACGCCCAGAAGGTATGTCCATATCCATGTCTATGTCCATCTCCATTTCCGTGAGAGCTATAGTATAGATCATTGTCAGCACCGCGCGCGCAGCACACCCGGGCATCTCGGGGAGCTTCTATACTCACTTGACTGAGGAAGTAATGTCCACTAAACTGCAATGCGGCACTCTATCCCGCTTATTAGCCCTGATCAGATTATGAGCGCACCTTCGTGTGTCCGTAGGGAGTGGGTCGCCCACCGCCGATGATGGACGTCGGAAGCAGGATCGCGAAAAGGTGTTGCAAATGGATTGAGAGCCGAGTACGCTCACCTCATCTGGAACGCGTTGTGACCGTCGTCAGGGGGCTCATGCACGGCGACTCGTGTGTACTGACGACAGCGTGTGACCATCATCCGCAAGGCTCGCAGAGCGCAGATACAAAGTCGTACTAGCTGTATATCGGGTACCCTCGGCATTCGCGGACCGTAGGGGCCACAGCTGGGACGCGCGGGAAATCCGACTCGGGTCCGATAGTGTCTGACAGCGTGTGGCGACACTATTCAGCTCTCCTTCTAGTGCCCGCATGCTGCTATCGCTGCTTCGTATGGACATGCTCATGAGAGCTGCAGTGTACAAGAGACTGGGTCAAACGACGCTGTCAATATACACTAGAAGGGTGTTCAAGGACACTATTCATAACTGGCTCTCGCGGGCGAGATACAGCCACCAGCTGAGAATCGCGAGAGGAATCGTGAATGGATGTGGCGCATCCGTATCGTGTGGATGTAGACGCAAAATATCCGATTGGTCTGTTTCAGTAGAGACATGCAGTCACTCTGGATGTCCTTTTCATTGACTGAGGAACCGACTAACTATTGCCGGATGTGAAATTTCGGAGTCTCGTATAGTTACACTGAGCATACATGGTCCGGATAGCACACGAGTATATTTTGCGAAGGACGTGTGAGGCAGGACGTCGTAGTCAGCCGTCAACACGTCAACATTCAATTTGACTCTGTTAGCAGTCGCGCACTTGACCGGCATACACCCGACAACATTCTCAGTTTGTATTCCGCTTCTTGGGTATACAAAATTGGTTGATCGATGCAGACGATAGAAGCATTTATGAAATAACCTCTAACTGAGAGAGTATGTAGAAGAAATGCGTCGAGAAAGAACGAGGTCCAGAAACATAAACCGTCAGAGCCGAGATTGTGAATCCAAGCCTAAGCCGCCGTCGAACCGAGCATTGCCTTCTTCAATGGCGGCGAGCCGCTGAGGGCAGCGCTGATCGCGTCAGAGTCCTCCTCCATCTTGCGTTTCATACCGGAAAGCACAGACGGTGCGGGCGAGTCCGACTTCTTGACACGCGGTGGTGAGCGCGTCTCGGGCGTAAGTGAGCGACCATTCATTAAGCGCGTCGCTAATGAACTTGCAGAAGCGATGGCGTCGGCGTGACAAGTGGCGTGGAATATCTATCACGAACAGTCAGCATTCATCCTCAGATGATGTGAGTCAAGAAAACGGACCCTGCCATCAACAGCCGTAGCGTTTCTCCATACCCACTCTTCGTCGTCTTCATTGAACTCAGCCTTCAAAATCTCCTTGCATACCGGGCACGCGATGGGCTTCGCCTCATCTCCAGGTGGAACAAGCACAGTCTTCGCACGGAGCTCGCGCAGACGCGACGCCTGCTCGGCAGCGGCGGTCTCTTGCTTATTCAGGCGTCGGCCGTCGGCCCGGCCTTTCCCTTTACCAGACGCGTTGCAAAGCCAATCCTGTAGCGTCATGTGAGTCGGAGGTGTCAACATCAGAGGGAAGAATTCTTGTGAACGTACATCGGCAGTGATAAACCAGTTCCTGCTGTGTCCTCGACCAGTTGGCTGCTCAGCCTGGCGATTGGCGCGGAAGTGGTCGTCCAGATGATCTTGCATTTTTTTCTTGCCGGACGGCGACTCCGAAAACCGCACACCGCATTGGCCGCATTGTGCAGGTAGGCGATCATATAACAGGAAGGGCACACCAGGACGATTCCTAGCGGAAATGTTGAGCAGGAGCACGGCAATTAGACCCAAGTGCTGAATGTACCGAGTAATATCTGCACTGGAAAAAGCAATCGACTCTGACATGATGGCCGCGCGATAAGCCCTCCGTTCCTCCTCGGGCGTCGCATTTGCCGTTTTCCGTTCTGGGGTCGGGGGCTTTGCGGTCGCGCCCGCGCCAATGGGCGTATTGTTTGTGGAAAGAATACCTGACTTGAGCAGGGACTGGAATAAAGATGACACATCAGGTCCCGCAGGCGTCGCGATCTGCACCGGAGGAGTGGGAACTTGAACCGGTGGCGATTGGAAAGGCACCGGCGCTGGGGGTTGGGGCTGACGACTGGGCCCTGCTTGAGCATAAGGTGGGTGCTGGGGCGGAAAAGGTGGGCGGTTCCCGAATGGTGGAGGCGGTGGTGATGTGGCGACGGGTGCCGGGACAGGCGCTGGAGCGACAAGAGAACGAAGCTGGCCGAGAATCTGGGCGAGTTCTTGTTGAGAGACACCCGTCTCGACGAGGGCACGCAGCTGTAACACGGATGAGTGCGAGGGGAAGTCAGGCAGGGGGTAATGACATGCCTGATACAAGACGTTGACGGTGTTCTGAATGTTGACGTCGTAGCGCGAGGATTGAAGCGCACGCTCCTTCTGACTGATCGCGAACTCAAGCTCGCTCAATACTTGTTGCTTGGAGACGCTCGATCCACCACGTGTAGCCTGTGCGAACTTTGAGCAACGGACACTGGAGCAAAACTGATTACGACATACACCCGGCCCGGATCCCCAGATCCCACGTTCGATGGCGACCTGAGGGCCGACGCCGAAGAGCTCGCGACCATTGGGTCCACCTGTGCGCCACGTTAGGAGCATCTCAGCCATCTTGCTACGAGTCTGTTCGTCGACCTGGCCGTAAGTATCGAGGAACAGAGGCGCCACGACAGGAGCAAAAGCCCGTGAATACGGGTTATACACGTTCTTGCATATCGCATCGACTAGGTAGAATGCGGGAAGCTTCATCCATGCAGGAACCTATCATAAACTCGGTCAGTGACGACATTCAATGGGACGAAGGCGCGGCGAGTAGCAAGCGCATGGACGAAAAGAGACGCGGGAGAAAAAAGAGAATGGGCGGAAGGCACCTCCAGGTGCTATGACGCACACGGATGAGAACAATAGCGTAGCTATTTTTCATCAACCAATGGCCATCGCCGCCAGCGACGACAAACCAAACAGGAATTTGCATCCGGTTGATGAACCACGGAGAGCTGCTCTGCGATCGACTCTCGCACACATGCTACACTCGGACCATGGGAAGTATTGCCTATTCAGGGGCAGCGCCGAAAGAGGCTTCACGAGGGAGCAGACTGGACGAATAGCACTCACCATACGAATGTGCTTGTCAATGCATGACACGACACTATCACTCCAGCGCGCATACTCCTGAGCATAAACGGACAGATCCTGTATTATCGGACGCGAGTTCATGGTCAATTCAGCTAGACGAGCAGCATAGTCTCGTCTAAACGACTCAGGGTCGAGCTGATAAAATGAAGTAGAAGCTGCGGGAGGGGCGCTGGGGGCACCATAACTGCGATACTGGACCTGCGGGGCTGACGCCGGAGCAGGCTGATGACGCGGCTGGGGTGGAGATTGTTGTTGCTGGGGCGGGGGGTAATAAAAGGCTTGAGGCGGGGGATACATAGCCATGGTGATTACTCTTCTCTCTCAAGATTCAGAGAATTCGGGCGGTGGACGGGCTTGCACACAGCGGTGGGCTCGCGCAATCACTCGATGGGTTGGATGGTGGTGGTTGGAGTCTGAGAAGCAAAACGCGCCGCGGCTGATTCATTGCCGCCCGTCTTCCCACGATCGCACTTGACCCGACTCGGACCCCGAGCGGCCAAACGCCGGCGATGGTCAACGCGCGACGAGTCCCCGAAACAAAGCAGAGGGGTGCTACAGAAGGATTTAAATAATGGGGGCAAATCAGTAGCTTACTGGCAGTGGGAGGATTGAGCGTCAGTACACGTCATGGACAAGTCGGAACAGAGCCGAAGCGACTCGTGAAGGGCGCCCACAGTGACTGAGACTCGGACCCAGCGGCTACTTGAAAGAAAAGAAAGATGCGCGCATTGCTTTGTGACATGTCCCGAACGAAGTTATATCCTACTTGAGCAACTCAGAGTCCACGCCGCGACGCGACGGAGAACCGTGCGCTGCATGTCGAAGCAGTACGAGCTTGACTTCCCGCCATTGTTCTTTTCCTGATTACGGGAGTCATATGCGCGCCCAACAGGGCGCATACATCAACAATAGTGGGCGGCGACCTGTGCCAGAAGAGAGGGCGAAGAGAAACCGGGATCCACAAGGACCCATCCCAATTACGTTAGACGCGCGCGGGCTCTCCAACCTCCAATTCCTGCCCCCAAATCCCAACGCCCGCCGCCACACCCTCTCCTCAAGGTCTGTACGCCCTCGCTGTGCCCCAAACGCTGCCGCTTCCCGTCCTGAGAGCTATGGACGCGATCTCGGCGTCGAATCAGGTTCAGGACGGGCTGGATGGGTTGTGTGGGGCTTGGATGGACTCTGGAGGCTGAAACTTTGAACGACAGATGCGCGACGTCCTCAAGACCGAAGAGCTCACGATCCCCGACGGCGTCGACGTCACCGTCAAGTCGCGCATTATCACCGTCAGCGGGCCGCGGGGGACGCTCACGAAGAATATCCGGCATGTGAACATGGACGTCCGCCTGCTCAAGGGCAAGACCAATAAGGTCACCCTCGCCGTCTGGCAGGGCGGCCGCAAGCACGTCGCATGCTTGCGCACCATCAAGTCTCTCATCGAGAACTTGATCACCGGCGTTACAAAGGTCCGCTGTCGCTCGCACTTCTCAATCGCGATATTTCTCTGACTTTTTCCCATCCAGGGCTTCCTGTACAAAATGCGCGCCGTCTATGCCCATTTCCCCATCAACTGCATCATCCAGGACGGTGGAAAGGCTCTGGAGATCCGGAATTTCTTGGGGGAGAAGGTGCGTTGTGCGCACAGCGCAATCTGGAACCGAGATTGATGATCTCTCCAGACCGTTCGCCACGTTCAGATGCTCGACGGAGTGACCATCTCGGAGAGCAAGACGCAGAAGGACGAGCTCATCCTCGAGGGCGCGGACGTCCAGAACGTCTCCCAGTCTGGTACGTAACTCCCTCTCTCAGTGACCACACGTGCTCAATAGACCCCACAGCTGCCTCTATCCAGGGCATGTGCCGCGTACGCAACAAGGATATCCGTAAGTTCTTGGACGGCATCTACGTGTCGGACAAGACGACGGTCCTTACGGAGTAGACTGGTTCTTGTTCCTTGCTCTCGTTGCCTTTTCACTACAAAATTGCATGTACCATGATCCCCCGCATTCTTCTTCTTTCTATGACACCATGCTCTTCATGCGCCATTCCCTGGGCTCTTGTTTCGCAGAGATCGAGTGAATGGCATTCAAGACTACGTCAAAAATACAAACCATCTATGCGATCCACCAAAACGGGATCCATACACCGACGTTTCGACGATATTGCTCATACTCGCCTCCGAAGAATTTGACGAGCAGTTTTTCCTCCTCTGCGGCGAAGATTAGGGATGATGCAACCTGCAAGTGATAGTGGGCTGACCTTTGATCCTGGAGGAGAAAAAGCGCCAGAGGAGGAAGAAGAATACGACGAAGCTGAGCGGGTTTTGCAGAACGAGCTGAGTGCCGAGCGCCCAGTAGAAGAATCCAGTGTAAGACGGGTGGCGAAACCAGCTATCTGACCGGTCAGCGCTTTGAGTGTTGCCGGCACGATACGGACTTGCCTGTAAATCCCGTTTTTGACCAACCGATGCTCGGCCAGTTTGCGGTATGCGATCATATGCGAAAAGTTGGTCGCGGCGGAGATCATGGCGAACGAGCGCAGAAATTGGCCGATGATGACGGCCACTATGCCTAGTGTCTAGTGAGCTCAAGGTAGCACGTGTCGCAGAGGAGAAGAGGCTGACCGACGCGGGTGGCATAGGGATGTGTCTTGACGGATGGCTTGAAGTACAAGGTCATCAGGTACTCTGTGATTGCCAGACTGTGCGCGACGTGGTACATGGCGCCATTATCGAGTAGAAAGGCTAGGACTCGTCAGAACCCAGCAGTGGAATAGTTCGAGCGCGCAATCACCCACAGTCTATGCTACATTTCTCTCTGTTCCATCCTGCCGTCACGGCGAACTCGCCCCAGTGAAAGAGGGCCCAAGAGGCAAGATAGAAGCCAAGTTGGTATGGCATCCATGCGGGGGATGACAGAAAGCCGATTGCGCCAGACATGAATACGGATCCTAGCAGAAAGGATACTGTGGAGGCAGCGAGTGGCGTGTTGGGTATACGTGCCGTCGGCTGCTTCACGTCCATCCTAGGAGTCGTTTCGAGAGTGGTGGTAGACATGTTGGGAGATGGAAAGGCAGAGGGCCAGAAGGATAAAGGCGGTACATGGCCGTGCGAGGGAGAAGACAATAAGGAATGTTGTTCGCGGCCACGCGACTTGTCTCGTCCATCCATGATCCTGCACCGATGTTGGCCTCGGCTGCAGCTTCCGGTCTTCTTGCAGTCGAGAGCGGCGTCGACTGCCGCTTCTCCCACTTCAAACCTCCGAAACTTGGCTGTCGTCGCACATATCGGTTGGCTTGCACAGCGCATCAGCTGGATGTATACTCATATCGCGTACTGCAGACTCCGGAAAGACTACCCTTACAGAGTCTATTCTGTACCGCTCGGACTACCTCAAGGCCTCGGGTACAGTCGACACCGGCAGCACGGTCACCGACTTTCTGCCCGCCGAACGCGCTCGCGGCATCACCATCCAGTCGGCCAGCGTTCCGGTCCATTGGAAAGACTACCATATAAACCTAATCGACACGCCCGGACACGCCGACTTTGGGATGGAGGTCGAGAGCGCGAGTAGAGTCGTGGACGGTGCCATCATCGTCCTCGACTCGGTTGAAGGAGTCGAAGCCCAGACCAAAGGCGTGTGGCAACAGTTGAATAGGTACGCAGGTAAGCCAGGCTTAGATAATCTACGTGCGTGTATCGCTGACTTGGAAATTCACATAGATACGCCGTACCGACACGCATGATGTTCATGAACAAGATGGACCGTCCTGGCTCTTCATATCACTCGTCTATGCTGTCGCTTTTGGCACACCGCATACACCCCAATCCGATGGCCGTCACGCTTCCTATAGCCTCATTTGACTCGAAGGACTACAGGCTTGCGGAGCCCGGTATTCAGGGGCTAGTGGACCTCATCAAATGGGAGGTGTGGCGCTGGCATGCGGATACAGACAGACCGATTCGAACGCCTCTTCCTCGATCGGACGGCGACCTACAGGGACAGCATGTATTGCCGTCCGACCATCCTCTACTCCCACACTTACTTCAGGCCCGGGTGGCGCTGCTTGAGAACTTGTCTATGTTCTCCGAACCGTTGATGGAACAGCTACTCGATCTACCTACAAATCCATCCGCAAATCTTGCTGTTTCTGCACCGGCGGTGATCAGTCATTTACGAGACGCAGTACTTCGGTCCGACGTACTGCCCATATTCTGCGGTGCAGCTGTCAGCCACATTGGGACAGAGATTCTGCTGGACTATGCGGGTCACCTGCTGGCCAGCCCTTTGGATGTTGCTTCTCACAAGCACAATAACCCCGATCTCGTACAACTGTTGGCCTGGAAGGTCGCGTGGGATAGTAAGAAGGGTTGGATGACATTCGTGCGCGTCTATTCGGGTATGTACCACTTTGCTGCAAGCAGCGACGCTCAGCTCACACCCGCTCAGGAACCCTCCGACGACAGACCACACTCAACAACACCACTCGTAATGTCAAAGAACGGATATCCAAGGTTCAACTCCTTTACGCCAACGAGGCCGTCGACGTCGATGAACTACCATACGGTTCCGTCGGTGTCATTCTGGGTCTGAAGCACACGAAAACTGGAGACACGCTGTCCTCCACGGCACATGGGAGGAATGCGCATGTCGAGATTTCGGCGCTACCAAACATTGTCCCACCTCCGGCTGTGATGACTTCAGCCATCATCCCACAGTCCCACGCCGATCTCGCCCCTGTGGAAGAGGCTCTCAACTCACTGACACGGACCGACCCCTCTGTACGTGTAGAAACGCACGAAGGCCAACTTCTTGTGCACGGCCTCGGTGCATTGCATCTGGAGATAGTAGCCGGGCGCCTCAAGGACGAATGGAAGACAAATTTTGAGCTCGGTCGACGCTACGTTTCTTTCCGTGAGGGCTTAGGGCATCGAGAGCCCTCGGACGTCCCGGTTTCATGGAGCACAAATGCAGGAGGTGGCGTTGTAACAGCGAACGTTGAGTTCAAGGTGAACGCTTTAGACGAGAGCGACTCCGGAGACCTCGCGTGGGGTGGCAACCGAGTGTTCGGCCCCGATGGCAATGCGCTCGCAGGCCCCGAAAGCGCATACGCTCAGGCGGATCCAGTGGGCCACATCGCCCGCGGCATCGCTGCGGCCCTGTCGAACTCGCCAACCACTTCCTTGCAGCTCTCGAAAATATGCGTCAGATTATCTTCACATAACTTGACTCCCGGGGCCCCTTTGACCGTGCTCACGGGTGCGAGCGCCTTCGTCCTCCGCGAGCAGTTCAAGGCTCGCGGGCCGGGGCCCATCATGGAGCCTTTCATTCAGCTCAATATCTCCGCGACGGAGGATACCGTCGGGCGAATCGTCAAAGACCTCACAGAGCACGGCGGTGAGGTCCTGGACCTCGCTGGTTCGAGCACTGGCGCCGAAGACTCCGATCCATACCCTCAAGACGGTGTATACATCCCACCCGCATGGTTATCCCCATCTGCCATGGACTCTGGGAGTGATGCGGGTACAGCTCGCCAGCGCCGCAATATCTCAGCGGTCGCCCCGCTCAGTCAAATGCTCGACTACTCCGTCCGCTTGCGCGCTCTCTCAGGCGGTCATAGTCAATTCGATATGACACCTGCGGGCTTCCGGACCGTGAGTGAAGCGCGGAAGATGGATATTCTAAAAGAGATCGGCCGTGCTTAGGGGTTCATCAAGTAGTTGTACCGTTGAACACATTTGACTCGATTCCATATCCAGTACAGTGTATATCAGAGCCTCGTATAAACCCAATAATAGGACATATTATAGCTCTCTATTTTCGTCGGCATCGGCAAAGAGAACCGCACCCTCGAACTCATCGTCATCTTCCATAGTTCCACGAGCGAATCCACTGGTAGAATTGAGCACCTGGCTGAACTGCATCATCCCCTCTTCCTCTTCATCACTGTCACCTTCTTCCTGTGGAGGATCATCGAATGAAGGTACAGGAGGGCGGTCGAATTGCATCGGTGCCGGCGTGATGCTTCCATTGCGCTCGTCGTCTTCGTCGGGAAGAAAGAGCGGCGTCTTGTAACGCTGCTCGAGCCGTGAAGGCGCAATGGTCATGTTGGCTGGCATTAACGACGACGCACGGTTGGGAGTGGCTGACGGAGCGCTGGAAGCCGAGCGCACTGGGGGCCAGGGCTCGATGACAACGCACAAACAACGCCCTGTGATGTTGAAACCCTGGTACTTAAGCTGAACGACGAGCTTTGGCTTCGACTCCTCATCGCCAACGTCAACCACCATGTGCTGTGCAAGGTCCGGTGATACCCCGTCATTCGCCTCGGGTGCAGGTGTCAAGCCGATGAAAGTCTCCTCCATTTCCTCCTTGACGGCTGACTTCAGTGGATCACGAGCTGGAGCATGGTCTTCACGCATCTCTACGCCGTCCTGTTCATCCCCATCGCCTATACTGACGTCTGGCAAGTCCTCGTCGCTACTGTCCTGTTCGCGGTATTTCCGTGAAGTTCCGGCCCTGCGAGAAGACCTACGTGGGCCGGAAGTAGCAACTGCAGCACCCCCGCCGTCGTCATCTTCGCCGATGTCAATGGAAGTCTCTTCCTCGTCGGCACGGGTCTGCCTCCGGCGTTTGTTGGGTCTCCTCGTGGCTGTAGAGCTGTTGTCCCGTTTCTTGCCGCTCCCCTTACTCTTTCGGCGACCCTGAACTTCAATTCCCGGAGGCAGGGGCAGCGGTTCGGTTTCGGTTATGAGGGTAAAGTTGCGTTGCTATGCGTTCATACGTGAGTTTCAACAATATTTCGTGAGCTATGCAAGCCTGACCTTGATCAAGAGCGAGTGAGGTTCAGTGTACTTGAAGAAGAACGCGAATTGATAGGCGTCTAAGAGTCGTATACGTCAGTGACTTGTCTTCCAAAGTATCCCCTTTCGCACCTCCCCTATGAACGTCCACTGTCCCACGTTTAGCACTAGCTGAAGAGCCACTGGCCAAGTTGATGTGGTCCTCCGCACGCAATTTGTTGGGGATCCTTTCTTATGTTCAGCAAGCCAGCAAAGTGAGTTTGCCGGTCATACAGTCTCACTTTAGACGTAAATCCTCGAGCACATGTCGTAATACACGGTCAGACATCCAGTCGACATGCCGTTCATCAAGATAGACCTTCAAAAGCGAGAGCATTTGAACCTACACCCCGTTACGCCGCTAAGCCTAGAGCACTTACAAAAAGTGGGAGCACCGTATTCGGCGAGATTCTCAGATAGTACGTGTTGCGAGTTTGGAAGGGCATGGTGGTGCTGGTAGAAGACAAGACGAACTCGAGGCACGTTCTCGCGCCGCGCCACAACATTGGGCGATGATGAACGCGGTCACATGCATTGATCATCAAGAAATAGTAAACTGCTCGTTATACGCGCCGGCTACGTAGAATGACATAGATACGCTCGGAGATTACATTTAGTAACCATCGCTGTTGAGCACGGCACGATAGGCCGGCCCGTCTTGACCGAACATCTTTCGCAAGTCATCAACCAGAGAATCAGGCACCTCGTAGGCAGGGAAATGCCCCCCACGGTCGTGACGAACTGCCTGCACAAGTTCGCCATGAGGCGTGATCCACCTGCAATCCCATCAGCATTCAAGAGGCTACTCTTGCATTGAAAGACAGTACTCACGACTCGGGCTGGGAATTGAGCTCTTTAGGAAAGAAGGAAAGCCCGATGGGTATGTTCACACGGTGTACCTTGAAATTGACTCCCGAGTCGTCCTCGGCATGATATCCTCCGACCCTTGTTTCGTAATGAAGCCGTATCGCAGAGGTAGGCCCAGCGCGTGAAAACCAATGGATGGAGATCCAGGTCAATACTGGCTTGACCGTCAGACATTCTTGGTAGAGCTCAGCGTGCATGTTAATGGCTCACTCTCGTCGTCTGTCCACGCATATCCGTCTGTCCATGCAACCAGCTTCTCATATATCCATGCAAGCAGCCCGACAGGTGAATCCGAGAGACTGTAACCCAGTGTTTGGGGCTTAGTGCTTTGCAGGACGACGAATCCGTATTCAGTTTTCAAAAAGTTTTCCTTACGCTTCAACGCCTCGCGGTCGCGTTCACTGTAGGGCATGTTGACACTGGGTGCCACCCGATCCGGCATATTGGTATGCCACGCTTTCGCGTGCTTGGGCCCGTAGGTGCTCGCCACGATCATAGTGACCTAAAGTATGCTTTAAGAAAGCGTAAGCGCGGGGTGATGGTCGAAGCTTACCAGATATCCGAAGTCGCCGCCTTGACATATGTATTCGTCGTACCCGAGGGAAATCATGAGCTTGTGACCCACCTAACATTAACGTCGTCAACATGCTCGATATTAGCACCATGGGGTCAGGACAGCGCAGCGCACCTCTGCCATCTGCCTCGCGCCAAATCCTGGTTTCTTTGCCCCTTCAGAGAAGCCAAAGCCTGGGAGCCCAAGGGCGACGACGTGGAAAGCCGGTGCGCTCGTATCATCGGGCGCAACAAGGAGTGGCAGTATCTTGCGTACTTCGATGAAGCTTCCTGGCCCTGTGAATGTCAACAGTCAATTTCCAATGTTTACAAGAGAGTCAGATGGCGCTTACAACCATGCACAAAGAGCAGCGGGACCGCGCCGCGAACTGTACTCCTGCGGTGGACGTAATGAATGTTGAGTACCCCATGACCTTCCACAGAGATGTCGCGGGTGAACATGGGAAGCTCCTTGTTTAGCGCCGCCTCCTCAGCACGCCAATCATACCTACCACCTGAGGTTAGAGCAATACACAAGTACAAGTACATGCCATGCCCTACCCGTCCTTCCAACGCGCAAGCAGGCGTTCGACGTCCACCCTCGGGGCGCCATGTTCCCATCCAACTCCCTCGACTTCGTCAGGTAGACGCGTGAGTTCGAGCTTCTGCTTTAACAGTGATAGCTGAGTATCTGGTATCGTGATCGTGAACGGTTTCTCAGTCATGTTGGGGAGAAACAGACGGTATGGATGTGCAGCGGAGAGTGTCTGCTGAAGTAGTGCTTGAAGAACTTTTGTCGTATTCAACCCAGCGGAGATACTGCCGTGGAGATCAATTCGATTAGTAAGGATGAGCTGTATACATGTCTATTGAGAGTGACACAGGCGGTAATCAGATCTCTCTCCACTGTTTGATTGTGCCGGCGATCTTACCGGCGACAGTTGTGGTTTGTCAACGCCAGTGACCGAGTGACAGAGGCCAGTGTTTCGTGGCCGACAAACAGTTGAGCTTCAGTATACCGCACAGGGAAAGCCTGGTGTCCTTCTAGCAAGCATGCAACGTCAAAGAGCTGGTGCTCCGCGTCGGTGAGAGCCAAGACGGACTCACGCTCCGCGAGCCATCTTCAGCTAGCCAGCGACGCGATCTCGTGACTTTGTTGCCACGGATTTTACTTATGCGATATTTTCTGCAGCTGAGGAAGTAGTCCTAACACTGTGTCTTTTATCTTCACGGCGATATGCCACTTCGGATTGAACCTTACATATGAACGACAACATTCTCAACCTCGCTACCGCTACACAAGTTTCTGCTCGATCTCACTACCTCCAAGCCTCAGTTTTCGTCGATGGAGACGTCAGGACCGGAAATGATAGCTTTGATTAGACCCTTGCCGTCCTCAGACTTCCCTTTCTTCGTAGCCTCGAATGCCCTGACAGCGTCCTCGAACTTAAACCTATAGCCGACCGTCAATCAGTACTGTGTCTAGTGCCGTGCATCAGACCGAACATACCGATGCGTGACCATCGGCTTCACATCCAGCTTTCCTGAGCCTGCGAGCGCAATGGCGAGGGAGTAGTCGCCAGGCTTTCATGTTGTGAGTGGTATTCATGCAGGGACGAGTAATGGTGAACTCACGCCGTAACGGAAAGAAGTCCTAAAGGTCAGCTCCTTCGCGCCAATCGTGCCCATGGGAATGAGAACTTCTGGTGCGCCCATACCAACCTAACAAACTGCGTCAGCCTTCCATACAGTACCACAGTCACTTGATAGGGACCTGAACGAAGGTACCGCCAATCTTCACGACGTACATCCCCGTCTGGATCGAGACCTCGGCGCCGCTGGCTTCAATGACGACATCAACAGCGTTGGAGCCGCGAGTCTCGAGTCCAAGCTCCTTCATCATAGCATTGGCAGAGCGTTCAGAGTACTGGATCTTAGATTCGCCCTGTTCGGGCTTCGGCGGAAGGAAGGTGTCTGTCGCGGCGTAGTTCGCAGCAAACTCAAGTCGGCTTGGCACGATATCAACAGCGATGACTCGCCGAGCGCCCAATGCGCGGGCGACGGCCATGCAGAGAAGACCAACGGGCCCGCAGCCCCAGACTGCCACAATCTCGTTAGGCTGCAGTTTTGCGAGGTACTTGAGTGCGTGTACTGCGACAGCGCTAGGCTCCATCTAAGAAGCTCAGTCAGCGTACGCTCTCATCGTCTCACGGATCGGTACGGTAATACCAAGGCGCCATCCTCAAGCGTCATGTTCGAGGGCAATGGGTAAGCAAGATCTGCGGGGACGCTGTAGTAGCGACCGAGGGTGCCGTCGATGGGAGGGGTGGCTGCGAAACGCATATCCGGGCAGAGATGGTAGAGACCGGCCTTGCATGTCGCGCAAATGCGGCACGACTTTCCTGGCTCGATAGCGACACGGTCTCCTGGCTTCACATGCTTGACGTTCTTTCCAACTGAGCTTGGTCGTCAAGACGTATGCGCCAGCTCTGCATGGCGCGGGCTCACCCTTGAAGATAACACCGGCGGATTCGTGTCCAAGCACCTGTCAGCGTGGTATATTATGACCAAACTGGAGGGATATGGTCAAAATCTATTCCGCACCATGGGTTCTTTGACGATGAAGTCGCCGATGCGACCATGAGTAAGATAGTGGACCTAGAGAAATGAGATCTATGCGGTAACCACAGACACTATTGAACCCACGTCTGATCCACAGATACCTTTTGAGAAGCATCAGTATTGGTAACATGAGTCCGGGGTATCATGAGCTCACCCGTTTTCTTCACCTCCACAAGAACATCATCATCACCATCTCCAGAGGGTCAGCTTTACATCAATACCACGAGCAGATCGCGATGCTCACAGGATGGGATCGGGCGCTCCTCGAAGGCTGTCTTCTCGATGGCCTGGAGCACGAACGACGGGTTGTTTGACATGATGGTGGTTAGAATGAGAAGAGTAGGGGAAATCTGGAGTAAGGAGGCCCAGACGTCTGTTCTTGTGGGGGCGGGAGCTCCCCGGACTCGGGCCGGAGGGCCGCTATCAAGCCGCCTCCGCGATTCTTCCGCAGCTTGGATCGGTCCTAGACCGTAATATACACATTTACAGGCCCAGTTCTTCTGAACACTAATGGGCGTGGGAGATGTAGAAGGTGACTGAACCGGACGTGGTGAGGTTCGATGTTTACTACCCGGACCGCGCGCGTGCCTTGTATTAAGAGTCCTCGAGAGATCACACGTTTTTGGCTAGAAATCTTGAGCTGTGGCACAGGTGACTAAGACTTTAACTGCTATACAGTGCATCGACAACAAGCGCATGCTGCTGCTTAGCTAGCTGTATACTGTTTCGAACATGGTCCTGATTAGAGAGCGCTGTAAAGCCATTGGACGATACTGATAGTAGCTCGTGCTTCTCGTCAAGAACGACTGTATTGGTTGCATCCACGAGCGGTTCTTCGAAGGAAGTAGGGTCGACGAGAAGGGTGGTACTGAGCACAAAGATTAGTAAAGAACATAGTACATTGGAGATCTAACACACGAATCAAAGATGCCCACAGAATAGGCGGCAGGCAGCCTACCCAGGTGCAACGGTTCTTGAATGGCGCGGGAACATGTAATTCTCCCCACATCTTCGTCATAAGTGGCCCTTGATAATCGAGCTATAGACAGGTTAGCAGGTACAGTCTCATAGCCCTCTGCGATTGCGAGGTGACCAGGTGTGGAGAACGTTTCCATACTATTTTTTAGGGCGGCAACCATGGCTATAAGCGCTGCGTCGAAGGCGTTCCCGTCGTAGTTGATGCAGGTGGCATCCACGTATAGTACCCAAGCTGCCTTGCCGGGGTATATGCAGAGAGATTCGAGCGATACAACGTCGGCACTGAAGAAGTAATTAGCCTGTTGTCTCGCACGGATGCGAGAAATCTTACGCTAAAAGCACTTCACAGAGTCTAGACGAGATGATCTGAGCTTCCTCAGAAGGCGGTCCAGGCTTGAACTTCGGAGAGCTCATGGCGGGAAGATCAAGGTTGGGTACTGTATATCAGATAGTAAAAAGTGTTCAAGTCGGAGACGAAACCGCGCGCTCACCGAGAAAGCCGCGATTCGGTGCATCCAGTTCGGTTTGCGCAATTTCCGCCTTCACACCACATACAATCGTTGTGTCGCCTATGCGGACAAGGGAAGATCCATCGGCGGTGGATATAGAACCTGAAAACAGACTAGGTCTACGTGCACGCGCTGGAATAAAGGACATCCCATACCAACATTTACAGATATGTCCCGCCACTCATGCGGCAGTCTTCCGTCGGATCGCACACCCTCGGCTAGTAGACGCTCAAGGTAAGTATGTGGATGCAGGCGCTGAAATGTTAGCGCCTGAAGCCGCTCGAGCTCCGCAGCCGAGGAAGATGCCATGGTCACGGTCGGAAGACAAGACGCGGTACAGTAGTGGACGCGCCGGGAGGTGTGCACATCCGGATGTGGTATTTTGTCGGCGCACGTTTGCGGGCCGCGAGCATCACGATAGCAACCAGCCCGTTCGCATCTCACGGCATAGATAGAGTCTTCCGAGCCTTCTGCTCTTCTGCATCACTGTGAGGTGAGGGCACGCGAAGGGTTGGACTGGATGCCCCTATCGTGACTTGGCGACGATGCGCAGCGATTTTCTTGTTCAACACGGGTCTGAGGATATTTTGATCCCCATTGACCACAGGCGCTGGACCGACTCGGGAAGTGTCCTGTCCCTGCCCCTGCCCCCGAGCGCCGACGGGAGATTTGGGCTTTGCGCAGGTAGGAGAACGAAAAGCACTGCAGGTGGAGTACCGGATGACGAGCGCCACAGTTGTCAGCGGCAAGACCAGGCACGAACCGCGGGCGGTCGCAAGTCGGCCTTTAGTTTATTACCTCGACTTCCTTCAAGCTTTCACCATCTGCTCTTGCCTCTCGCCGCCCACCGTTCGCCATGTCTTTCTTTTCTCTCCGAAGGCGGACGATCTATGCCTTACTATTCGTTCTCGGCCTCTTCCTTGTCGGGACGGTCGTCGTGCTGTCCTCAATATCCTACTATCTCGCCATCCCCGACGTGTCCTATGTCCGGGAAGCCGAGGTTGACAGACACTACGATTTGTCGTGGAACGAGACCGTGAACGACACCAGCCGCCACAAACCAGAGCGCATCCCGCGCATCATCCATCAAACATGGAAGTCGGAGACGCTGCCCGAACGCTGGCAGAACGTCTCTGATGGCTGCAGGCAGCTCATGCCCGATTAGTACGTCTTATCACTTTCGCTCAGCTCTGCCGGCCCTGACCGATATAATCCCAGCGAGTACATGCTATGGACGGACGCCAGTTCCCGTGACTTCATCGCCCAAGAATATCCCTGGTTCCTCGAGACATTCGATGCCTACCCGTACCCGATCCAGCGAGCAGATGCCATCCGCTACTTTGTCCTGCACCATTACGGCGGCGTCTACATCGACCTCGACATCGGCTGTCTTCGCCGCGTCGATCCGCTGCTCGCCTATCCCGTCGTTCTCCCACGCACCATCCCCGTCGGTGTCTCCAACGACCTTATGTTCGCCGAGAAGGCACATCCGTTCATGACGCAGACCATCCACAACCTCGTCGCATTCGATCACAACTGGGTTCTCAACTACCCTACCGTCATGTTCTCGACCGGCCCCATGTTCCTCTCGGCCCAATTCGGCCTCTACACCGCCAATCATCCTGGTACACCGCAGGAGCCCGCAGGAGAAGTCCGCATCTTGCCCAAGTCACTTTACGGCAAGAACGCGAAGCCCGGCGAGGCACCCCATTCGTTTTTCGAACACTTCTACGGCTCGAGTTGGCACGCAGACGATGCCGCGTTCATCGGCTTCCTCGGTCATTGGGGCAAGGTCCTCATGTGGATTGGCCTGGTCGTACTCGTCATTGGTGTCGCTTTCATTGCATTCAAGCCCAGCAAATACGTCGGCTACGACTTGTTACCACGCTGGATGGACCGGGTAAACTCGCCTGGCGGTAGATGGCAAGTCTACCGCTGGAAAGCCGTGCCCATGACGCCGCTCGGCAGCCCGACGCGCTCGTCCCACAGCAGCGACTTATGATCGAAGGAAGCGCCTAGGCGCGGATGCACCGGCCTTCCAGGGATTTACGGCTGCCGTCCTCCGTGGGCGTTTTAGGGCTTCCCTGTCATACCTCTGCTTCCTCGACTGCGTACTTATGGGATACTGCCTTTATGCAGCTGCGATGTGTACGATGCTCGAGATGCTGCTGGCGTCGTGCTGTGGACCATCCATTCTCACGATTGGATGACATGGGAAGTCATTGCAATCGTCTCCCTTGACGTGGGACCAGGTTCTCACATGCCATACCGCCCTTGCTGGACTATGTGACTGCGGTGCACCTATTTACACTTTACAACGCGCACAAGCCTGTACTAGAACATTATCCCCAGACCCTTGTTAATTGGAAACCGAAGATACCCCAGGCATGTCTCAAGGAGCGATACAAGGACTAGGCATAAGTTAGGATAGAACCACAGCAGTAGACGGTGGGTACAGTACGTTTATACAAGCGATGCTCCGACACAATCGATAGTGTCTTTCACTCCCTCAGGTTTGCGGCTAACCTTCGCATATGGAAGGCCAACCCTCCCATTAGCACCGCACTAACAGCGTACGTTTTCGCCGGACCGAAGGTCCAGTAGGCACCGCAAGCTATCGTGGACGTTAGCAGCCAGCCATACTTAGCGAAAGATGACTGTTGCACTCACCTAGCAAAGGTCCGATCGCCCGCCCAAGTTGCCCCGCCGACCTGAATTTGCCCAGCGCCTTGCCCTTTGCAAGAGCAGGTACGGCCTCGGTCGGTTTGCCCGAGTCCGCGTCGACTCCCTCGTCGCATTGTAGAGATGCATGCGCCGTCAGACTGTTTACGACCGTAGCGCTAGTGAACGCGAGGCACACTGCGGCAAGTTGCAGTAAACGGAAGGCGGTATGAGGCGCCGCCGAGGATAGAGCGGAGAGCGCGACGAGACCGAGCGCGCAGGAGAGCACACCATGCCTCGCCATGTTCAACTCGCCTACCCGGGTAAGCGAGCGCCGGACATAACCGCCCTGGAGCAACGCGCTGATGATACCAATTGAGCCGATGAGCTTGCCGTTCTGCGTGTTATTCCAATCAAAGACTGTACCAATACAGCGGGTGCAAGTTAGTGGTGCGTTCAAGGGACGAAAGTATCGTGCACGTACGATCAAACGTCAGGAATGTCAGGGTGAACTCCGCACCAGAGAACACACCCAAGAAGAGAAAGTGTAGGCGTTGTAGACTTCTTAGCAGCTGGATGCGCTTCTCGACCGTATTCGCGCGCGAACTGGTCTTAGACGCGGTCTTCCCGTTCGCCATGTGACCGTGAACCGCATTGGTTTGGACACCAGACTTCTCTGAAATGGCCGCCTTGCCGCGCGTCTCGGGAAGGGCGACGAGTAGGAACACGGTCTCCGCAACAAGCAGAACGAACGTCAGGAGCGCCGGCGCGGCATAGACATTGAGTTCTATGCCCAGAGACTGTCCGAGAGCGACTGGGCGTGATGCAAAATATGCGCCGATGGGTGGACCGATGATGAAGCAAATGGCAAATGCTATGCCGACGTGAGCAAGAGCTTTCGAGCGGTTGTCTAAAGTGGTTATGTCGGAGAGGATGGCGCTACATGTTCATTAGTGATTTTACTCGCGATAGACAGAGGCAACTCACATCGCCAACTGGACATTGCCTTCGCTGAGGCCACCAATTACACGCGACAGCATATAGGTGGCGAATGTGGTGCTCTTCACCCAGCTACATGGGTATGAGCACATAATCCTACTTGGCGTAGGGGACACGTACACGGCGGCAGAGAGTATATTGCCGACCATTGTGAGTAGAAGGATACGCTTCCGCCCATACTTGTCAGAAAGCGAGCCAATGATGGGTGATACGATGAATTGAAGGGTGCTGCGGCGGCAAGCTGAGTATCATCTAAGTAGCCAATAGAGGCTGACCACGTACGAGAAGACAGAGCCCATCATACCTCCTATGACGATAGATCAGTATCCATACATTCAATTAGCCCTGTCATAACGCACCAAGCAGGACCACGTCCCATTTCTGTGAGTGCTGGCCGGATGCCGCGTAGAATAAGGATCTAGTGGCAGACACGAAGCCAAGGGTACGCGAGAGAAAGCCATTTGCGTCCGATGACTCTCTCTGTCGGAGATTGAGATACACATGCTATTCTGAAACTGGACGAGTGCGCACCTTGGTGTACCACTCGATGATGCGAGGGAAGAGGGGAAGCGGGATGGTGAACGCTGTGGGCGCGCGAGTGCGCTTTCGTCACGCCCTGCCATGACCCGCAACGCATCCTGCATAAAGTACGTACCAAAGAGGTCCAAGACAAGCGAAAGAAATACGATGCGCTCGACGCGAGCCATCGTTCCAGACGTGACCGTACGTGCAAAGTGGTGAAGCTGGACACTGTTTACCCGCCAGGCGCGTTTTGGTAGTCTCCGAAGCTGGGCCGTGGCTGCGCGGCGCCGATGGCCCAAAGCGCGCATCTTATACTTGCGGTTTGCCTCGTGTACACTACAAGGACGCACTGGCGTGCACGACATTTTGACACTAACACTATGAGGATGCGGTCGTGGCCCAATGACCGCGGCGCTGTTCGCAGACCGGTGGGCAGCGTGTAGACGGTCTCCCCACGGCCGTTAAAGAGATCGAGGGTTTCCTCGCACGGCTTCAAACTACAACCACATATCCGACCCGACTATTTCACACAGATGTACATACACAGTCCGGCCCACGTGGTCACAAACTACATGAGGAAAGCCCTCAGCGCCTTAAATGTCATGCTCCATGATCACATCGCCCTCAGCGCTGTGGTCTTTCACATCGCCCATGTCAGCTTCGGCAACAACGATTCCACCCTTGTATTGCTGATCTTCTGACTTCTGAGTGAGTTCCGTCTGGATATGCGAGCTGGTGTCTGTTTTGGTGACCTCGCGAAGAGCCATGGTCGCATACGCTGCGGTGCCAAGCGTGAGGCGAATCTGCAAAGCGATGAACTTCCCATCAGGGGTGATGACAGGCGGATCGTATCCCAGCAGTCTATCTTCGTCTGCCTGCGCAAGAGCAACGTCCGGATCGGTATAGCGTAGGATCTCGTAAGATAATGCCTTCGGAAGATGGAGAATGCTGCGGTAGGAACCGCTCAAACTGTATTCTCTGAAGACATCTTTAACGCATGTACTCAGCCAAAGAGAATGGACGTACTTTTGGCGGCGATGGAAGTTGTCAGGGTCCAAGCCATCGCGACGCAGGTACTCCTTATACTTTTCGCCCAGTGCGCCACCCGGAAACGCGACATCCTTGCCAGGCAAAGGCATGACAACGTCAAAGATCGAGAAATTGTCGCAATCCTCTGCCGTGAGCGTTTTAACTCTTGGCGGAACCCATTTCCTCCGGCTTTTGCCAGGTTTGCCTTCTTCATCTTCCCCGCCTGCTCAGCAGAGAATTGGCATCAACTGATCTATTGAGACGATATGCCATAGACTCACCATCATCGACATCCATATCATCGCCTCCGCCCTGTTTGGATGCCTCTAGCACGAGGTCGCCGGGAATGGGCTTCTCGTGACCGTAGGTTTTGATGCGTTCGGATACGATGGCGTTCCAAACGTAAGACTGGTAGGCGTGGACATACATGAGACGAAGGTTGCGAGGAATCTGTCACACAAACTCATCAGATCGTCCGTGTATCACTGCTCGCAATGCTTACCGTAGACAGTGCACCAAGAGCATTGCGTGTCTCGCCCTTCTGAGTTTTATAACTTTCCAGGATGCAACGTTCGGCGACAACACGACGAGGAAGCAGAGCAAGAGCCTTATCTAAGTTCTTCTCTTCCAGCCATGCTTTGCGAGCGGCAACGACATCGGGGTGCTCTCCTGGGCGTTCACGCAGAATGAGATTTACGGCGCCCTGCCAGTCGGACCGGAGGAATGCGAGACCGATGGTGTGGGTTGGTATAGCAGCTGTCCCGAAGCGCTGCATACCTGGAGGCCATATGTCTATAATGCGGCGAGAGCGGTAGCAGAAGCTCTCACCGTAGTAGTTGATGAAGCCGTTGGTCTTGATCGAATTCATGGCTTGAGCAAGGTCTTCCTTAGAATCAACCTGAACATTACTGAAGTCGCACATGAGAAGTTGCGTCATAGATGGAGCAAGAGTCCAGTACCGAAGGGTGATCACGAAGGCGTTGCCCTTCAACATGCCCAGTTCTAGTGCCGCTTTGCGGTAATTGAAGTCAGCAATGCGGACACCCCGTTCGCCTCGCTCCTTCACTGCCTTGTCTGCCGTTCGTTTGCTGGGAACGCCGTTCGCCAAGCGCCATACATCTTCGACAGACTTGTTGCCACGTCGAAGAGCGACGCGCTGTAACGTAACGCCACGCTTATCCTTCGTCCCTGCGACAGACAAGTCTTTGACATTGACGTGTAGGCTACGTGAAAGGTGAATCAGCGCGTCCTGGGTGTCGCGATTGGTCTTCTGCATGGTGAAGTGGATGTAAGGCGGGTATGTGCCACGCGGTGCCTTGTCTCCGGACCCCCGTGCGCCTCCTAAGAAACATGTCAAATCTCGGGATAGCGACGAGCTTCATAGGATTATTACCACCACGCCCGCCACCGCCACCGTGGCCACCTGAGCGGGACCACTTCACGACGATACGCGAGCCCTCATCCCCGGCGGGAGAAGTCGTATCAGTCTCACTATCCAGCTTGCCACCGAAGAGCTCTCGAATAGTCTTGTGAAACTCAGTACGAGCCGTCTTGTCGGCCATTGGCTGTGATCTTAATCAGGATAATCAAGTCTAGATCATGACATTGTAAGGGAGCGCAAAAGGTACGGACATCAGACACAACTTTGCGAGGGTCCGCTCGCTTGCCGGGACGATCCATTCCACCACCGCGCCCACCGCGTCCCCGACCGCGTCCACCCCTACCGCGTCGTCCCACCCTCTTATCCTCCATTGCCGGCTCCTCAAGCTCGGCTGAAGCTTTGGGCTCGACCTCGACAGCAACATCTTCAGTCCTCGCGGCTCGTCCGCCCCAGCCTGCATCACTGACAAAGGGAGCCTCTGAACCCTCAAGGAACATTTTCTTCACTGCAGCGACCTTGTCTTCGGAAAGGAAAGCAGAGAGCCGCGTAGTAAAGGATTCCGGCCAGGGCTCGAGGACATCTTCCTTCGTAGCTTCAGCCTTGATAGCGGGAGTGGTTTCCTCTTGGGCGGCTTCAAGAGCTGTAGAAGGCGCGTTGGCATCAGCAGATATTCCTGCAGTAGTGGTATCAGGGGTGGAGGGAACGACTCCAGCATTGACTTCAGGCTTGACTTCAATGCCTTCAATAGTACTCGAAACAGCCACAGTGGACCCCTTCTCGTCGGCGTGTTTGGCCTTCTTTTCTGATGTGGGCATAGCGAGAGAGTTGATGTGCACGACATTGCTGTCTTGGTCGACCTCGTAGACAAGGAAGTCAGTGAACCTATGAGAATATTTGAGCACTTATTGACAATCGCAGTTGCGCAAGGAACGCACCGTTGCTTGATTATACCTCCAATTTTGGGCGTATTCTTGGCAATATACTCAGATATGCCAACGTCGGTCTCCATAATGCGAAGGAGCATGCCGTCTTCTGAGTACGCCGGCGGAGTGGTTTGGAGGAGCACGTGGGATGGAGGTATGAGACTCTGAGCTGGCGCAGACGACAGCTCAGCAGACTTGGGTGTAGCTGCCTGGGAGATCGGAGGACTGTAAGTCATGAGGTCTGTCCCGGAATTTTCGTTTGGGGTCGACGGAGGGAGCGGGGCCGTCGAGCTTTCGCCGCCTCCAGTCTTTGTTCTTTTCATGTCACGATCGTCGCGCGGCTCATCCTCTAAGGCACGCTTGCGGTCGGGGGGAGAGCCAGACATGGATGATGATGGTCGCAGACAGAAAACCGCGACGGGCGCGTAGACGCGCCTCCGAGCTCAAAACGGCGCGGGTCAGCGGCTCGAACCGAGCTTGAACCCAATCATCCATCGCCCTCGTGCTTGACATGGGACGCCATCTCGAGACTTATGCAGAGCGTGCGGCTAAACATACAAATCTCGCGGCGGTCAAATTACTAGATGTGATCGAGCGCAAAAAGTCGAATCTATGTGTGAGCGTCGACGTGATCAAGGTGCAAGACTTTCTAGAGATCATCGATGTTGTGGGTCCCTACGTGTCCCTTGTGAAGGTGACGCGAATTCCAGTTCCTTTGTATAGGCAGGATGTACGACTCAAGTAATCTAGACCCACGTCGACATTCTCGAGGACTTTGATCATACTGTTATCGAGCGTCTGACGGCGCTCTCCGAAAAGCACGACTTCTTGATCTTCGAGGATCGCAAGTTTGCCGACATCGGTACGTCTTCCAGTACAGGTCCTTAGTATATGCGTATAACCCGGCTACACAGGCAACACTGTCGCCCTCCAATACTCTGCAGGCGTCCACAAGATTGCATCCTGGTCCCATATCACGAACGCTCACCCAGTGCCTGGCCCATCCATCGTGAAGGGGCTTGCTTCAGTCGGCCTACCTCTTCAACGCGGACTCCTGTTACTCGCCGAAATGTCGACCGCTGGTTCGCTCGCACACGGATCATATACTGAAGAAGCTGTGCGAATGGCTCGCGCTCACCGTGATTTCGTGGTTGGGTTCATCGCGCAACGACGTATGGAGGGCGTTGGCCTCCTCAAAGACGAGTCTCCCCGCTCTGAAGAAGATTTCCTGGTCCTTTCCCCTGGCGTGGGTCTGGACAGAACCGGGGATGGGATGGGCCAGCAGTACCGGACCCCTCGTCAGGTCATCCTCGAGAGTGGTTGTGATGTCATCATTGTTGGCAGAGGAATATATGGAAAAGTCGGTGAATTGAACGTGCAGAACGTGCAGGCACAGGCTGAGCGCTACCAGCAAGCTGGCTGGGATGCATACTTGGAGCGTATTCGGAAGGCTTAGTTACGATCCCGTAACATGTATTTCGTATGTTACCAGTTTGTTGCACAACGTGTGGGCTACAAGGATATAATTGTATATGCTACAGTACGAAAAGCAGACGTGGCTTGAGACGAGAGGCAACTCGCTCATTCTGTGCCCACTCTCGCTTCCTCCGGGGTTTCGGCTTCTTCTGCTTCTTTTGCTTCTCTCTCTTCCATCTCAACCACTTCAATGTCAAGAGGGAAAGTGAGAATAGCCGCAATTCCCGTTATCTGGTTGAGTTCTGCATAGCGCGTCAGTACGATTCGTGACCGAGTGACAGCAATGCTTACGCTGTCCACTCTCGTGCATGCTGGAGAACATGAGAACTTCTGCGCCTTTGCCGCGGACTTCTTCGACCAACGCTACATATTTTTTGCGGATTTCTGGCTCGCTAGCACGGAAAAGCTCGTCCGATATGAGCAGAGTGCCCACAGCGCCACGGTCCACAGCCAACGCGACATGGTCGGGGCCGTACCATGCTCGTTGCTCATCCGATCCGAGCATTTTGAAGAATCTGAGGAGCTATGTGAACCTTAGTCTGTGCATGGCGTACGGACATACGTACTTGTCGAGCATGATACCTTCGCGAGCGAACTTAGTTTCTTTGAGCTGAGATACGATCTTGACGATATTGATCAATAGCTGCTCATGGGGAGAGAACGCCCTCACCTCTGGGCTCTTCAGAACTTCGACTAGACTGTGGACGTGCGGGCTGTTGACATGCACTCTGACGAATTTTGGTCGGGAAGCAAGCAAAGCTTTGTTACCGGTTCGCGTCGCCTCGGACATGATAAAGTCAAAAACGGCATCGCGGACCCATCCAGGACTGGCAATAACAATGGCGCGGAGACCGGCATTGGAGTAAGGAATATGTCGTAGGAAGGTCTGGTATAGCAGATCGTAGAACTTGGCCAGCCCTTTCTCGTGGGCCGTAGCAGATCCCGCTCGCTTCCGCGGTACAGGCACGTCTATGCGCTGACGCACAACAGTCATATGTTGTGAGAGAAGACAAAACGCGGCCGTCCCTAAGTAAACAGTTCATTGTTATTTGACGGAGAAAGCGCCGGGGGCAGCTCACCCTCCCCGCACACGACTGCGGCCACTTCCGCGCCCCTACCCGGGATCGATGCTTCCTGCACTCTGTCAAGAGCGACGCTGTCCCACTCTGACTTTTCGATGCGCACATCACGATTCGCCTCGACGTCCAGCGTGTGAAAGGCGCCCAGCTTGACGTACGCGTTCTCCTGCGCGACTCGGCCTGTGATTTGCAGCGACGCGGAAGGCTCGGCCGGCCCGCTTGTCGTGGATTCCGAACTTGCTGGTGCGGCGGCGGGGGAGAACACGACCCGGCTCACGGTCAGGGTCAGATTTGTCCGGACGCGGTGCGATTCGCTGGAGCCGGTTGAGGAAACGTTCTGCACGCGCCTGGGGGAAGATCAGGATGCGGTCTATCGAATATGTGCGCCATTCGCGTACCGTATCGCAGGTGCACGGACGTAGTCACCCTGTCTGCGGCGTTGAATGGAGGCTCGGCACGCACAACCATCGACGTACCTCCTGTATCAGGTTGTACAGATGCCACATATCCTCGTCATCCTCAGGTCGAACATTGACGTAACCCTACATAAGCCATGAGGGGCCGCGCGAGGCATAAAGGACGCCTATCGCACGGAGTGGTCTTTATTTATGTGTTTTCCAACCAATTTCATGCTCGTGGATGTCAAGATGAAGAGGCGTCAGGCGCGTCAGGGGCTCGCGCCACAGGAGCCGCGTCTCGCTCAATCACCACCACTCGCCACGGGATGTCGTCCGAGAAATAGTGCGTCGATCCTGCCTGCCCGTATTGATTGCGCTGACCGCCTGTACGCCAGCTCAGGTCCCAGCGAGCGGGTGAACATCCTGACCCGACAGATCATCTCACCTTCGGCTCGCTCGGACCCTGATGCACTCGATGACGAGGCACTATTCGCCGAACTGGAGGCGGAGCTGGAGAACGAGGGAGAGACCGAGCGTGAACGGGGTATCAAAGAATTGCAACGCGAGTGAGCACAATTGCTTACAATACTCGTTCGATATACTCACGGTGACAGGATGGAGCGCGTGACGCAGATGAAACAGGACATGCACGGAAAGTATACAGAAGTGTCAGACGAGAAGGAGGTCATTCACATCAGCGCGTACGTCTTCTCGTCATTCCTGAATCTATTGAGTCTCATGCTCCGCCCCAGTAACGAGCCGCGATGCATCGTCCACTTTTACCATTCTAACTTCCGTCGCTGTGAGATCATGGACAAGCATCTGGCTGTCAGTCTTCTCCCACCCCCACTCTCTGCCATGCACTCATATCAATGTCAGGCTCTTGCACCGAAGTACTTCGGGACCAGGTTCATCCGCGTCTTCGTAGAGAGCGTCCCGTTTCTGGTGGAGAAGTTAGGTATCCAGGTACTCCCATGCGTCATTAGCTTCATCAATGGGGTCACAAAGGACAGGTCGTTATACCCGATCCTGGCCGATATGCTGCATATTCACGCATGTGTATCCAGGATCATCGGTTTCGAAGAGCTGGGAAACAGCGATGCGTTCAACACATCCACACTGGAGCTTCGGCTCGAGCAGACTGGTCAGCGATCTCCTCTCGCTCTATGCGTTGCTTTCTAAGGTGCCTCTAGGTGTTATCCAGAAAGAAACCCAGTTCATGCCCACGGTACAACACGTCAACTCTACCGTTTCCCGGAGCAGAAGGCGCTTTCAGAAATCAACCGGCGACGACGATTCTGATTTTGATCTCTAGCAGTCATACTCCCTTCTTCGCTCTCTACGCTATACCGATTGCTTTCCATGAAACGGTTGCCAATACATACACACGATTTGCCTATCTGCGTCAGAGACTGGCGATCGGCAATTGCCGTCCTGTCTCGATCCATTCCTGTCATGCATCGCATCGGACAGTTGACGCTGTACAGGGTGTGACGTCATGGCTTGTACTTCAGCCTTGCTCCCGGAGTGCGCGCAAGCATGAACCCCAGAGCCATCAACCTGTCCCGCTTGTTCTCCACCGGTATGACCAAACGCGCCCGCTCCTCCACCCCTGCTCCCGTCGTCGAGCGCCGGGCTTCGCCCACCAAGAAGCAGAAGCCTGATGCCCACTTTGTGCACAATAAGATCGCGTTGGCCGAGGCGGCCGCCAATGCGGAGAAGGACCCGCCGCTGAACAAGTTGTTAGAGGCCGTGGCGCGCACCACCAAGTCGCCCAGGAAAGGGCGCTCCGTTGTCTGGTGGATGAAGATGGAGGACATACGTGGTGATTAAATCCCCGCCTCCGCTATATTCCATTCGCCTCATGCCCGCGCAGTGTACGATAATCGCGCGCTGGCCGCGGCGTCAGCACAAGCCCAGAAAGATAACGTACCGCTCGTAGTCCTCTTCACCATCAGCCCGCAGGACTATGTTGCGCACGACCGAAGCCCTCGACGTATCGACTTCATGCTACGCAACTTGCGTGACGTCAAGGTACGTGTCTCGTGCGGAACTTCAGATCACTACCTTCAAGCTGACTTGTCACGCAGGAGAAGCTATCCGCTCTAAACATTCCACTGGAGGTCATCACACATACTCCTCGCCGGACCATGCCAGAACGCATCCTGTCCTTCGTTCACCAAGTCGATGCTACAAGGCTGTTCGCCAATATCGAATATGCGGTAGATGAGCTCCGGCGAGACATACGAGTCTGCGAGCTGGCGCACGAAAACAATGTTGGAGTGCAATTTGTGCATGATAAATTGATCATCGAGCCCGGAAAGTTGTTCACAAAGCAAGGCAAGCCGTATACGGTAGGCTGCGACGTCTTTCGCGCGATAACGACTCTGATTGTTCCATTCAGGTCTATTCGCCGTTCCAGAAGCAGTGGATTCAAGTATTGAACAGCGACATCAACAAGCACTTGGGCGAAGCCCCTTATCCTCAGGCGAACGCAGACACGATCCAATCCGATGCAGTGTTTGCGGACCTTTTCAAAGCCGAAATTCCTGATCACGTCGACGGCTTTGAGTGTGATGACTCAGACGCAATGAGGGAGTCATGGCCTGCCGGGTCGGACGCTGCTAGAGAGGTGACCAAGTTTCGTCTCGGTTGTGTGTTCGATCATGCTGATGACTTGTAGATGCTGCGGCTCTTCATGCACACAAAGTCTCAGGGCTCGCATTTAGGGCAGTCTGACCCCTTGGCCAAGGCGGAGGAGTCCAGCAAGCATAGTCGAGCGTTGGCTTACAAGGAGAATCGTGATAGATGCGATCGCAACACAACTAGTCGCTTGAGGTTTGCTTTCTTCGACTACGTATCCCTTTTGTCGGTCCTAACAAGTTTTAGTCCGTACCTTGCGTCGGGTGTCATTTCGGTCCGCGATTGCGTTCGAGCGACGCTCGAGCTTACGAACGTCAAGAAGGTCCAGGCGGATAGTACTACCGGCGTAGGAGTGTGGGTCAAGGAAGTCGGTATGTGTGCACTCTCTTTGCTGCAGCAGTCGTTCACAAGGCTCAACAGCCTGGCACGATTTCTACACGCATATTCTTGCGACCTTCCCCCGCGTCTCCATGGGCAGAAACTTCATTGAGAAGTACGATAATATTCAATGGGAGACTAACCAAGAACACGTCGATGCATGGAAGGCAGGCAGGACTGGTGTACCGATTGTCGATGCGGCTATGCGCCAAGCCAATTTGATGGGTTGGATGCACAACCGTGGGCGCATGATTGCGGCTATGTTTCTTGTCAAGGATCTCATGATTGACTGGCGTATCGGCGAGCGGGTAAGCCTTCAAAGCAGCAAGGCGACTCTACGAGAGTTAGAGTTACTCATTGGGCCATCAGTATTACATGCAACAGTTCATCGACGGTGATCTCGCTGCTAACAACGGCGGCTGGCAGTGGTGCGCCAGTACCGGCTGCGATCCTCAGCCATACTTCAGAATTATGGTTCGTCCCGCGCATGGTTACCATCATACAAACTGACGCAATCATCTTTTAGAACCCTTATATCCAGAGTGAGAAGGCCGATCCTACGGGTGAATACATCCGGACGTTTGTGCCAGAGCTTTCGAAGGTCTTCGGAAAGGACTTGCACAAACCTCCAGCGGCACTCGCGGATAAACTCGGGTATCCTCGGCCCATTGTTGACCACTATGAGGCCCGCGACCGTGCCATTCACCGTTACAAGAACATCGGCGAGAAGTGATAGTATATTAGCCTTGAACTTCCGACAATAATTTTAAAGTATATCATTTTCCTCAAGCTATGCGATGCGCCATAAATTAGACTCGCGTCGAGGGTGGCTCGTACTGTATCGGTAAGGCGGCCTACGCTCAGAGTGCGAGCTGCAGTGAGATTGTCAGCGATGAACATGACGCATGCACGGGGATAGTCGGCTGACCAAAGCGAGATGGCCGCCTACGACGGGTCGAGCGCGGAAACCACCGGCAACACCACCACTGGACGTCTCGTACCAGTCCGAGGTTGGTTCTGTATTCTTCGCCAGCGCATCGCTCGAGTACTTGGTCACACCTGACACGAACATGTCACGTACGTCCGTCGACGTCGATTGTAGCAGAGCGGCAGTGAAAATTTGCCAGTCGCTCTTAGCTATTCGCACGTCAGTGGCGTCTTTGGACAGGGGGTGCAGCTGACGTACTATAGGTGTGGCGCGTGTCAAGTGGCACTCCGTACGGGGTATCTACCGTTTTGTACCAGGCAGCTTCTGCAATAGACGTATTAGCGTCGCAGCGGAGACCATCGAATAGTGGACTCAGAACATACGGGTCTGATAGAGACTGTCAGGGAAGATGTTTAACCCTAGTAGCTTATCCCCATAAAGGTTATAGCTCAATCCCCAACTCGAGTCATTGCCGTATGATAGCGTCAAGTGAGACCCATCGCTTGAGAGCGCGAGATCCATGAACTGCTCTACATAGCTGCTGGCGATGGACTGTCGATGCATAGTCATCAGAAGGGGACGGTTGGGTGAGATGGGACGGCACATACACTATAGTTTGAGCTCGCGGTAGAATTATCCAGCTTGTCCGCGATTTCGGCCATGGCGCGGATGCCGACGATGCCTTTGATCGCAAGGTTGGTTTGGTTGACAAGAGAGCCGGCGAAGTCGTCGGTAGATATCTGATTTGCCGGGATAAGAGCCTCGTCGACGAGGAATTGGGTCCACTGGTCGAGAAGATCGAACTGAAGTCTTGACGTTAGCTGTCTGGTCTCCATTGGTCTCCATTGGTCTGTGGCCGAGGACGCACGTATGTCTCAATCAGCGACGTGTCCCCTGTCTTCTGTACATAACTCAGGGTCATGATAAGCATGTTGCCAGATTCTGGACCATACAAGTAAGACCATCGTTAAGTGGCTATGAGGATAGGGGGAACTTACCTTCAAGCGGCATCGGTTCGTCTTGTCCGTCATTATGACCAGTGGCGTTTGGGTAATGGGCCCCTGAACGAAACTGAGGATCAGGCGGCATAACAAGGTTGTGATAGCATACCCAGGTCATGAGCTGAGTACTTGTTAGGGTATTGACCGGTGGCCTGGTACTTGAATAGAGGCAACAGTAGATATTTGCCCAAGGCCGGGTTGGTATACAAAAAGGCAGGCCACGAGGGGAAGATGACATCCACTAGATGATGTGTCAGACTTGGCTAGAAATGGTATGAAGCGACTCGCCAGTGTTCATGTTGCCGTCGCTGGAGATCTCTATAGGCATATTAGTCAATGAGGAAGGTAATTAGTGATGAACGCGCCCTTCATGAACATGAGCACGTCGGCAGTGTCAAAGGAACCGTCGTCGTTCTTCGCGACCGTCAACTCTGTCGCCCCAAAGACCTGGCGCATTGACAGAGCTACAATTCCAGCGTAGTCTTCCGAGATTGCGGACGCGTCGCTGAGAACTTTCGCGTCAAACATGTTCGCACTAGACACAGCTGAGCTGTAGTCGCCGAGCAAGTCTGCAATCTAACACATTGGCATTAGTTCGTGCATATCATAAGGGGCATGAACCATGTGCACCGCATCATCTGCAGTCGAGTACTTGCTCCAGAAGTACGAGCTGCGCTGCTGAAGTTCACCTCCGGCAACTATATATTGGATGGCTGGGTCTCGCGCGTGGCCGACGATGAAAACAACAGGGTCTTGGGCCGCGATAATCGATCCTAGGTCATGAGCGATGGCAAGAACAGGCCAATTGTCTTGGACAGCGCGGAAGTTTGTGTCCTCCGTATTCGCGAGGGCGCCGTTTGTGATAAACTGCTGGCGGACGACACTGTCCTGGCCAGTCTGATAGGTCGCGTTGGAAGATGTGGAAGCCAGATAAGCCGTGCCATCTGAGAAGGAATATGAGTATGCATACACGTTGTGGGCTCGACAACGCGTACATTGAATGCGATCGGAGGTCTCTTGGAACTCTAACTGGTCCTGCAATTGGATGGCGTGGATAATCGTCTCATCCGTAGCCGTAGACGTACTCCAATTTGCAATGAGAGCAGTATCACCAGTTATCCACTCGCCACTGATGTCCGTGTATACTTGTACCGAGTGTGGCGCCCCATCGTTCGATGTAGCAGAGATGGCCATGTACGAGAATGGGAGAGATTGCTTGACCAGATCCTCGGGCTGGTGGGTGTACCCTTCAGCGTGGGATACCGCGGCGCAAAAGGCTCGTTTCTCACCTCCACAGGCGAAAGGAAGCTGACCGTTACATCGACAGCACCAGCCGTCAAAACAAAGACAGACTAAAGAGTCATCTCAGTGGCCGTACGCAAAACAGCGTCTGAGGGATAGTACCTGCGTAGATGTGAACTATTGAGCGGGTCATCAGCTGATTTCTCGTCGGCAGGGTCGCCATTCGCACAACGCACCGACATGCTTTTCTGCACCGCGTTGGTCGCCCCAGTCACGCCGCCCGGAGTACCAAGAAGTGTATGCGAGACCCCATCCACCCTGACATATCCTGCCCATCCCAATGTCTAGTCTCGTGTCATGAGCGAGTGCGCGGCATTTTCGGAGGGGGCGCACCGTTCCGGTCCAAAATTGAGGCCAAGCTTCATTGAGCGCTGTGCCCTCTCCCTGAGGCAGCCAGGCAGAGAGGTACGGCGAGCGTACAGCAAGTGGAACAGCGTGAGGTACAAAGGGCGATGCCGACCAGGAGGCCGCTGTGACCGATATTGCGGGCACTATGGCCGTTAAAAGAGAGAGGATATTCATTCCGAAAGAGGCGAGAGTCGAAAGAGAGTCGGAGGAGGCCCGCGACGCAACGAAGGACCCGACAGTCGAATTGTAAAGAGCGGGCATCAGTATATATAGTGAAATGGAAGCGCCACCTCAGGCGAGCATGGGACTCAGTCCCGGGCCGTCGTAGAGCAAGGCGATGATAGGCGAAAAGGGAGAGATGATGGGGAAGCGCGGAATGAGGATGGCCATTTGATCAACTATATGAGCTGTACTGTGCTGCGCAACGCTGGCATGACGGCTCGACGACATCAGCAGTAAATTTGAGTTTCGCTCGACGTTGTTGCGTCGGGATAGTGACGATCAAGACCAGGAGCCCGATTGACAAGCGCCCGTGATGTCGATTGCCATTCGCTGCTCACGCGACGATGGAGGTAAGCAGCGCACTGCGATACTACAGCCGACTCTGACTCTGACATACTTAGATCGATTTCACTGGTCACCGTGTCCAGCTCCGGGCACGCACAACATACTACATCTGGAATTGTATGACGTATGTGTGAGTATGTAGGCGCGTGTGTAGCTATCATCGAAAGGTCATGTCTGTCCAGTCATCACTGTTTTACATGCTGTATTTAGCTCAAGTACGATGAAGCCTCTTCTTGCTGCTCTATTTCAGAGGGTCGTGTAGAACGCGCGTCCTCGCGCCCCTCGAATGACGGTGCTTGGCGCTAGCGCTCAGCGGTCGATGGGCCTTCAAACCGAGTGTACTTAAGTATAAAGCTGAATCTTTCCCTACTCTGTCAGATGTCATCAGCATATACACGGCCTGGCTATGGCGTATACAAGACAATGTGCGGGCATTGGGCGGAGCGGGCCAGAGCCACATCCCACGAGGCAGAACGCGTGCGTGGGCGTTTCGTTTACGGAACAAGGGAGGACAAGGAGACTTCCCGTTTTGGATACACCCCGTACGTAGTGATGCCGAAGTTTAGCTTGTCGAACGTCGTACTTGAATCGCGCTGTGCTCAGATGTCAACTCTCTACGCCCCATACCCGCCCATACCCCGCCGCAGGACCTGCACAAACAATATCCACATTGACCAGTGACATGTCCCTGCGAGTCAACACTGTGTCTAGCACGTCCTCAGGCTATTCCCTCTTTTCGACCGGTACCGCATCTCCGAACGCGTTTGGGCTGTGGGGGCATGATGCGCGCGAGACGTACGAGCAAGGTGCATACCTACGCTCCGCCTGGAGTCCGCCGCACGCTGCCAACGAGAGCTCCGACTTGCGGTCAAAGTCGACCCACGGGAAGAGCCTGCGCCGGATAAAGAGCTGGTTTGCGCACTAAGCAGCTCTGAGTCGCATCAAGAACCCTGTATGTGTTACGCGACTTAAAGCTATACCTCCACTCATGAATTACACAGTCAGCCCTCGATGTACAGCTTGAGCCGACCCACTGTAACAAGCCTGATCGCTCCTCATCATCTAGCCCCTCACACAACCATACTACGAACATAGATGACTCTCCTGCGACCACGTCTTAGCTCACCTACGACCTTGCCGTGGCTATTCACATTCCTTATATGGGTTTCAACCCCGATCAGCACGATGCGCTTCTCGATCTCTCAATCCTCTAACCAACCTCTACCCAAGGCGGCCTGGTTACAAGTGACTGTATATAATACCTATATCTTACTGTAGCGATACGACTGTATACGATGCCGCACTTCCGGGTCTACCTGCGTCTATTATTATGGGTAATGCTCGTTCACACGGAGATACCCCTGGTCAAGGCACTAATGTAGGATAGGAACGGGTACTGGTAGGTCTGGCCAATGGTTGAAAGATTACGACCAGGACTGCGATGCTGCGAACAACCGATCACCAAAGGAAGCCATAAAGCTTAAAGCCCTGTCGCACCAGCAACTCGGACAATGATGACAGTTCAAGAGAAAGAATAAAGGTTTACTGTACACCCAAACCGAGGCCGCGACGTGCAGCATCAACCAGTGCCCAGTCATCGACATCTCCGTATGCATCCCAAAAATTGACACCACGGAGGCCGTACGCGCCCGCGATTGTCGCTTTGAGCCATATACTGTCCGGGTCGTCGTACGTGACGAGTTGACCTGCACTCTCGCTACGAAGAAACGGCGTACTCGAGCATGCGTCCCAAATGCGCTCAAAGCCGCCGCAGCCGATGAATGCGGGCTCGCTGGTCGAATCTGATTTTGAAGCGCAAAGGGCGCCCTGAGTGATTAGATCACGGAATGGGATCTGGCCGCTATCCTCACTCCTGAGCAGAATAGAGACAACAGTGGCGCTGGGTTCCTGTTCTCGTGTTGGCGATGTAATCGTAGTTGAAGGCGAGGAAGGTGTGGGTTCAGCGGTCACGAAGACGGTAACGGTCTCTGTGGCAGGCGATTGCGCTTCCGATGAAGATATGCCTGCAGATGCCGCCCCTAGTTCCGGCGGCGCCACAATCGGTGGCGGTGGCGGCGACTGCAAACCAGGTGGAGATAGGGACATAGGATACATATCGTTGTCACCGCGTTGGCGAAGCTGCGTGGCTGTAGATGAAGACACATAGCCGTAGGATGGTAGACCAAGCACGAGCTTGTTGGCCGGGAAGCCCGCAGCCATCCACTGCTTGATGGCGGCGTCTGCGGTCGCTTTCGGCTGAGAGTTGTTGTTGCACCCGTCGCTGAGAGGAGCGTTCGAGCCCGGATTTGCAGAAGCTGTGCGTAGTCTGAGCGATGTGTCTCACACGCAGAATACAGTGACTGACCTCCCCATACGTCGTAGTTCATCAGAAGTACCCAATCAAGGACCTCCGCGAATGCGCGCACATCGTTCAGAGCATTTCCATCCGATCCTGCAAACGGCACTGTTTGTGCGGCAGCGGTGATTGTAGCGGTTGGGGGAAGGATACTGCGCAAAAGACGCAGGAACTCGAGAAAGTTGGCAGTATCGGAACCGTCTATCTCGTTGCCATTCGAGCCTGATTGTCCCGGGTACTCCCAGTCGATGTCGATTCCATCTAGGTTGTGGCGGTGATAGAGATCGACGATGTTGGTCACGAACGTCCGTCTGCTGTCGCCGCTCGCAACAGCCGGGGAGATATGTCTAGTGGCTAGTGATCAGTGACAGCTTAATGGGAAATAGTAAGACTCACTTGCTGCCCGACCAGCCGCCAACGCTGACCTTCACTTTCTTCCCTTTGCTGTGTGCCATCGTGACCAACCTGTCAAGTGTCTCGGGGGCATCCTCGGAGCCGTCCCAATCGAGCGTAAAGTCCTCCTGAGGCACGGCAAAGGCAAAATCGATGTAGTCGATGCGGGAGAAGTCAAGACGCTCAGGCGGGAATGCTTTGGACAACCAGTCTGGATAGTACATGGCCAGCATCGGAGCGATGGCGTTGTTGCCCATGCTCCCAGTGACATTGCCCGCGGCGGTTGCGCTCGTAGTGGTGATGTTCGTGGACGTCGCATTGGTGGCTTCTGCAGCCTGCTGGGCAGCGCTGACATGGTTGGTACCCTCGACCATCGCAGAGAATGCGGGAGGGACGAAGTACACCTGTTGGCCCCCAAGCTCGGCGTTGGTGCCCGGAAAAGCCGAGGCATTGACAACGTCAGTGCGCACGTCTAGCGCGCGCCAGAAAGGGATGTCCAGAGGCCGCGCAGCAGCGGAGGCGAGAAGGAAAAGGAGTGGAAGTGCGGCTTGCATAGCGATGGGAACAATACCACCAGGGCGAGAAGCAAGGACCAGCCACCTAGTCAAGATGTCGCGAGCGGCGTCAGGTATATCGTTCATGTCTCAACGGCTGTTGTCACGTTCATGTCCAGCCCAAACACTCGTTGGCGAGCATCTCGGGGTAAGTCGGGGCGATGTAAGTATGAATCAGAATCAGCCTTTGCTCGGGTGTCCCATGTCCTATGGTGCCCAAAGATTAAACCACTTGAGACGATAAAGCAAGAACTGAGCCTAGCTTACAACACGTGACCTGGGCTGCCGTCGGCCGCGGCCCCTGGCATATATACTTTTAGTAACTCGACTTCGTCGCCAATCCAGTTGATCATGTTCTCTCCGCGTCGATCATCATCGACGAGGGTTTTGCAGTTGACTGAGCATCAAGTTGATATCATGCAGATACACTGGGATTGGCCATCTTGAGCGTTCGTACCAAACAGACTGCTCCGGGCATTTCTGATGGAGGATGGAAGTTGTGGTCAGAGCGCCGTCTGTGACGCTCGATGCGCCTGAACAAGCCACCGTGACCTTCCCAGCCGACACGGCGCCGTACAAAACGACGTGCAGTCCTTGACCAGCAGGAAACCATTTGTCGTGTCTGAGACTGCTCGTGTGCCTTCAACAGCGAGAGTCGTAATCACCTTTGGCACTGCTGAACGGGCAGAGTCTCAACGTGACCTGCCCTCCTCCCTCGACGCTTCTGAATCTCGCTTCAAGAGTTGCTCTAAGCTCTCTGTTCACAGCACTGTCAGCGATAACGCGCAGTCAGTGCGGGCCGAGGCATATATATGAGCTCCCGGTGATACCCGCCACTGCCCCGCGCCCCGCGCGCGCTTTCGAGGCCCCTCCACCGCCACGGTCATCAGGGTCTGACACACGTTCACAGCATCAGCTACCCCTTATTTTATTGTCTCTTCGTTTTCTGAGCGCACACCTGCGCACCGTCGTGCAGCTCGCAGGCATCTTTTTGCGTTCTACTCTTTGCTCTCCTTGCAAGGTTGGGACCACGGCCACACGAGCCCGCTACTACCGAAGACCTCAGGTTTCTACGGTCTTGATTATGCCGTCGTGAGTTTAGCATCCGTCATGAATGCGGACGGCTTCGTTGTGTGGTCTGGAACGATAGTGCCGCTTGCGGGGCGCTTTGGAATGGCAAGGTTGTATCGTGCAGTACGTTTCCTCCACATTGTTCTAGCAGGTCGCTAGCTCAACCCCTAGGCTCAGGCGCATTACTACAATGTGTCTCATATGCAATACAGCTACCTGCAGTGCCACTTCCGGAGTTCGCTGTAAGCTTCACAATTGTGGGGTGCGGCATCTGCCCGCGAGGAGCGCAAGCGAACGCCCTTTTCAACGGCGGGCTTCCTAAGGAAACCACAACTGAACTCGGTCTACTGGACGGTGCATACGGTCTCGGAGCGTTCGCTGCGCCGCTCGCGTCAACATACTTCTCGTCCCAAGACCATTGGTCGTACCACTACATCATCACCCTCGGACTTGCTGCTATCAACTTCGTGGTCCTCATGGCCGTCTTCCGGCTAGAAGGATCCGGACGCGGTACTGTAAGAGGTCGGCTCTGAGCCTGTCCGATATCGGGGAGTCGATGTGAACAGTACGGCGCCATCCTCGGTACGCGCCGTATACTGTTATGGCGTCGAAGTAACGCTCGGTGGCTGGATTGTGACCTTTGCCATTCGCGAGCGCGCGAGGGTACCGAGCTCCGCCTGCAAGCGCATTGGCGAAACGCGCGCCATCACGCTCTATTCCATCTGCGTCACACTCCACATCATTGAAAGGGCTGTGCCGAGGTTGATTGGGAAGGCCGTGGCGGTCAGCATAATCGGCATGCTCACAGGACCCATTCTCCATTATGATGCAACATCCTGCCGCGCTTCACGTTGAACGCTGCGCTGGGTCTGATCAATAGCCTGGCTCAGACGAGGAGCGCACTTTTTCCGTTCGTGACGGGCGTTCTCGCGAGCAAGTTTGGCATCTCGAGTCTACAAGCCACTGTGAGTCCTTTCATTTATCCATAGCGACAGACACTGAGAGTACGACTCTCGCACAGTGCCATACCTATGATGGCGTCTATAATCATCATTTGGCGCTGTATCGAAGGGCAACGAGCGCCAAGAATGCACGATGAAGGCATACCGTTGGCCGAGGGATGCAGAAACGGAGTACTTAGCTCCGATATGAAGATCATGTACTCGTGTTATCCAGGGTTTGACCGTCATCTGTCATCGCGTCATTAAACATTAAGTATAGAACTGTATGATCGACGATCACCTTTCGCATCTTGAGCACGCTACTCAGACAATATCCAATGAGTCTCATAGGGGAGACATTACTTCAGCGAAGAGAGAAGCGTCTACTGGTTGATATCACGGTAGCGCTCGGATGGTATCGTCAGCTGGACCCGGCCAAACAGAACGTTGTTTTTAAACGTTGGCGGTCAAGGCAGCGGTCATTGCTCTACCAAGCTTGGCGAGCCCGACATGAATTCGCCTGTCCGTGGATCTCGGAAACGACTACATTGGGTGAACGTTGAACTCGGGGGTCCGCATAAAGCTAATCGTGGATGGTAATGAAGCCTCACAGGCGGCTTACATAATTTTGTGGGTGGACTGTCAGGATGCCTAGACTCGGGGCGGAATAGTTGCGGAATCGCGTAGCACTCGCATTTCCAACGTGGGCAGGGTCACTGTATGCGATGTGTATGAGGGCATCCACGAGGCTCACAAAGCGCATCAGAAGTAGACTGTGCAACCGTGCACATATCTCGCTACCGGTCCGAGTGTTAGCATACCTCGGATCTCGGAGTACACACATTTGAAACACTGACAGACAACCCAGACGAGGTCATGAGCGTACGCCGGCAGCGTACACCGGACGCGCGTTCTCGCTGGAGTCAAGTCAGGTTGCGTTCAGTATCGAGTGTGAACTTGTATCGGTGGCCGAGGGGACGATGGTCCGCGGGGTTGCTACTTGCTAGGCGCGCGAAGCAAAGCTGCATTGCGCCGGCGATAGTCGTGTGCGCTCGCCGGTGTCGACACACGTCATAAACACGAACATGTAGTACTCAGGCGCAAGAGGGTAGATTCGAGAGCGCGTTTGATGGCATGTCCGCCGCATGATGGCGCCCTCTAACTGGATATCCAGATAGCCCGAGATATAGAGCGCTGTTCGTACTCCCTGGTGAGTCAAGCTTTCGGAGAGGAGCCGCAAGCGCCGTAATTCGTTTCATGTGCCACGAAGCAGCGGATTCACGCTGGGGCAGGAATCGCATTAGTCTCGTTCAAAGTCGGATAGCAAGTGGTTGCTATCCGCGTCTCGCGGTCGTTATCCGCCCCGCGCGTCTTATCCGCCTGCGCCCACCGCCTGGGCAGATGGCATCACGGCAACGGCCGTCGCGCGCGATCGCAGTGCGCCTTGTGCGTCGACGACGTAGGCTGCGTACGAGGTACCGGCAGGACGCCGAAGATGAATATCCGTCGCGGCGCGGCGCGAAGCGCCGCGACGGAACGGTCTCGTGTGTTTGTAGGCCGAGTATTGATACGAATAATCTTAGAGCTTAATAGGGAGGGCTTTATCTTCATCTTGTACTCAATATGAAGCAGTTTGTCGAACACTTTGTGGCGTGCTGAAGGTATCTTCAAGGCTGTATCGTGC